ATGGTTCGATTGACAGAGGAGTGGGGAACGGTCAGACGTAGGGGAAAGGTTCAGGCTGAACCGTTCAGCACAGCGCAGCGTCAGTCACCGGGTGGGGAAGAGAGTCCGGGAGGGGACACTTCCCCTCGAGTGAAATAGAAAAAGGCAGAATCCTTCGAAGTTTATATTAATAAAAAAAATAAAAAAAATATATATATTAATGATGGCAAAAATACAGCATAAATACAGTTGCCAAATTTCTGCTTATGTAATTTTTATTCCTATATTTCAAATCAAATTATATTCTCTAATCCGACAAACCTGCGTTAACCTCCAACAGAGCAGTGAAGTGATGTCTAGTCATCTAGTGGCATTTTTCCGGTCAAACTATTAGGTGCACATACTCACTGATAGTATTTTCTTTTTATCAGTGATATATTCTTCAATACTGAGAATATATCCTTTTATACTATAACTGATATTCAGTTGATGTGTGCTGTGTTAATCTCCATCACTTACCTCACTTGTCAATCCAGAATTCATCGCAAGAATTTTTTCATGCTTGTCATTGTTCCATGATTTTGATAACGCATCTTCTTTTGTATCTTCTTAATTTAACAAATTCCAGTTGTTCAGAAAGCAGACAGACAGATGCTCCAGGAGGTAAATCATTAACCTACCCATAATCTCCCTAAATACTTTAGTGATAGAACATCTACTTGATACCGATCCCACAATTCTGAATACTGCTTTTCCGAGTATTCAGAGTAGTGTAAGATTTATTATCTTAGTGAGTCACTTTAGTTCTGGAATAGTTTGCTCTTGCTTCTGTCTTCTACAGACATGGTACAACAGATCATATGTTTAGTAGCAGTCCGTAAATAGCTAACTTTTATCCAGCCGGTAGTATACAGCCGGTAGTAAGGTTGTCCAAAAGTTGAATGCAAGAATGCAGCCCTGCAGTCATCAATTGTCTGCAAGCTTAAGAGGTAACAGTTTAGAACTTGCGTCAGACAGTTCTCCAGTTAATTACTTTCTGTTTGCAAGCAACTTTGTTGTAGTCGTCCAGTGGTTAGTTCGTACGTGTGAGTAGATATTTTTACCCATATCCTTTTTGTTTCCAGACTATGTTTTGTGCCGATGGTGTGGTTCGGATCTGAGTCCTGCAAGTTACATCATCAACTTTAGGAGCCCCACTGCGATCAATAGTAGAAATCAAACTATTTTTGGTCTGCAGCAAGTTTTCGTTCAGTCGCTAGAGAATCCATTGCATATTCGATTTGAGACTATCACCGTATCAACTGCTCACTGCATTGGCAAAGGAGATGTAAGTAACTCAGCGAAGTTAATTTTAAATACAATTACCTGTTCCTGTCTACTTGTCATTTTTGTCAGGGAGTAAACCTGCAATGACTCAGAATTCAAGGCATTTTTTTTTTTTTTTCATTTTGTAATCGTAACGATAAGGTTTTGTGCTAATTTTTACCTCTTCAGGTTTTAAGGCTTTTCGATGAAATTCAATGTTGAGGGTGCAAAATGGGGAGAGTGATTAAGTATCACTGTTGAAAATTTTATAAATAAATGTGCATTAGGGAATCTCTTAGTATTACCCTAATATAGTCCTCAATATAATATCAGTGTAAGTAAGTATTTTTTTTTTTTTTTTTAAATTGATTCCCAACGCTTAGCAAATATTTTGGAGGAGAATTGTCACTCAAAATTTCTTTGGGATCTTGAAGTGAGATGCATATACAGTCATTTAAATCTGAAATGGAAATATTCCGTCGAACTCGTCAAAAATAAAATCGATTTTTGTGTTTTAGGCGCTAGAATGGCCTTCAAAGACGATCGATGATTTAAATCCGATGGGGTGTGCATTTGTAAAATGGTATATGTATGATGAAATCTATGTTTTTTTGAACCAGGAACCAAATGAGCAGGGTTCCGAATTGCTCTGAAGCTTCCACTTCTCAATTGTTATTACGGCGGTGCTGCTATCTCCCACTTCTTATTCTTTTTCACATTTGCACTAATTATTTTGGATTCATCACTTGCGGCTGGCCGGTGATTGCGGACTGCCTGCGACATATGCATTACACTTCAAGATCCCGAAGAAATTCTGAGTGGGCAACATAATTTCATTTGCCTCCCTCTGAAACGAACCGTGAAATATTTTTTAAGTTAAATCATTTTTGAAAATTTTATTTAAAGGTTTTTGGCCTGAAATCTGCTTCAGTATATCTGCATTTCCACCTAAAATCGATGCTGTTTATGAGGTTTGACACTCTGCTGAGGAAGGATTTATTCTCTTAGGCAGCCCATGTCTACTTGGTTTTATCTTTCCAATTTAATCATCATAATTTCTCATCTCTTTTTCAGTGGCAAAGTGACTATTCATGGTTCCCTGGGTACTCGTGGAAACCATGCGTTTGTGCCAGATGTGGACGCCATTTAGGATGGTACGTCTTTTTAATTTTGAAAATTGATCAAGCTTAAGTCATTAGATGGAACAACAAATTTTTCAAAAGTCTCACAGATGAGATGTTGTATGACTTGTAAGAAATTGTATTGAAAAGAATGCACTAGCTCAGAAGTCCTATAAGATTCAACTTTTTTACCTTCAATTTGGTCATCTTGAAGTGCGTTACCAACATGTTTTTCAGCAATTTTGCCACTCCTCTAACTCTTGCTCAAAACCACCTTTTACCGGCTGTTTGAAGATTGCCTCCAGAGCTCTTACCATTGCAATCATGGAGTCCAATTGTTAATCGCCGTGGTTATTTTTGGCCTGAACATGTAGAAAAAAGTCATTAGGAGTCATATTTTGACTAAGGCGGTGACATCTTGACATTTTTCATGGCCAATTACTCCGTGACTCTTGCTGCTGCAACATCAGGCATACACCAAGAATGAGAGTCAACAGCTGCGGAACGCACCAAGTGCCAAATTTCAGGGGTTGAGAGATTCTACACAAATAGAGTTCAGATGATTGTGCAGCATTGTAGGAACATCAACGACTGAAATGCTAAGTATCTTGGCAGCATCTCTCAATGTCTGACAACTATCTTTTGGAATGATCAGACCTCAAATGTCGATAATCATCTCAACTAAAGCTGAAATAGCAGTGTCAGGATCACCTCAAAATTCACCCCCTCTTTAAACGCTTTCAACCACCTCTCATATGTCCCTTTGAACATCATACTATTAGACTAGCTATCACTTGTACGGAGAACGTATACAGTCTTCATGGAAATTCCCTGGCTAATAGGCAAAGCCATGATGCTAAGGGAGCCTTCACGGTGGTCATGTCTACTGCAAATTGCATTTGAAGCAATTATAAGGTCTGCTTTCACGCAAGTGGTTTCAACTACACATGGTTCTGAGGTCATAAAAGGGTTATGATGTACCTTTTTCACTGAAAGTTGAGGCTAGCGTATTTTCATAATATGTATTTGAAGTTGATAATATATGTTGTAGCTCTATAGGGACAGAACTTCTTTTTCTCAATTTTGAGACACTCTATTATTGTCACAGGAGATACCATGTATCTGGGCACACAAGATTGTATTCAGGAGACACTGAATATTAATTTCTCGTTGTTTTTTCCTTGCAGGATGTTTGAACCTCTGAGCTCAGCAAACATTGAACGTATTTATCCTTCATCAGATGGCTTCTACGCTCTCATTTTAGATAACTTGATCAGTGAATTTTGTAAGTTCTTCCTGAGTTTCATCAATTTAAATTTGATTCTATTAATTTGGATCCTTCTGAAAACCAGTTATGCCAAGTGGAATGATTCCTATCAACATTTAATGGACAACACAATTTTTTTAAAAGAAGCTTATCTATGCACATTGTTTTCTCTCTGTGAAGGCACGCAATAAATGTTTCCAAAAATGTTATTGCTGAAGTAGGAATATTTTCATCTATAAAGTAAAGGTTTCATGTTTTATGCCTTTGTCCAATGGTCTTTTAGGGTTGCCGGAAATCTGGAAAACCAGTAAAGTTAGGGAATTGGCAACGACTGGGAAAAGTCAGGAATGTCATACAAAAAGCTAGGGAATTTAATATGTTTAGTGATATGATTAGTAGACCTTAGAAGTGAGTGTAATTAAAAGAGAAAAGTCAAAGTGGAAGTTTTATTCGATTGTCAGGGAATCTCAAAATTTTGGGCTCAAGAAAAAGCAAATATAGTTAGGGAAAGTTAGGGACTTTAAAGATGAAGAGAGTATAGCAGCTCTGTCTTGTAATTTTGAAGACTTCTAATTGATTGAGAGACAGCATGCTTTTAGACCTAACAGGAACGAAGACTTTGCCAAGAGATGAAAATTTAATCAAGTCTCAATCAACCACAAAACAGGGTAGGAATTAGACCTCTGAAAGACACGTTCCTTCATCCAAATTTCACAAAGAGCATGGTGAATGTATTTAAAACTTATGAAATCAACTCAAAAGTGATAAACTAGTGGTTGCATTTTGCACAGTAAACAAAACACTCCATTCAAACTCCCTGCCCGCTACAAAACCACAATCAACATAGATCAAATTTACCATTGACAACAACCCATGCGTCAGGCAAATAACCAGAGCTTGGTTTCATAGCAATTTTTTTTTCCATTTTTGTCGCACGGCACCTCTTATCTCGGCAAAAAAAAAGTCACTCTGTAAGGAGATTTCTACATTGTAAAACATTCCAAAAGTTTTTAAGTGCCTTATTACACTGGAGATGTCTTCGGTTTTTTTGGAGTTGGGAGTTGACTTAACGCAAACAAGAAACGGGTCCTTTATGCGTTGGATTTGGAAAGTTTTAGTATGTCTATCATATTCTTTGTAAAATTTTGGTAGGGAATTGCACACTGTGCGTAATGTCCTTGTTCCACTGAAGGTCCATTATTTTTTTTAAAAACTGACAACCTAGATAAGCATAGTTAATTTGTTGTCAAATTTCAAAAATTATGATCCTTAAATTATTCATTATTATTCTTAACCAATAGGGATATAAATTGTTACCTTTAATATTTAATTGTCTTGAGCCAATCAGTCTCCACTTTAAAAGGTTCAAGCATTTCAAAGCAAGTTCAACATTTTCCGCAGAAACTTGTGAATCTACTTTTTATTTTGAGAAAAATTTAAATGAACAGTCTGCATATATTCTTGGAATAAATTATCATAAATGACCGTGAATGTTTCATTGTTCAAACATTCTTTTGATGCTCTCCTGCAGCTTACCTGATTTTTAGTTCTTTGAAGGTGAGCCGCAGTTTTGAGACTAGAAACCTCTCTCTGAAAAATGTATTTCACAATTCTATTATTAAATTTTTTAGGATTTCATTCAAGTTAATTTAATTAACTTTCTTTCATTTTTTGCTAGTTTCAGATTCGCTTTTAATTAAAGTTTTGAGACTAGAAACCTCTCTCTGAAAAATGAATTTCACAATTCTAGTATTAAATTTTTTGGGATTTCATTCAAGTTAATTTAATTAACTTTCTTTTATTTTTTGCTAGATTCAGATTCGCTTTTAATTAAGCCAAAGGTGACTTTTCGGTGACCTGAAGTTGAATAACTGGTTTTTCTGAACCAAACTGAACTCAACATGAGCTCTCTCGAAACTGAGGTTAATGAAAACATTGACATCTCTGATGCCCTCATCAACGAGGCTGCCAGACTAGAGAATGAGTACCGTATTATCGAGGAAGTAGAGACTCCGGGAATACATCCTAATGCAAGCTTCGAAGATGGAGAAAATCCAGAGGTTAGAAAGGCAAATTCAATTCAGGAAACGTCAAGCTCTCCGGTTGAAGAACCAGTAAAGACACCATCTTTAAGTCAAAGTTCTCCATCAAAAAATCCTGAAAGTAACTATGTGAAAAAAGAGGCAAATTCAACCCCTGAGAAGAGGAAAGCTGAAAATAGTAGTTTGAAGCGTCAACCAACAGACGATTTGCTGGATACTCTTCGACCGCAGCCGCCTGAAGCCAAGCAGTTGAAAAAAAGTTTTAAAATCCCAAAACTTTCAAAGAAGAATGCAATAGCCATCAACAAACCTTCCGGTAGTCTGACTGAAGAGCAATCTCAATTCTTAGCAGCATTGGAGCGAGACTTTTCGCATCGATACACTGATCAAGATGAAGATTACGTCAAAGCTGCAAACAGTAAGGTTCCACCACCAATAATCGAAGACTTCTTTTGCCCACCTAGGCGGAAATTTAACCGTCCCGAAGGTTCCTCCCACTATGATAGAAATAATCGGAATTCTAGTCCCTATGGTCATCATCCAAGGCATTATCAACATAAGTATTCCAGAGACTATTCTAATAGCAGGGATTATCCTAGCCGCAGGGATTATCCGAGTAATAGGGATCATCGTAATAGAGAATATCCAGATAGGGACAACCCAAATTACAGGGAAAATTCTGGCAGCAGGGAAGATCACAACAGTAGGTACCAGCACCAACGTCATCAACAAAGATTTCAGCCCTACTAAAATTGTATTACCTGTTCATGCATACGGTTATGAGTCTATCTTTTCTCAGAATGGAGTTTATCTAATTCTAGCTTTTTTCTTCCTTTTTTGTGGTTCAGTAAAGTGCTGAAAAATATCCCCCTTTACTTTTTAGCTCTCCCTTATTTTGTTAACCATGGTGATAAGAAGCTATGAGATGATCTGTCTTCGTGTATATTTTGGATCTATAACCCCTGTGGCATGAATTTTGTCCAGTTGAGGATTTTTGAGGCATATGGTGGGCAGTGATTAGCAAACAATAATCAAATGACGCGGATTTGGAAGGTAGATAGTCAGTTTCAAGTTGCATTCCTTCGCAAGCCTCAGTGTCAATAACAAATTTGAATTCATATTTTTCCGTGTGTCAACAGAAGTCAGAAAACCAAAACTTGAGAATTTTCTAGGCTCTTTTTTAGCCATTTAAAAAAAAATTTCTAGGAAGAGGCTCAAAGTCAAAACCTTTGTAGTTCAATATATCTGGAACATCATGCGGTATGAATATCCTATTAGCGCCTAAAAATTGTCTAAGATCGCGCACTCCAACATAATAAAATAGACCAATTCTCTATTAAAGGTTATATGTTATGTTTCTCTTCATTTCTTGAGCTTGTTAAAAAAAATTCAGACTCATTTTACCAATACTAAGTATTTTTTGATAAGAACAAGAACCAGATGTTTTAACTTTTCGTCAGGTTTTATGAAAGAGAAGTGATCTGTCAGGAAGTCATGAGAAATCAAAATTGACGTTGCCCAAGTGAAGGAGGATATCTTCAAAAATCTGGCCCTTACTACCTAAATCTTGGGGTGCTTACTGCTCTGAGACTTCTCATTCCTTCAACCACCTCTCTCCAATTGTGCCCCAGCAGCAAGCATCTCTGCTTACGTTTGAAGCTTGTGGCGAGAGAAGGAAAAGAGGTTTCTGATCAGTAAGCAAGACCAGAATTGCCAATATTGTCCAATACTTGTGGAACGTCGACTCCGATCTCTCATAACTTCTGAACAGATTTTTTTCCCAGACCCATTACCACTTTAGATCAGCTGCAGTCATCAAAAAATTTTAAAAAAAACTGGTTCTCCCTCAAATCCAAGGATACATGTTTTGAGTAAAATTCGTCAGAAATTTTTATAATATCATACTCTCTGTGATATAAAATTGTGAGAGCGATGCATTACACCTGAGGGTTGGGTTTGGACCGCGAAGTGGTCAGGAGGCGTAGCCCCTACTTCCTAAAAAAGGAGAGGAGTGTAAACTCAACTTTCAAATGAGGACTGCCAACTCTCTTTTGAAATGTTACAATACATGTGCAATTTTAAACGATTTTCAGTGTGAATAGGATATTATGTAAAATCTTTTCCCGTTCAAGAGATGTAAAACTACCAAGGTTTCAATTAAGATATGGCTACNGAGAGAGGAGTCTGAAATTTCGGGATAAGATATCTTAGGTTCAGTAATTCATTTATTTAGCTGTAAGAGAATCTTAGTGAAAAATGAAGTGTTTTTGAATCAAGTTGTTTTCACCCTTGACTAACAACGGTGATTTTGCACAAAAAATAATGTCCACAAATGGCCCAGAGTTCTAGTATTATACATGTTTTCAAATTCAGTTGAGAAACTTATTATAGTCTGTTCCATATCTACCTGTTGGGTCGCACTTACTTTAATGATGTTCTGTTATAGTTTTAACTCTGTCTTCGGGACAGAAGGCAACAATCATAAGAACACAAACCAATTCAATCAAGTTTTTCCTTTCAATTCTTGTAATCTCTACCTCTTTAATTTATCATGAAGTAAAGTTTAGACCTTAGTTTTAACATCTTCGTTTCATTCAATCAATTTCTCAATAAATAGATAATTTTCTAAGAAATGAAGCTATTTGAAATGAAGAGGCAATCTGTGAAATCGTAGCATGTCCATATATTTTGCTTAAAGGCTTTAAAAGACTAAATAATTCATCCACAAATATTGGTCGCAAAAATTGATTCTAATCACTAAAATTTTGGCTTGAGTGATATAAGCCGCGTGAGTAATTCCATGACTCTTCTTTAATTGCTCTGGAACAGCCTGAACTGTCTCCATTGTCCCGTAACAGATGATGATACTTTTTTCCTGATTTTTTCTGTTTCTTTTCTTCACAATTGTTCCAAACAAAATTTTCATTTACATCCCTGAAAAAATTTCCCTCTTCATCAGATATCATCAGAGTTCCTACCACAATTTTTTACTCAATAATTAAAGCATCCGACGTAAAAATACGTTGTCTAACAACCTCATTTTCAGGTTAAGAAGCATTCAATTAGACCTAGACCGAATATTATGGAACTGAGCTGCCAATCTTTTTAGTATTTGTATGTATTGATAAGTAAGGTCTTCTCAATCACAATCAATTATTGTTTTTCCCTTTTGAACCAATAATTAATCCTTGCTGGTTCCTTAAATTAATGCCAAAATCAAATCATGTAACTCAAGTATCAGCAGTCAGGAGTTTCCTCAGTATATATTTCCTTCACAGGAAGACGTTTCTGAAATGACTTCAAAATGACCAATAAATAGAAAATTTCCTAAGTTACACGCTCTAAAAGACATTAATTCAGGATGCCCATTGTTCATGTAAAACCAGAGACTTTTTTTAATTCTTGAAAACTTAAAAACCTGAATTTTTTTTTTATTGACTTAAATACGATGAAGAAAAAATGTGTTAATTTTAGAAATAATTGAAGACTCATATATTTCATTGTATGGCAGCATGTTTAAAATCATTTGCAATTATGGTTGCATGGCTAGCAATGTGACATTTTCTTACATTAGAGCTTGATTTTCGCAACCAAAATAGGTTGTTAATGCGATGGTTGAGTGTTGCTAACCAAAATGAAGAAGAGTCTCCACCAATTGAGCTATGTAAATCGTGCACAGAGTATCTTAAAGGCATTTATTCAATACCTTTTTGCGATTTACATTGATCAAAACTTAGATGAGCCTTTTAATTTTGATCAGCAATACTCAAAAGTTGCATTGGTAGCCCATTTTGATCGAGGGAAGTGAGCTTAGAAACTTTGAGCAGAATTAAATTTTTGTTCGGAAAACCTGAAAAATTGTGTCTCTAGAGTGAATGGGCCTTCTGAAATCATTATTGCATAAAATGTTCTTGTGTATTCTAATTATTTGTATTTACCAATGTAATTTTCAATGCCCTAATATCATAATCTGATGGTCAACAATAGATTCTTAGAATCTGTTTCCATTGAGAATTATCAATGTTTGACTCATTTTTGCAAATCTGAAGGGTACCAGTTGATTTTTTTTCTATTAAAACAAGGTTCAATAAGTTTTCTGTTTTCTCTTAAATTTTTTCAAGGAACAGAAGTCATCTCGTGATGACTTTGTTTTCCAAACGTGATATTTATACAGTGTTGTAGGCTGCAAGATCTATAAGCTTATTGTTTCTTTTTCACAATGGAATAATTGTTAAACTTTATCCTTGCTGAAATCTGACAGCCTAAGGATTATTAACTTGTTGTGAATTGTGACATACAATTATCATTGTTTGATTTCAATAAAGATAAATCAATGAATGTATATTTTTGTTTTTTCTTTGTCATTGAGTTACTAGAATAAATTGAGTGCTTGAAGTTGAGAAGTTCAAGAATATTGATAAGAATTTATGATTTTCTTTTTATTAGTCAAAAAGAGTTAGCTTATTAGTTATTTCCCTTCATAAAACTTCTCAAAATTCTTTCTTGCATTAAGGTTGACTTAGGTGTAAATGTAGGTGGCAATTTTTTCCTCCTACAGGAAATGTCAGAAATGAAAAAAAACTGTGTTAATGGACACTCAGGTTTTTAACGGGCTTTGGATTTTAAAATTGAACTCTTTGATTCGCAAAAAAACTAGTTCCCACTTACTAGTTAGAACCCTCTTTGGTTTTTCATTCCTCATCTTTTTTTAGTGTATTTTTTCCAAGTATACTTGCATTTTGCCTTTTAAGTATCTCATAAAAAGTCAAAGCCAGGGGTCAAATCACACCCACGAAAGCACCATCATATTTCCTACACCTCAGCAATTATCAATTAATCAGTGATGCACACTATAACTCTGGCTACTTCTCATGCATTGCTATTGAAACCTAAATAAAAAAAATAATGGGATGTACCACCATAGTGGATAACATCAATCAATGTTTTCAAAACAAGGACAACTCTGTTAATGTTGGACCTAGGAACTACATGGGCAATTTGTCATTGGAGGAATCTTAATTTTCTTGTCACTTGCTGATCAAAATAAGATTCTTTGGTTTGTTCGATCAACCATGAAGCCAAGTCACCTTCATTAGAACTGATTTTAAAAGTTTATTATTGCTTCTTTTTTCCGTAGCTTTTCATGAAGGATTTTCAGTATAGAGAAAACTGGAACAAGGTATAAAATTTAAATCTTGTATAATGATGGCTGAAATTTACAACTCAAATCACAGGAACATAATTGGAAAACTCATCCAAAAATATTAGGTATCCACCTAGTTAGCCAACTTGATGATGGTTTCTCAGCTGATGGTTTCTCAGGGCTGGTAAGTCTTTGAGGAGTGGACTCTTTTTTTCCTCCTAGTCCAAAAATTCCTCCTAGAAGTCCACCGCTAGGTTTTGGAGGAGTTGGATTCGGCTTTGGTGAAATTTTCGTGACATCAGAACCGGGCCTGCTGGGATTTGCATTGCTTGGTCCTCCAGAGTCTGAGCCCTGCTCAGTGTTCGTATTGCTTGCTGCATTTACATTGATGTTAGAGCCTTGGCTCGGATTGGTGTTGCTACCAAGATTTGAGCCTTCTTTATCAGACTTTGTATTGCTAGCCCCAAACAGGCCCAAGACAGGATTTGAGGGACTTGGTTTAGTGGGCAAAATTCCACCTAGCCCTGAAGTAGGCTTCAAAAGTCCACCAATCGCTGAGGTGGCATTTAATACATTTCCCACTGAGACCGTACCACATGGGTTCAGACCAGAGAGTGCGTTGCTGAGAGAATTATTCCACAGGTCTACAGGTATCGTGGCTAAGATGCCGTTTATGTTTGGGAAGTTACACTGCGGAGATTTAAGACGATCCAAGAGTCCTGTCCAAAGACCCATCTCACAGTATCGAAAACCAGTTTTCACCTCTGGCGTGGATTTGATTACCACATATTCGGACTTGTCTTTGGAAAAGGGCGTCCAGTTGACTGCCAAGTTTTTCACTGCAGGGTTTCTGAAATAAGAAAAGTAATATTTTCTTAGGATGGTTCATGAATAATGTGTGCAAGTAAAATAGTTTCTCAGAGAACCTTCTGAGATATTCCAAGGAATTGTTCTGAGGAGCAATGTTAGTGTCCGAGAACAAACTTGATAACTTCAAAATACAGATCATGGACTTAAAAAATATGAAAATGGACAAAATTTCTAGTAATGCTCTTTAAAAAAAAAAAAAATACATTCCTCATTAGTTACAAATTATCAGGAGAGTGATTATTGCCAAGTTGGGTTCAAAGGTCTTTGAAATATTTAACGCAAATGGCTTTAAAGTATCCCAAGATGAATCGCATATGTACAATTTATTTTTGAGCCAACAGAGCGAACACAGGTGCATTTTAAGCCCTGGATAAAAACGAATAAAACTCGGAATCGCCTTATTCTAAAATCACACAAACATCACATTGCCTTTCCTTCCTTTCGATTCAAAATTTTTGAAGGTTATAGCTTTATATTTTTAAAATAATACTCCTCTGTGCTATGATATGGATAACGCTCTCTTAAGATTTTAAACAGTAAAGCCTCTTATCTTATAAACGTCAACTTAAAAGTTATCTGGTGGTTAAGAGAACCAGGAAAAATTGTTGGAAAAAATGCTATAAATATCAAAGAGACAAAATAGGTAAGTAATAGACTACCTAACGACAACCCACAAGAGACCCTGCAGTTAGACCATCATTTGCCCCCTTCCCCGTTACTTTTCAACCAATGAGATCACTCTGTACTCATTATATCTGTTTTGTCCATCAATTTCAATAATCATCCCCCAGATTTTGTTGACATGACAAATGATTTTTAAAGGAAAAGGAAACATCCATTACCCAGAGCGAACAAATTCAGCGACAATGGAGGAAAATATTTCTCTTGTCCTCAAATCCTCATTAGACAGTTTGACGGAATCAACTTCTTGGCCTTCAAGAGAACGGACATCAAAGAGGTTCACCAAGTCTTCTCCGTGAGCGACTTCATTTTCTGAAGGTTGGCTGCCTGTGTCTGTTTTGTAGATAGGTGAGCCTCTGAAGAGCTCCTTAACCAATTTCTTTGCTGCTCGAGAGGGTTGCTCAAAACTGTAGAGATAAGTAGGTGCATTTGATCCTCGCAGGTTAGAAGTCATGAAAACAGGTAGGTTGTACAGAGCATCAGTGGTCATCTGAATTCATAAGGAAGAATCATTGGTTTTTGTACTTTCGATCTACAATTGAAAGCAATAAATGTGGGCTTCCTTGATACGAGTAAGACGTACTCTACAGGATGTCTACTAAAACAGGCTAACCAAAAATCAGTACTTTTACAGCACTTCTTTTGTACATTCCCAAGAAATTCAGAACCTCCTTAAAGGAAAAATTCAGCACTTTTTCAATACCCCCATTTGGCGATTTTCGGAAAATTTCAAAAATTTAAAATTCTCGCTCAAAGGGCAACAAAAATGACACAGACATATACTTTCATTGGTGACTTGAAGATTAACTGACTGCACAATCGCAATCTTGCAGGCAAATACTACTCCAAGAATTAATTCGCAGGCGATGGTATACTTTTCAGGCTATATTAAAAAACACACTTGGTATGAAGGAAAAGATTCGGACAGTTTAGCAGAATTTCTGCACTTTTTAGTACTTTGGGACCGCCATTGAAAATTCAGAACTATATCCAGAAATTCCGAACTTGTAGCCACCCTGCTCTACATATTGCTGGTTATCCCTTCACTGATGATACTCAACTCTAATATAAAAGAAATTTTTGGGATCTCAAAAATTTTCTGATGTTTTTATGTATTTTCAGAAATAATCTTGTTTGTTTATTTGTGTCAAATTAAGAAATAATTACAAGACTGTAAATATTTTTCCGTTACAGCAAATGCCTAACTGAATAAAGAGAGTAATTTTTCACAAAAAAAAAAAAAGTTTCAATTATTTCACTTACTTGAACAACCTTGTCGAGCTCAGGAAGTTTTGGGGCATTGAAGGTCAAAAGCTTCAAATAATCAAGTTTGCTGAACAAGGCATTTATTAATTCATTCACTCGTCCCGTTGGATTTAAGCCTGGAAAAATAAAGAAACAATCGATTAACAACAGAAATCTGAGTCAAATAATGGGAAAGGAGGAAAAAATTAAAAAAAGTTTATGTTTTATGTTTTCTGTGTAAGTTTGAATATTGCCAACAGAAATGGTTTTTAACAAATAACAGTGATTGCTAACAAAGTTATTTATACATTGATAATAATAGGGATGCATCTTTCATTACACACAGACAAAATCAATTTTAATAAAAAATTCAAACTTCCATGAGAGAAAACTCGGCCAATTTTTGTAAATACAAATTTACAGCAGGTAAAAATCTGTGAGGAGGCATTCTGGCTTCTTGAAATTCCACCTAAAATTCGCTGAAAAAGTTGGTAAGTTGTTAGTACCTGTGTTGGCTGATATCAGAGATACTGGTAAATTACGATCCAAAAACTCCGGTACATCTTTTAAAACTTTTGTAATTTGGTTCTTGAGGCTACCTGTTAAGAAAGGAGAGTAATTGAGATTGAAATTATGATAAATACTATGAGGATGTAACTTTTAAATAAGTAAGAAATTAAAATTAATCAATTCTAATCTTGCAAACTGATGCTTAAAAGGTGAGTGACAGAAAGATAAAACTCAGCAGACTAATTGATGATTACATGCATACAGCAATGAACTAGGGAGAGTGGCAGTCCCCAAAATGCAAGGAGTACCTCAAAAGTGAGGTTTCGAACACACTGGTAACTAATGTAATTGCGCTAGGAAAAATCTGACGTTGCAGTCTTGTTTGATACCTCTATCCCTTTAAAATATGCAGTTGTTTGATCCGCTAACATTGTTAGTCATGATTTGGGCAGTTAAATTAGTCAGAGCGTACCAATGCTGTCACCGCCAAATCTGCTTCAATAAATCCCCCGATTCCTCATTTCTGCAATAAGCAGAATCCACAAAGTGATACAGTTTTTAATTTAAAAAAGACGTAAAACCCATAGACATTTATCATCAGGTAGCAGAAAATTGCGGAATTTAGGTTGTGGAAATGAGAAACTTGCACAATTTGTGCAAAAAATTCACAACAGGTTGTACCGAATTCAAAACAAAGAAAGAAGCAGTTAGCCATTGACTTCTGACGAGATAATTACAATAATGGGGGCAAAAATGCTAAAAGATCCAAGAGGTACTACCGGGGAGTTACTTCATGTCAACAATATTGAGAAACACACACCTTTGACAGCAGTGGATGTTTCATGCATCGTAACACCTGTAAGCATAGGGACTTGAGAGTAATTTCCTTCTTTGAGAGAATCCACTGGCGGCTTGTTGAGGAAATATGGTAAAAACCATTGATCATCTTCACCCTCAACTACTGCACTAGGGTTTAGAGACTTGCCCAATATTGTCACAAAATCATCACTTTGCAAACGAATGAACTGTGAAAAAAAAAGAAAGAAAGAAGGGGGAAAAAAAAATCAGTTCACATTCACAGAAAATAATCTCGTTAAAACCACTTACATAAAGAAACTGGCAAAGCCTTTCGAAATTTTAGAGACCATTTGTTCGCAAAAAGTAGTGATATCACCTTCAAAACACATTACATTTTTAATTATTTTCCCTGAGGTTTTGCACCATCAAAATCTCGAAGTTCTTTAAACCAAGCACCAAGTAGGGCTACCATGTACATTATTTCATACTATAGTGGAGAGTAATGAGTACAGCTATTGTAAGAACTGAGTGTATCAAATTCTCACTCCTGAGCTTTTTCCTGATAATATATTTGAACCTTTTGGCAAGACATGGCAAAAAATATTTCTAGAAGGAAAAATACTCACAAGATTACTGTAGTCGTTTGAGACTATCTCTGGTAATGGGAGCTTTTGCATGCATTTGACCTGGGCCACCTTGCTTTTTTCTTTATCACAACCAGAGAGGCGAGTGATGTTGTTGGAGAATGCCTGAGGCTTCTCATCAATGGCAAATGATGAAACAGATGTACCACTCATTGCAAAAACTCCGCTGATTATGTCTGCAAAAGATTTTCTTCAGAACTGGTAAGATATCCTTTTAAGCAAATCACTATCAATCGGGTTATGATGAGAACATACTTAAGATAAAATTCTGAAGTAAAATTTCTCTGAAGCCACTGAATAATAAATCAATCTAGCTTGGATTGAAGTTCAGTAATCTTCCTCCCTGGATAGAACATCCTTAGACATTATCACTCACGGAGAAACGACTTTATTGATTGACAGAAACTTTAAATTGACTGATTGATATCAGAATATAGAGGAATGTTTTAAAAAATTTGAGGGGAAAACGCCCAAAAATGCCAAACCAAACTGAAAGCATGACAGTTTGAAACTTGCAGTTCAAGAAACATTGTTTCAAGAAAAAGTAATTTAAAATACAAATCTGTCGAAAGGTTTTGAGTTAGATTTTTTTTGGTCAGACAAATTGGATGCAAGACATTAAGTTGGAATTTTTACCCAAAGTGCGTGAAAACTCTAGACAACTGGAAATCTCATCAACACAGAAGGAAAAAGCTCATTTGAGCACGATTTTGTAAAATTTAAAAATTTAAAATTTACGAAAATTTAAAAACTTTTAAAACAAACTTTAAAACCACTCACTTACATAAAATTTTTTCAATTTTTGAAGCGGACGCATTTCGGAGGTGTCACCGACCTCCATCCTTAGCGCGACTGGTCAGTCAGATGATTTCGGTTCGGATCATTTCCAGTCCCTCCATTGTTGACATAAATTGAGCATATTGTTCTGAATAGTCTGTTATTCATTCCCGTTAGATCCGTATTAAAAATGTTGTTCTTATTTTGGTACACGTAAATATTTTCCCATATATCTAGTCTATTTTTCTCAGTGACTTTTTCTGGTAGTTTCTTTTACATACTCAACAACTTGTGTAGTGATTTAAACTCCTGTAACATTTTCTCAGAGATTTCCAGTTTTCTGGAATTTTAACTCACGTTGGCTAAAGATTCCAACTTATTGTCTTACAACTCGTGCGTCTACCGCAATCAGATTGTGAAATTGGATACAGTCTACCACATGGCCTGCTAGAGCTCAAATTTAAAGGTAGGTATGATTAGGTCCACCTAACAGCTAGAATGCATAAATTATTATGTCTGGCCAGACCAAATAGTTGAATGTATAAATTCATTTGCCTTATTGAGTTTTTCTTACACCAAAACAGGACTTTTTTACGGATCTATGAATAAGAAGAACAATTTTGCCTTATCTAGCAAAAAGCAGAACCCAAGTGTGTCAAAAGCACCTTTTTACAACAAAACAGGGCTTTCTTATGGATCTATGAATAAGAAGAACAATTTTGCCTTATCTAGCAAAAAGCAGTACCTAAGTAAGTCAAAAGCACCTTCTTATGAGTTCAGAGAGGCGAGGCAAATTTTTTAGGATAAATACAGATTGGGTGAAATGGACTGAGTTAAGCAGAAAGGAACCAACCCACATTTTGGAAAAAATTGAGTTATGAGTGGTTTTGAACTCGACTACTGCTCTACTATCTATCGCCAAAAATTCAAAGTTTTTGTTGGAGCAAATTTTGCAGAAACAGAATTTGAAGTTTATCTTTTACATTGAGTCTTATGCAGGAGACAAACTTTAAACCTTTTTCTCGGTTCGATCCCGATGTGGCTTGGTTCCTTTCTGTTTAACTCTGTCCAAATAGAGTACAGATTATAAAACAAAAAAATTAAGAGCCTATAGATACCTTTGGTAAAGTGGGATATTCCCATGAAATTTGCAATGGCAGCTCCAGTCCCATGTCCACCAGCGACAATTCTGTTGGGATCACCACCAAAGTATTGGATGTAATTTTTGGTCCAGGAGAAAGCAGCATTTATATCGAACAGACCGGTATTACCCGGCAAATCCGTAGTGGCATCGCCAAGAAAACCTGTAAAACAATGACTTAGTTAAGTAACTTTTTAGTGAAAAAATTGACAAGGTTAAAGGTTTCCAAAATTTGTGGGTTACTGATCTTCCTACAAACTAACATGAGCAGCTCTCATGTTTTCCAGTGAATTTGTTGGAGAGGATTCAAAGAAAGCAAAATGTTACATTCATTTTAGTAAACGGGTTTAAGTGAGAGAGAAAATCTTGTGAATCTTACCCAGGGATCCAAGTCGATACTGAGTCGTAACAACAATTATATTATTTTTGACTAGGCTTTTTGGTTCGAATTGGGCACTTGATCCACTGACAAATCCACCTCCATGAATCCAGAAAAGTACAGGGTATGACTCTTCTGCAGTTTTGGAGCTCTTCTGTAATTTCAAAAATATTTTTAACTAAAAGAAGTGAGTTTATAAAGAGAAAGAGAGAGAGAAAGAAAAAAAATATTTGTGCATTCTGAACAAGTACTGTACCTTAGCTGCAGTGAGAATTGAAAGTTTAACTGTTTATCTTAATGCAGAGAAAAAGTGTCACAAATTTAATTAGATGTTGATTGGTACGATTATTTACTGGAGATAAAATACTAAGATGTACTTTTAAATGAGAACTGACATAAAATATGTAAAGCTATACTGTTCAAAAATGACACTATTTTTATCTATAAAAAATTGAAAAAATTTTCCCACAGACTTGGTTAGAGTCCAGAGGTAATGCAGTAGAGCAAAAATGCTTATCCAGAGACAGCTTGAGTTGATAAAAATCATCAATTTTTAAGAAGTTGCCTCTGAAACTGATGAACATAGAGAAAAATATAATGGCTCCTCCCGTGCGGCTCAATATAGAGTTGAACATAACTATCGGATGATACTTTTTGTGACTTATTTTCTTTTGGTTGTATTGTTTTGCGCATCCCTCTTATGAATAGCTGATTTTTGACTCCTGATCAGCTGTCTACCTCATTCGCACTACATGCTATTTGCTTTTGTTTGAAGAAACTTTTTAAAATTTTAGACAGTTTACCAGGATTAACTAAAATTTATTTTCATCATGGTTTTTCCAACTTAGGGAAATTTCTTGCATTCTTTCCACATTCATCTCATTATTATTGGTTTTTTTTTTTGTTTTTTTTAAACACATATATAAAATAATTTCCGACTATGGTGCGGGCCAATTTGTGAAGTTAGTGCAAAATGATAGCCATGAGGTGCCCACTTCAGCTGCGAGGGCTCATTTTACCAAACCTGGAACACCTGGTATGAGTGTGAAAATGAGTGATTGATATCAACTTACTTATACAGGGTGTCCCAAAAGTCCCTTCCACCCCCTCTAAAATTTTACCTAATTAATATTTTGAAACGAAACTTTGGGGATGTTCATCGATCAATGTAAGCTACTTTTGGGGCCCTCCAAAATTTTCGGGGCCCCCCGTGGGGAGGGGCTGCGATCCCCATTTTTTTTTTTCAAATGGCAACCCCTATCTTGTGATACTTCATTCGAAAGAGCATAAAAAACTAAGAATTTTGGCGCAAACCGCAGATCAATATCTTAATTTTTGACCGAGTTATGATAGGTCAAAGGTCAAATTTGACCTATTTTTAAAAAAGCATAACTCCGGTTCAAATTATCGTAATGAAAAAAATAAAACGGGAACATTTACCACATTGTAAGCACTTTTAAGAAAAAATCACAGAAATTACTTCAAACTAATTTTAAGGGGGGTTTCGGACCCCCAAATACGCCAATTCAAGGGTCATTCAATTTTCCCGCGAAATAAGCCAATTTCCCCCAGATTTGCCTCCACATTAGTTCAGTAAGGTCAAAATCAGTTCAACATTACGTTGGCAAGTCCCCAAATTTCGGGAAAAGTTAAAAAAAAAAACGAAATTAAAGGTGATTAAATTTGACCGTTTAAATTTTTTGTTTTTAACTTTTCCCGAAATTTGGGGACTTGCCAACGTAATGTTGAACTGATTTTGACCTTACTGAACTAATGTGGAGGCAAATCTGGGGGAAATTGGCTTATTTCGCGGGAAAATTGAATGACCCTTGAATTGGCGTATTTGGGGGTCCGAAACCCCCCTTAAAATTAGTTTGAAGTAATTTCTGTGATTTTTTCTTAAAAGTGCTTACAATGTGGTAAATGTTCCCGTTTTATTTTTTTCATTACGATAATTTGAACCGGAGTTATGCTTTTTTAAAAATAGGTCAAATTTGACCTTTGACCTATCATAACTCGGTCAAAAATTAAGATATTGATCTGCGGTTTGCGCCAAAATTCTTAGTTTTTTATGCTCTTTCGAATGAAGTATCACAAAATAGGGGTTGCCATTTGAAAAAAAAAAATGGGGATCGCAGCCCCTCCCCACGGGGGGCCCCGAAAATTTTGGAGGGCCCCAAAAGTAGCTTACATTGATCGATGAACATCCCCAAAGTTTCGTTTCAAAATATTAATTAGGTAAAATTTTAGAGGGGGTGGAAGGGACTTTTGGGACACCCTGTATGTAGTTCGGAATATTATGCTTGCATCAGGAGTGTGATACATAGTATGGTTCACAGTGATGAAGAATTGACATTGTTCCTGTCCACTGACTATTTCTATCTTCTATACGTCAGTAATTCAGTACAAACATGAAGGGTTGAGAGTATACTTTAAAGGTTATTACTAATAGATGGGATGTTAGGGCAAAAAATACTTACTTTGGGGGTGTAAATGTTCAGAAAGAGGCAATCTTCATTGCCGATGACTTGTCGATTACTAGTATCATATTGTGGGCATGGTGAACCAAAAGATGTTGCTTTTATATCGCCTCTTGGAATTCTTCTTTTGGGTCTCTTGGAAAAATAAATCATAATTAGATTGTAAGTTTGCGGATCGATTCACTCTTTTGTATGTATTTATGCTGAAAGGAACCATGTTGAACGAAAACCCTTAACGCTCTCTTTTTGGGCCGTAGTATCTTGATTCATTTTGCGAGGAAAGCTCCGTGCTTTTGAAGGATGCCTGCCATTCCTAATATGTTGGAGCTCCTTCAATTTCGTATGATACTGTGTATGAAATAGTTGCTTCAAGCGTCTTGGCACGCTGCGGCGCGGCGGGGGGCAGCCAGCGCGAAACGCGCATTGGCGCCTACAAACCTAACAGGGATACTTCACGCATTGCGCAATGCGTGAAGTATCCCTGTTAGGTTTGTAGGCGCCAGTGCGGCGCCGCGCGCCGCTCCGCTTTGTGTTAGGCCCTAATATTTAATCTCGCGGAGTCAGCGTTTTTCAACTTATGATTTTGAAATGTTTGCACACTCTGTATGGGATTATTCTCATTTTAATTAATGAAAACATAATATGTATTAAAGGAAAATATAATGTGTGTTTTGAAAATATTAAGGTGATTCCGTACAAACTTGAGGATTTACAAAGCGCACGAATTTCTACACAATTTCTTGTAGCTTTTTGTAGCCGATGACGATAATCTGTACAGCTCGGCGGTAGGAACTACAGCCCGGCTGCATAATTTTTGTCGCTTCGTGTGGTCGGGCTGTATGATTTTCTCCGCTTTCTACTGCCAGCTATATAATTTTCTGTAGCCTTCTTTAGTTGGCTATAGGAGCTCCTATGGTCTTTTGAAACGCAGCTCCTATCGTCAATTTTTACCCGGGTATATTTCGTCACCTTCCAGGCAAAGTATCACAAGCGCCATGCGACGTTTAAAAATTTCCGCCGTCATTTTATTTCTTTACTGAGAAACTTTTGGTTGAATCTGTTTGGAAATTTCACTAAATTTTATCCGCAGCACAAAGAAAATTCAGTGAAATTTTCGGACAGCTTCGTTGAACAATTTCTCTGTAAAAAAATAAAATGGCGGCGGAAATTTTTAAACGTCGCATGGCGCTTGTGATACTTTGCCTGGAAGGTGACGATTTGTGTTTCCTCGAGACTTGTATGAAATAGAGTTACCTGGAACCGATACTCCTTGACGGGGGGCTCGACGAAGCGGATGCCGCGGAAGACAACGTAGTCGCCGCCGTTGGAGCCGACGATCTTGGCGTTGGCCTTGGTCTCCGGGTGGTCGATGAAGACGATGGGGTCGGGCGACGGGTCCCTGTCGTCGCCCGACTCCGGGAAGATAAGGGGTGGGTCCGCAGGGCGACCCCCGACGATCCGCTTCACCCTGGCCCCGCCGAGCGCCCTACGGCGGCGACGATTCTGCTCCGTGAAGAACTCTTCGAAGGCGCGCAGGAACTCCCCCGACCCGGGGGCAGCTACCTTGCAGGCGCGCACCGCCTCCGCGGAGATGGTCGCCGTTGAGTTAGGCGCCACGTTGCAGTCTTTGAGCAACAACCCTCGGCTCCCGTTCTCAGCTTGTGCCGCCAGGGTTAAGAGAGTGCATAGAAGTAGACGTAGCATTTTCGGGGGGGGGGGATTTTTTTGCCCGATTACCGGCTGAACGATGTTCCACCTCCTGAGGCGGCAAAATTTCAAGCTCGAATCTTGGTGTTTAAAAATTCTCGAGACTGATTAAAGGCTTCAATAAAATGATCATGGCTCTTATCGAGGACTTTTGTTTTCACGCTAGTATTCCTACGTTTATCCCAGCAAAGTTTAAAGATTTAGAAGAGAAACAAATCCCTTGGAGTTTCTGTAATGCGGGTGATATTTTAGATTTGTCCATCAATAAAAAAAAAAGAAAACGGCGTTGCTTTATGAGGGCCGATGTTTCTTGGAAATTTTTTGAGCCGGGTCGGTAGGCGAATACTGTCCCACCGGGTAGTAGATTTTTTAAAACTTGTTTTAGTTTTTTTGAACGTTTGCTGTTGAAAAAGTCCCAAAATTACGGAATGAAGACTTGGAGATGAAATGTCACTTTTTTTGCATTATTATTTCCTATGGTATATTTATCCTAGAAAAGTTTGAAGATTCAAAAAAGGGAAAAAACCTTCAAATTTTTTGAAATTTTGGCTTCGTCCACTAAAAACAGAAAAAATCCAACTTTCGCAAGATGGAGTGCACGCCTCGTTCCCCTATTTGAAAAAATTGCGTGGTTAACTTGAGGATCATTTGAAGATCGAGTAAAATCCTTTGATTTTTTTGAAAGTACAGCTTTGCACACGGTTGAAAAATTAATTCGTAAAAGCCAAGGGCCTCAATTTACCTACTTTAAAAAAGAAAGAAAAGAAAAAAACGGAACATTTTCAATTCTCAAAGACAATTTTGCTTGATTAATAAAATTCAAATGCAAAATTGAACACCTAGAGGTTTGCGGAATCGCTCTGAATCTCTCCCTCTCGAACTTGATGGACGCGATGCACCTAATAGAGACGCACTGATTTTTTCACTTGACTGCTGGTGTAGTTCATGGACACAAAAGGTACCGATAGTTTTAATACCTTTTTTTCACTGTTATCGTTTCCCCCGAAGGAACTGACATGTGAGTAAATTCGTCCGTACAGGGACGGGAAAGTTGCGAGGCTGGGAAAACTACCGATTCGGGGGTTTCTCAAGAGAACAAAACGCGAAGCACGACGCAGAATGATACCGCGACTTTCGCCTTTTTCGGCGTTGATACGGAGGGACACGGAACGGCTCGGCAGCGTGCGACACCCGCCAACTGCTCGCAAGATCACAGGGGCATGGCCGGCGATCGGGGCATGACGAATGACAGGAGCCGTCAAGAAGTGGTTTGCCGTGAACCGCCCGTGCAAAACCAGTCATAAGCGCATCAAGTCTGTCTCCCCTCAGTCATCGGAAGCTTTGATAGTAGAGATGAGAGCGGGGGGCTGAGCTCCCTGGCCCTGCATGGCCGGCGGCTCTTGCTGCTGTTTCACCGTGGAAAGCAGCAAAGCAAAACAATTTGGAAACTGATTTATTTTTCAAAGCACCACTTCGACGGCGTAAGTCCGCGATCACATGTCTGGTTTGCGGCGTCTGAAAATCTCCGCTACCCTGGTAAAAATTGGCAGTAGAATCTGTGTTCCAAAATACCATAGACCTACAGCCGGCTGTAAGATTTCCAATAGCTTCTATAGCCGGCAACACAATTTCTTATAGCCTTTTATAGCCGATGGCAATTAAGCAACAGCCTGGCGATAAAGTGTACGCTAAACGTTACTAATTACGGATGCTAGGACTTAGTGAGTTTTTGGACTACCGCTCTCTTTTTGGGCCGTAGTATCTTGATTTGTTTTGCGAGGAAAGCTCCGTACTTTTGAGGGATGCCTGCCATTCCTAAAATGTTGGAGCGCCTTCAATTTCGTATGATACTGTGCGATACTTCTAGTGTGAAATAGTTGCTTCAAGCGCCGTGGTACACTGCGGCGCGGCGTAATGCGTGAAGTATCCCTGTTAGGTTTGTAGGCGCCAGTGCGCCGCCGCTCCGCTTTGTGTTAGGCTCTAATATTTAATCTCGTAGAGTCAGCGTTTTTCAACTCATGACCTTATAATGTTTGCACACTCTGTATGGATTATTCTCATTTTAATAGATGAAAAAAAAATATGTAGGTAGTAAAGGAAAATATAATGTGCGTTTTGTAAATATTAAGGTGATTCCGTACAAACTTAAGGATTTACAAAGCACACGAATTTCTACACAATTTCTTATAGCTTTTTGTAGCCGATGGCGGAAAAGCAACAGCCAGGCGCAGGCGATAAAGTGTAAAGCCCGGCGAGAGGAGCAATAGCCCGGCTGTATAATTTTTTATCGCTTCGTGTAGCCTGGTCGTATGATTTTCTCCACATTCTACAGCCAGCTATGTGATTTTCTATCACCTTCTTCAGTCGGCTATAAGAACTCCTATGGTATTTTGAAACGCAGGTCCTATCGCCAATTTGTACCAGGGTATTCTTTTAAATGAGAACAAATTGATATCATTCCTGGAAGTTTTTGCAGAATTTTCTTTCGCACAGAGAAGAAAATCACGGTAGTTTTAATGAATTGCCGTTGAGTAGTTTTCCGTTTAAAAATAAAGTATGACAGGCACTCTGCGACGTCGCAAACCGAGTTATGTGGTTGCCGACTTACACCGTCGACTCGTCTATTTTCTTTTAAAAAACTGAATGATTCCGCTTGGATAGCGAAATTCGTCGTTGTGAAAAATGAAAGGGTCGTTGGAGAGCGCACTGTCGTGCTAGGTCAATCAGCAGTAACTGCGAGATTTTCAACGTACAGTAAAACGCATGTGGTATAATTATGCTTTATACGTGGTGTAGGAGGAGGTCGCAACTTTTTCCGCAATCATCGGCGTAAATATTTCAGTTTTGGCTTTCATATAATAAGTATCTTCTTCTTTGAAACGGGCAGAAATTTTTCTGTTAATTGTGTGGACTTACGGCAAAATATTTATTTACTGCTCTTTGACGTTAGCACGGCAGCTTACTGTCGAAAAGAGCAGCAACGAACAAATTATCGAAATTGATTTACTATTTTTCAAAATTCTCCGAATAAAATTTGAGATAAAATTTAATGATTTCTCTTAAAGAGCAAAATTCAGTTTTGCACAAAAAAAAAAACAAAAACAAAAAACGCTTTCAGTATAATCATCTGGCGGATGGATCACGGCGCGACGTTGAAAGTAACGTCTTGACGGTGAATACAACTATATCTACTTGATGACTTGCCGGGTTGCATATCGGAATTATGAAGGCGCTCTGGTTATCTTTACTTCGCGTAAATTCAACGATCTGTTGTGCTAAGGAAGTATGCCATCAAGTGTCCGGCAGTAATTTCGTTGAGGAGGTAGGTTTAAAAGGACCATTGGTACTCTTCGCGTGGAACAGATTTTCTGATCCCTCATACCCTGCAGAGTATTAGTCCAATACCTCATTGCTCTATGCTTAACATAGAGCGTGATACGAGAATTGGTGCCAATTTGGTGGAAGTGAAATGGCAAGTTTTGGTACCCAACCTACAAAACCCCTGCACCAGGACGTTGCGTGATGGTGTGTATTCGACACTCCTCTGCTCACTACTATTTTATTACTAAGAGCTCCCTGGCCGCTACGCGGCCCAGCCCCCAGAGGGCGCCTCGCGCTTTCTTAGGCCCGCTTCGACAAAAGAACGACAAAAAAGAAAGAAAGAAAAAAAAGAAAAGATCTTCATACCCGACTCTCATTTGGACTGCATTTTGCAATTTGGACCTATAAATTCTGGCTCATCTGAAAAAACACTTATGTGCATAGGGAAACTAATGGCACATACGTTGTTTTTAAACCGGGCCGGAATTTATAGGTCCAAATTGCAAAATGCAGTCCATTTGTCCAATCTCCCTATGGCCGGGAGGGATTGGACCGATATGAATCGTATGAAAAAAATCGTCATTTATTTTAAACTTCACGCCAAGACTTAAACGAAATGGAACGGAGCATTTCGTCTCTTTTGTATATATAGTCTGTAGCAAAGGAGCGTACTTTCATTTCACTTACTTCACCCTACTGACAGACTAAGATTCAACATTTTCCGCTTAGCTCAATTTCGCCCCCCTTTCTGAGGTTTCTGGTTTCCTTTAATATAAAAAAAACCTGGGTCCTATTTTCAAATTCTGACTACAGCGGGCTCATCCAGGGCCGGATTAAGGGGATGGCCACATGGGCCGCGGCCCATGGCGGCAAATTTAGGGGGGCGGCAAATGTTGTAATTTTTTCAAACGTAGGTATCAAGAAAAAAAATCTGATTAAAAAAAAAAAATACAAACGAGAAAAGGCGAAAAAAGCTCTCATTTCCTGAGAGTTAAAGTAAAGTAATTTTTAATTTGTTCGTCTTTCGGTGATACAACTGATACAAGAGACAGAAGTTGAGAGAGAAACCAAACACGCAATTTGGCCTAGAGCGGCGCGGCGGCGCAGAGAGCAATGATGACGAGGACTTGAGATGGAAAGGAGAAGCCCTCGACGCGCCGGTCAGCATGAAACACATTACGCCTACACACACACATTAGCGCCTACGAGACTCCATGGATACTTCACGCATTGCGTTGCGTCAAACGCAGTGCGGTCAGCAGCGGTCGGCGTGAAACGCATAGCGCCTACAAGACTGTAGAGATACTTCACGCATTGCGCCAAACACGGTGCGGTTGGCGCGCTGGCGGAAATTAAAAATATTAAACCACATTCATGTTTATTCTTTCATAATTTGTTCGTTCTTTTCTTATGAATGAAAGGCCTCGTCCACACAGAGATAGGTTTACGGAACTTAATTTTCGCGCGAAGTTCCGTGAACTTTTGCTAGTGTTGACAGGGCTTTCACGAAAATTGTGCCCAACGCAAGTAAACGCGTCTTATGCACGTTCCCTTGATGGTTTGTATCGATGTTTCAAAACGAATGAGAAGGGGCGGCAAAATAAAGGTGGCCCTTGGCCGGCAAGTAGGTAAATCCGGCCCTGGGCTCATCTATGGACTATCACCTGTCGATAACTGCAAAAATCATGGAAATCGGCCCAGTAGAACGCTCAAACGAACTATGACAAAAAATAAAAATTTAAATTGTTTAAATGGGAGAATTCGCAACTTTACCACGTTATATAAAACAACCTGAGCTATATTTGCAAAATCTGAATAAATCGGGCTCATTCAGAGACAACTGCCTGTCGATAGCCGCAAAAATCACGATAATCAGCCCGGTAGAACGCTGGAACTAAGCGTTACCAGGTACGCAAATTTAGGAAGTTTCGGAGCTTAGGTATAGTATAGATATATTATGTATTATTAGGAGACTAATTTCATATTTTGTTTACGTACTTCAACTTTAAAGTGCTTCTCGGATGAATCTTCAATGCGTATAGGTGACGTACCTCGGCGTGATGTATTTTCGGCAATTCAAAAAAAAAATAAAAAATTCAGAGATCCAGAAATTATCAATTGATCGATTTACTATCGAATCGTTTTCCAAAGAGCTATACTTAAAGAACCAACGTAAAAGGTGATTTCCGAGCTAAGGGCTACCTTCGCATCTATCTCCCCATTCGTCTCTTTAGATGAACTCATATACACCATACAGTCCCACCTCCTGTGAGTCAAAAAGGGTTGGGTCCGATTTTCTTAGGGTTTTCCGCTTTGAGTAACAGGAAGCGGTTTCATGAGTCATGAGTCATTGCCGAGCGGAGGAACAAAGGGCCCGAACCTATCTATTAACAAGAGTGCCGGTTTAGCAAAGATCGATGAAGAAGTGCTGGATTCCCTTTATCGCGGCAGTGAATGGTTTTACTCACATTTGGACGTATTTCAATCAAACGGAACTATGTGCATTACGACGTGAGCCCTGTTATGCACATATGCTTATGGGTCTCAGGGCTCATGTCTTAATGCACATAGTTCCGTTTGACAGAAATACGTCCATTTGACCGGCGTGGTTGGTGGCATCAGTATGCGCACCGACGAGCGCGATTAGTCATGATCAAGTGGCGAATAAAAGAGGGATCTTTTGTTAAAGTTTCAAAACGCAATTAGTATTAGATTCCGGCTGATTGACGTCACGTTGTATTCGCCCGCTGCCCATCGCATCGTTGCAGTTTTCCGAGTTTCTTAATTTTTTGGAAATTCCATAGGTCTATATTTTATGAGTCTTCTGTAAATGACGTCAGGGCCCGGAGTCAACAGGGACATGCAGGCTGATTGTTGAAACTGATAGACAGAGCGGTAGACATAAAAGCATGGGTCCAGTTTTCTCGGCAGAGCTCATTCCCTGATTTTTCCCTGATTTTCAGGAGCTCATTCCCTGATGAAAAACCGAAGTTTTCTCCCACTTTCCCGGGATTTTCTGGGGGAAAGGGTATAATTTTCCAGAGTTTCAGATATGAATGTCGATTTCTTTGGCGCACGTCAGATTAGACCGTCAAATTTGAAAACGAAATGATTCCTAGGTGGTTGGAGAAGAGATTTCCGGTTTCTGGAACAGATTCCCTGATTCTCCACTGATTTTCACGGTAAATTTTCATTCCCTGATAAATCCCGGTTTTTAAAAAAGTAGACACCATGCATAAAAGACCGAGGGAAAATGGGGCGATCCTATTGGTGGAAGTGAGTGGTTGAGAGGGACGGCAACAGACAAGAGACCCTCCAGTTCGTCCATTTTCCCCCCTTAGCCTCAAAGAACCACCTGTTTCAACCAATAGGATCGCCCCATACTCCCTATGTCTTCTTTGTCTATATCATCAATTTCAATTATCAGCCCGCTGACTGTTGTAACTGATTTTCTCTTTCATGAGATGCCTCTACGTTTGTTATTTGACAGAGAAGATCGTTCATTTTTTCTTCAGTCTTCTTCATTGTCTTCAAAATGGGGGAGGGGGAGGGGGGGTACTTCAACCTGACTTTATCGTCAAGAGGGATCTAGTGAGGTGCATAAAAGGTACCTGCCAAGAGAGGAGGGGTTGGGTAAAAAAATCGGAACACCGTGACGCAGTTTGAGCATTCAAAAGATGCCACACTCCCCCCAAAAGGCATTTCGATGGCCGAAGTGCGAAACTACGTGTCTCCGTTCTGGTGCTTTAACATTTCCACTCCTATTTCATTTTTTTTGGCAGGGAAACAAGCTCACTTTATAGCTTGAAATGTGTACAAAATATTCGGCAAACAGGGAGGAAAAATCAAGGAATTTTTCAAGATATTACGTTCACTAGCTTTCCAAAGAAAAAATAAGGATAACAAGATGCCTACATTGTCATAAACAGAGATATGTGGTTTCACACTTCGACAATCAATTTTTAATTATGAATATTTTTCATAGAGTTTTTCAACTATTTAAGATTGAATATCAAATACGATTGTGCGACACATTGAAAGGAAAAATTCAAAAAATTTACCAGAAAATTCGTGTTTTAGCAGAGGACACGTGGCAACGTCCAAATTATTGTACTTAGGGCGTTTTTCTTTGACACAGCAGCGTAGAGTCATGATTACCTATCGACGGTGGCTAAGACGAGAGCAGAATTACTGTAGGTATCAAAGTGAAAAAAAATGAAATGAAATAAATAAAACGAGGATAAAAAAGAGCAGCCGCGGGAAAATAAAAAAAGATTTCTTTCACGCAAAAAATAGTTATAATTTTAAAAGAAGAAAAAAAAGTCAACAGGAATAGAGAGGAAACAAATAGATTGGTAAATAACCTACACTAATCTAGGCATACCGTTCACAAAAGTTTCACTGGAAGCTACCCGACATACTGAAGAATCATCAACTGCTAAGTTACGTTACAGTAGGTGAATGTTTAAACTAGGGTGTAACTTATAAAAATAGGTGGAATGAATTCATTAAGTACCCGTTGATTTATCAATACCGATGAACTTATTATAAAAATTAAGAAAAAATAGGAAGAACAAATAATTAGCCTAGACTTTTTAAGACTGAGAGGTTCCTGGTAACCAAAAATACAACAGTACACCATGAGCTTTACACCATGAGTTTTACATACTAAAAAGTTTAGCAGAAAGATTATGACGAACAATGAACAATGATTCACAGTAGAAATCTTTATATTCTCAAATAAAGTTCAACATAGAGAATAATGACTAAAAAAGCTGGATAGATGATGATGGATAGTACTTACTTCTGTTTTCATACAATGATCTGTTGTGAGACTGTAACTTAATAGTTTCCACAAACTGAAATTGGGAGCAAAGCTCTTGAAACGGGCTACACACCAAACTAATTCGCCCATTCCCGACGCTCAAAGTGGAGGTTCAGTCTGAGGGCATCAATGTGGGTGTCGACAGTTGAACTTCAAAGGTCTGTGGGCTGATGACCTTTGAACCAAACCTCAGAAAACAAGAATCACCGAAACATACGGCTTTTCCTCCTTTTTTTGTCATAAATGTGAAAACTGTGCCGGTTTTTATTGTTTTTGTAAATGTTCAACAGTCAATAGCCACATTGATGCCACCAGGCTGAGTCCTCAGTTTGAGCGTCTGGAACAGGCTATTTAATATGCCGAATTTGTCTTGTAAAATTAGCTTTAAAGGAATATATAAGCTTCCAACAAAAGGGGACAACAGATTTGTATGTTAATCCTCTACCAAAACAGATCAACTTTACTTTTTAACGGTTTTCATTTTCTGGTCAAAAAGATAAAATGACATTCCTAATAATGTATACGATTTTCCAAAAACATGGAAAAAGTTGCCTTTAGGCTGTGAATTTGGCAAAATGAAGTTTATATTATATGTATCAAAAAGCTTATGTAGCCTTCGAGCCTATCTCAGTTTAACAATGACGCCCTAAAACTTCCATTTGTAAATCTGAGGCTTCAACTTCGATAAGATAGATTCTCAGAAAAATTATTAGGCTCAAAAACCTCTTGTGCATAACACTGATGTTTAACGACGTACAAATTTGATATACATATGCAAGTAAGAAGAGACTACGTAATAGACTACAAATATATCGAAATACACTAAAACCACAGATAAAGTTGCATAATCTAGTTATCACAAAACAGCATTTACATGCGTCTCTGATGATAAGAATCAAGGAGGTAAAAAAAAAGAGGAACAGAATTATTTCATGAAGATGATGAACTTATTCAGTGTTCAGTACCAGTTCGAATTGTGTACACCCTCTCATGTAGTAGAAGCAGAAAAATTGCCTCATTGAATAATACCTGAACTTGACATCAATGTGTCCTCAAATACAAATGGAGACTTCTGTAATTTAACGTTTCGCTAACTTGCTCCGTAAAAAATGTTAGCAGAATGGAAAGCAATCTTTAAACCTGCTGATAAAGTAGAAAGATTTGCTTAAGGAAGATATCCCATTTAATACTAGATCGATCAAAATTCAACAATTCTATATACATTCTTGCTTGTATTCTAAAGGTACGAAATTTCAGCAGTCTCTAGCTTGTACAAAAATGTTTCTAATTTAAGTAACTTAATTCATATCACAAAAACTAGTTAAAAATAATTACTTCTAAATCGGGTGAATCACAGCCTTGTTACAAGACTACGTTTTATCACTTAAATTACCACATGCTGAATAGGTACAGTGGTAACGATGATTTCCTGTCTCTTAAAAATTCAGTTTGAAGAATGTCAGCAACTGTCTTCTTTATCATTAGTAGAAAATTCATTCCCAAAAATGAACATGAATCCTAAGAATTTTTCATGTAACAATTCATTGTAATGGAGAAAAACACCAATATTCATACACGAAGTTGAAATGTAAAGTTGTGCGAATAAAACGAGGAGCTCATATTATCATTCAAATAAACTATTTACACCTACATCATATATTGGAAGTTTGGCTGGTTTTCTGAGTTCTAACTGGCCTTCCTTCCAAATGTAATTTTTGCGGGCTAGTGCGACCATGACCTCAATATTATCATGCAGTCACCATATGGTTATTATTCCTGTCACCTCTTAAGAATTTCTAGAATGTATTCATAAGAGATGTTTTGGAGTATGTATTAATATAAAGATAAAAAACTGATTTCAGTTGGACTACAGTAGAGGCTCTGTCAGCAATAAGACTAGAAAGAGCAATTCAATTGTTGAAACATTTCAGAAAGTAACATTCTACTAAATAGAGTGGGAAACTACCACATGGTTAATGACATTTACTTATCAAAACAAGAGCTCAAATAGCTTTTAAAATTGACAAATCTTATTCTAAAGGGACCGGCAAGCAAAGTGAGATTGTACAAATCTGTGCTAAGGGAATGTAGAATTATGCGTTCTGGGTATATGAACGAAACGAGATCTTGCGACTGCGAGTGACCTGAATCAATGTTTTTGGATGTATGACACTCCAAGTAGCGCAACCAAAAGGGATCTACTTGGTACACACGCAAGTTTTTGAACTCAATATAATGACCGTGAAGGCGTAAACATACATTGGAGCAGGTTAGAAGTTCGCTTGATGCAGGAATTAGGTCCAATTTAACATCATGATCAGAAAGAGGAGCCTGATCGACGCTCAAAATTAAGGGACTGAAATCGATTGGAAAGGAGGAGACACTGCTCATTATTTCGGCAAGGACTTTGTTGATAAAAATATTCAAGCAGTTTGCTGGGCATGCAGAATTTGTTACTATCAATGTCTTTCTTCTCTGACTGGCATGCGCTGGAACAAGAGAAGTAGAATGGAACAGACTTACAGTACTTGATGCACCGCTCATGTTGGCTTTGATGGTGGTGATTGAATGCAACCTAGGATCGCAAGATTCTGTTTGAACAGCAACATTTTTCATGAGACGAAAACTGCAATACAGCTGGAAAAAAAAAAGCTTGGTAAGTTTTGCAAAATAACAAGAGCACAAAATTTTGCAAGAAAGAATAAAAGCAAAACTGTGTAAGTACCTTGAATGAGGAGCAACTGTTGCATTCAACTTATCAGGCAAGTCAATAATTTAAATAACAACTTGATAAGGGGCAAAGATGTTTCCATAATAAAATCTATTCTTTGCTATGATTCAAATGCCTTTTAAATATTTTAGACTAACAAGCTTCAAATTTCTACTATTTTGCATCATCATTGTACTTTGATTCTTCTGCATTTAACTTTTGCATCAGTGCTTTGGTCCCCTCATTCTCAAGGTGATAAGTTTATTGTCCTGGTCGGGTAACATTTGCAATACTAGTGCATTGTTGAGAACGAGCAGAACGCAGCGATTTGCCCAAAATTTTAAAACTCACCATCTTTATCAGGTATTTCCAAGCAAAAAAAGAGCAACAAAATAATACATAACTTTCAATACTAAAGAGTTTTGCAGAAGGCCATTGAGAAGAATGTGGAGGGCTGAATTGGCGCATGAAAATGTGGAATGTCCCCTGCAGAACGCCTGCAAATTCAGGATCAGTTACATCCTACAGACAAGTACATTTCCAACCAAAAAATTAGCTATTTTTATTCCTAAAATGCTATAAAACAGCAATAGAGAAGATCTGACAGGACCCATTTTTTCCCATTCTCTCAGAGATTTCTCTATTTGACGGAGCTGGCTTGATAGAGTGGTTTCTGCAACCGCACGCTTAATAAGTATTGATGGTTATACTTACATTCTTGAGGTGAATTGCACCATCGGCTCTTACAATGTTTTCGGGGAGACGTTGAATTCTACAGTGAGAGCGAGTATCAACGACTGCTGAGTCAGTCAAGTTATTTGTAACTTGCTGCTGCTTGAACTTCTTCCTCCATTGGCAGTCCTGCAAACATCTGTCTTTATAAATTGGATTTTTTCTATGCACTCTCATGCGTTTGCAATTTTCTTCTACTTCATTTTCACTTGGAAGAAATTTTCTCTTTGCGACGATTTTTTTTGCAGATGTAAAGGAGGAGATTCTCTCCCATGGTGGAGAGAAACAAGTCTCCGAAATTACTGATTTCTTCGAAAGATATTTTGATTGAAATAAGGGTTGAGTGTCAACTAAAGCTTCATGACATAAGCTATAGGAGCTGCCAATTGAAGTATCAGATTTTATTTGTACACAATCAGATACCTTCAAATCATCAATCACTTGCCCCACTTCAGGCTGCAAGACATTTTCCGATCGGATAGCATTACAATCCGCGGAGTGAGGAAGTTCATTTTGGTTAAGGTTTTCAGTATGATGATATGAATAAGAATTATCAATGACTTGTGAAGTTGTATTTGCAAGACTTTCATCACTGTGTTCATTACCATTATTGTGCTCACTATTCAAGACATGATCAAGCAAGACACATTCCTTATCTATGACTTGTGCTTCAGATTCATATGAGACAAATTTTCCTGTTTCCATTGACATACTTTGATGCCGAGTAGCAAAATCGTAGAACCCATCATCACTCGAAATTCTGGAGCATTTGGGTAAAGTCCGGGATGAATCAGACCCTGTATGTTTCTCTTCATTTCTACAAAAATCGTTTTCTAAATTATAAATGTTTGTTTTGGTTAGTGAGTTGTCACAACTTCTATTCTCAAAGGACGATGATTGTAGTGAAACACTTTGACAGTGAGGGAGAGAGTGATTCCAGAATGCCAATTCTTCATGGTTCCTTGGGAAAACATGTGGTTCCAAGTAAGAGCTATAGATTTCACTTTCGTGGAAAGTTTTTAGTAAATTTGATAAGCGGGAATTTTGTTTCCTCTCTTTGGCGATCAAAGAGTTGACTAGAACTTCTACATTAGAGAGCATGCTATCAAGACTACGTAAGAATAACTCTATCTCCATTTGGTAGTTCATAATCTGAGCTAGAGAAAGGATTCTTGAATCATTATGTTTGATAAATTGATCAGAGACAATTCCATTGATCGATGATTCTCCTTGATATGAAGCGCTATCAGTATGCACTGGTGAATGCAGACTACTTCGTAGCAAAATACTTGCTTGCTTTTCAGAGGTCTTAGGGACAAAAAGAGGAGCAAGCTTTTTATTTTTCTTGGAAAAATTCAGAGAATAACTGCTCGAGACCGCCTTCTCTTCCCTATTTTTTAATATCCGAGACCTGGACTTCCCATTAAAGATGGGTTGACAGTAGTCAAGGTTCTTCATAGCTTTTGTATCAGTTGATGAAGTTCTTCGGCTGCTTTTAGACCGTTTAGATAGAACAGATAGGTCATTAACGTTACTTGCGCTACTTTCCGTGAATTTGTATTGACAGTAGGATATCATCTGAAATGTTTCCTGACAGAAACTGTTCTGAGAGAGATGTCTCTTGAAACATTGGTATGCTTTTTCAAACTGTTGTTTCCTGCAGTACGCGATGCCTTCATCAAAAAAGCGATTCTGTAAAAATAAAAGATCTGTATGAGTAAGCAAAGCTCCAAACAAGGAAGTAAAATATTTTAAGCGCTTTATTCTCTCATCTAACATATTTCTGAGCATGGTGCCCACCTTCAGTTTGATTTGACATACTTAGGTTTTTTGGCTTTTCTAAGTTAAAATGTTTGCAAAACATCCTATCATGGAATCGTACTGATACCTTTATCCCAAATTTTCTAATCAGTGTCCTGCCTTCCCCCTAAAATTTGAGGAGTCATTTTGGCCAAAAAGCCCAATTATTAGGAGCCAAATTAAATTTTTGCATACGGGCCATGGCGAATGAAAATTGGCAGAAGGCATGAATTCATACAGAGAGCGCTTCATCGCTACTACTGCTTCCGACTACGAGTTCAATCTGTCAAATTTTTTAGGTGCCACGATGGCCCAGCCCCTCCAATTTTTAGGCGCCAAGGCCCAATTTTTAGGCGCATTTGGCACATGGCGCCCGCTGAAGGTAGAACACTGTTGCAAAGATCTCTCTTTTGGTTCTGCCGTGCTGAGTGAGAGCTGGGAAAATATGGCATGGATTCACATATTTTGAAGACATCAGTGCTAAAATATTGTGTTCCATTGATATTTACAGAAAAATTAAAGTCTTCACATTGGGTGTTTTAAAGATTTAAGTACAGCATTCCTTTAAAAAAAACTCTAGCATCTTTTTTAAATCTCACTATTTTCCTACGCAGTCTTTGACTCTTGTACAGGCAATTCGGCTAATAGGCGTCAATCTCTCGAACGGTGCTTGGAAATAGGTTAGAGCTTGCACCAGATAAGTTAGCAGTTATGTGCCTTCTGCTTCCAAGCAACCCTGCTGCTGCTGTCCAACAGTGATCAAGGATTGACTGAGTGCAAAGACAAAACCGTTATGCACAGATATCAAAAACCAATACCTTCCTCTGAGGTGATATTGCTAAATTTGTCTACAGCAAGTCAGTCAGAAGTACATGAACTGCCATGTTATTTTGTGCGAATCGTACCGACCTATATTCTGCACTGTTAGGAACAGCAGTCTTACTATACTGGTCAGTAAAGTGTAGCATGAGAACTAACAGTAATTGATTACGGGCAGATTAAAAAGCTTGAACCCTGTTCCTTGTAAGACAATCGTAAAAGTCATAGCTTCGGAATAATGCCACATCATGATGATCTTAGCGATGCTTGCTGGCGAAGGAGAGGAGGAAAATATAATATAAAAGGTGAGCACTTACATCGGAGGCGTGGAAGAACCCTGCATTGGAGAATACCATCTTGAGAGATTATGGTAGCAACAAGGAATGCCTGAAATGCTGAAACTAAAGGGACTCAGGGAGCAGACCGCCTTGAGTAGTTCCACTTCAGTTCTCTGCTGCGTTACGGCGTGGCACGATGCCATGAATTGCCATATTAAAAAATATTCTAAATACCGACCACTCAGATCACGGAAAACGATGAAAATGATTTTGACATTTTGATTAAGTAAATACAAAGTTCGAAGAAGTTACAAATCGAAAAAAAGCATGTAACAAAATTTCGGAAGAAAGTACAAAACTTTGATAGCGCTAGTTTACAAAATGCTACAGCTTAGCCAACTGGAGAAGTTAATCTACACTACATTGGAGAATTTTCCAATTTAGCAAAATGTAGAAATTGAGAAGACCGACCGTGCGATTAACTTTTTTCATTTCTACGTATTAAAAAAAATATAATTGCGTAAAATTTTGGATAAAAATAAGATCGGTCTGATTGTATCAATCCATTTTGACAAGCAAAGGAACCAAAATATTATTTGTATGTTGGTAAACAGGCAAAAAATGGCGGTTTTCATGAACATGAGGCCTTGAGAAACGTGTGTGTGTGTTGCTGGTGTTGCCGAAGTGCCAGGAGGCAGGAGGTAAACATGCACATGCCAGCGTCATTTGAATGTGGTACTCTTGCATTTTTCAGTTCTCAGTTGAATTTGCATCGGCCCAAATCAGTGTAATTATTTACCGGTTTTGAAGCTCTCACTTGGTGTTACGTTCTTGCTTCTACTTAGTTCTGCATCCTCGCCATAAAATTACTACAACTCCTAGCGCGTCACGTTCTAATAATCTGTTTGGCGCGACGTTCTTCCTCTGAAACTTTTGGAGAGAAGGACTGATTTCAGTCTCAGTTATGGCAGACGATCTTCCGTTTCGAGCAGAATACTCTAAAAGCAACAGAGCTGCATGCAAAGGATGCAAAGAAAAGATAGACAAAGATGTTTTGCGAATGGCTGTTATGGTCAGAGTAAGTATCCTCCTTACACAATGGAAATCATTTCACTAACCTGTCAGGTTCAGGTCCTTTGTCTCAGGCAGACCTCTGAAGCATGTACAACTTAAAATGCACATCTTGAGGTCTTGAACAGCAATTCCTTCTTCAATCGCCAATAAATGCCTCTTAAAACCCCCTATATTTGCTAGAGAGTGGGTCATTAACTCCTCCGTGCCATACTTGTTACTCAAATCGATGCGCTCTATTTGGAATCGGCTCAGCTGGACATACACTGGTTGAGCTTGACTGGCAGATGAAGCACTGCTGCTACCTTTTCATGTTATAGTCTGCAATCATTATTTTTGCTGGCGTTTTCTCTGTTGCGCATGGTATTGAATGCCAGTGTGCCCCATAGTAAAACCTGCTTTGCACAGGTGTGTGGGTGGATGTCAGAATTGAATTTATCGTGAAACCACTAGAACTTTTTTCCTCATCATTATCTCTAAATGAATGCCAAGAAAATATATTCTTAGGGAACCTCAAAATCAGGTCATAATTGCTGATGTTGAGTGTGAGTTTTTCAGGAATTTTGTATTTATAAAAGAGCATTTGAGTTCTGAAAGTATTGACTCCTGTCTCAAAGGCTGGGTCTCCCGAAAATCCTGCCGTTCATTCATTTATTTATTTAATACAAACTACATATTTAATTACAAAATAGAAGTACAAATAACTGCTTCACACACCAGAAGCTTAGCTTGTGTGGTGTATGTTACAATAGAGAGAGAGATAGACAATATAGCGTAAAAACAAACAAAAATTTAGATTGGTTGGCAGTAGCCTGATTAGAAATAATAACTTAATCAAAGAAAACAAGGCTCAAAACAGAGAAAAATATTTTAAGAATTTTCTCCACCCCTGCCATTTCATTTGACTCACAAATTTTTGAAAATCGCTCTAGTGGTTCCCTAATTTAAGTGGCACAGCATGCTCTGAACTTGAGAAACCTAATGAAGCAGGGTGGATTTGTCTTAAAAGGTGTCTCGGACAACAGATGGGGAAAAACTATGAAGGTTGACAATTAAGTGAGGATCCAGATGTCAATGAGCCTTTAAGAGAACTGAGCATCATCAAAATTTGTCCGGAAGAACTCAAGAAATGAAGGTTATTGCGAGACCCCCAGTGATTTTATGTACATTATTTTGTATTCACCTTTCTACAAACTTTTTTTTAAGCTTGAAAACTCTTCACTCGCTCCGAGAGTCTTCACTAAATTGTGCTGCTGCTACTTAGTCTGATTGGTGTCAATTCATTTTTCACACCATCATTATTCCTTTAAATGGTTTCATTTCGAAGACTCTTAAGTAATTTGTCTAAGGAGTGTTTCTTCTTTTCTCTTCTGAAGAAATCCAGAATTTCATTGGTATGATTTTTGAGCCCAGCCTACTTAACAACTTTTTGACAAACTGATGTTTTAGTTACTTTTTATTTTTTTCGGCTCAGAAATATTGATGGGAATCAGCCAAAATTTTTCGTCCCAGCCACTGTTAATTTTTAAAAAATTATTTTCATTGAGGAGCATAAAAAACCTTTTTCTGTTTTTCTCAAAAACCACCAAAAGCTTCCTTGTCCAAAATTCAAAAAGTTTTCTTCAAAAAAGTATGGTTGGAATTGTCCCATTTTTGCTTTTAGCGACCGCACTAAAAATGTGATAAAAAAGGTAGGAACTCTTAATCAGTTATGACTCGATGAAGTTCTTCTACAATTCTCATCTGATTTGTGTTTTTCTTTGTTCACAGTCTCCTTTTTTTGATGGGAAGCAACCCAATTGGTTCCACTTCATGTGCTTCTTTGCTAAACAAAGACCCAAAAGTGTTGGAGACATCGCTCATTTTGATTCATTACGTTGGGATGATCAAGAAAAGATCAGAAAGAGAGTTGGTATGTATCATCTTCTTAAATTTGTACTAAGCAAGTTTGCAGTACCGTTAGGATTATGAGTTAGTTATAAAAAAAACCGTTCGGCACCAGCTGATCTTTGTTAATGTAGGATCAACAAACTACGAGAAATGGAGTGAAAATTAAAGAGGCGAAGTTTGAAATAAAGTTCATCACTGTATTAATCCGGAATTTGACAGAAATATTGCACAAAACATTGAAAATAAAAGTGAATGAGATGTTCGTCGAATTTCCATACTATGATGCACTTTCACTGTTTGACACTTGATGATTATACGCCTGAAGGGCTGAAAAAGCGTTACGTGTTGACACACGGGTCTAGGATAGTTAAGGACCTTGATTTACGCACAGTGCGTGCTTATATAGACTTGCTGACGTCACGGGTGGCGAGACAACAAGTCTATGCGTGATTGGCTGGCTATAGTCTGTGTAGCTATCAGTTACAAGTCTAGTATTAAAAAGTAATGGAGATGAACTGAATGATAGGATGTATTTTAGGACTTCGTTGATGAGATCTTGCAAATTTTAATTTCCTTTGACTTTACTTAAAATTAAAAAATTGGAAATCTCTAAAAAATGGAGGTCCTGAAACAAATTTCTCAACTATCACTGCAAATTTTACAAGTTTGAAAAATAAGCCTCTTGTTTTTATTTATTCAGGTTTACGCAAAAATGAAATATTTTTTAATTCCTGTCTGCTGGTCTTTACATAGCTTCAAGATGCAAAATTTTCTCCAATTTTTTTTTATTTTCCTGCGTCTTCTCCCTTCCCAAACGTCATATATATAATATAATGTGTACCTAATCCCTTAGTGGTTTCTTCTCTGCAAATCTATCATCAATCATAAAAATCTCTTGGCTTGTCAAAGAGCTTTCCCAAATTCTCTGAAAAGATACATTTTTTGGGGGGTCTTAGGACTTTAAGGGCTCTGCTTTGTACACTATTGAGTGTTGAGTTTGTAAATTTGATGCATTCTTTTAATTTTATCATTTATAGACTCTGCTGCTGGAACATCTGCACCAGCTACCAATGGCAAGTCAGCAACTAAGCGTAGCAAGACAGCTACCACCTTGACCACTCCAGACATGAAAGATTTCACCATTCAATACTCAGTTTCGAGCAGAGCAACTTGTATTGGCTGTCAGACGCAGATTGCCAAAGATGAAGTGCGAGTAGCCAAAAAAGACTACGAAAGTGAAGAAGCACTGCGTTTTGGAGGTCTAGACCGCTGGCATCATTTGGAGTGTTTTGCTAAACTTCGAGGTGAGGCGAAGTGGTATGACTGTGGATCGAAGTTGCCTGGTTTTAAGGCCCTCAATACTGATGATCAAAAGAAAGTGAAGCAACTCATCCCGAAACTTAAAATCAAAGCAGAAGTGAAAGATGAAGTTGATGCTGAAGTCCCAGCTAAGAAGATCAAGGAAGACCCTGAAGTGAAAGGAAATCTTGAAGCAATGAAAAAACAAAACAAGCTTATCTTTGCTTACCGTGACAATTTAAAAAGTTTAACAAAAAAGGAGTTAACAGCCCTGTTGGAGCATAATGAACAAGGGATCCCAGAAGGCACAGAAAGAATACTCGATCGGCTTTCTGATTGCATGTCATTTGGTGCCCTTCTTCCATGTGAGCATTGTAAAACTGGACAGCTTGTGTTCCGTTCGAATGTTGGTTATCAGTGTATTGGGCATTTGAATGAGTGGGCTAAATGTCAGAAAGTAGTAATGAAACCCAAAAGAGTTAAATTTACAGTCCCTGAAGATCTGAAAGAAAAGTACAGTTTCCTTGGAAACTATAAGTGCAAACTTGGAGAAAGGCTTTTCGAAGTCAGAGAATCATCTGCTGCAGTAGCAGTCAAGACTGAAAATGGGCCAAAGGTTGATCGCTGGGCTCCACTTAAAAATATGACGTTCCTCTTGGTTGGTAAATTTTCTAAACCGCTCTCTGAGATTAAAAAAGATATTGTCAAGTTGGGAGGACATGTTGCCACTAGTGTTGTGGATGAATTAGCGGCTGTTATAGCCTCACCAGCTGAAGTGGAAAAGATGTCATCCAAGATGATGGATGCTCAAAGTCAAGGGATACAAGTAGTGCCAGAATCGTTCTTGGAAGAAGCAGCAAAAGGAAATGCTGTGGAAAAAATTCTTACACTTAACATTGCCTCATGGGGTCAAGATCCAAAAGTTCGCATTGAAAAACAAGCCAAAATGAATGTCATGAAGTCACAGATGTCTGGCAAGTCAAAATTCTTGTCTAGTGGGCCCTCAAAAGTCAAATTAACAATGAAAGCTGGTATCGTAGTCGACCCAGATTCTGGCTTAGAAGATGTTGCTCATGTTTACACTCATCATGGAACAGCTTACACATGTGTATTAGGCCTAACAGACATTACACAGGACAAAAATTCATACTACAAATTACAGATACTAGAAGCTGATAAATCCAAAAGGTACTGGCTCTTCCGGTCGTGGGGTCGAATTGGAACCACAATTGGGGGGAATAAGTTGGAAGATTTCAGAAGCGTTGACAATGCTATTTCTCAATTTCATGAACTTTATGAGAAACAGACTGGAAATCTTTGGGAAAACCGCAAACATTTTGTTAAAATCCCAGGTAAATTCTATCCAATTGATGTAGACTATGGTGAAGAGGAAGCTAAACTTTCATCTGACTCTACAGTTCCTTGCAAGCTTCACAAAGCTGTCCAAAACCTCATATCCTTGCTCTTTGATGTCAACAATATGAAAAAGATCATGATGGAATTCGAACTAGACTTGGAGAAAATGCCACTCGGAAAATTGAGCCGCAAGCAAATCACTGAAGCATACAGCTCATTGAAAGTAATTCAAAATTTGCTGCAAACTAGGACAGAGGCAGATCGCAAAGTCCACGAAATCATCTCTGAAACCAACAAATTCTACACGCTGATTCCTCACAATTTTGGAGTTGATAAAATTCAACCTATTAACGATGAAGTGCTTTTAAAACAGAAAATAGATATGCTAGATTCACTGATGGAAATCGAACTGGCTTACAATATGCTCAAGACAACTAATGATGAGAATAACTCTAATGTACATCCTTTGGAACAGCACTATGCAAAACTTCACTCAGACATTGATGTTCTCAATAAAGAAACTGATGAGTTCAAGATGATCAAGAAATACGTCAAAAATACACATGCTGCAACCCATAACTTGTACAAGCTGGAAATCGACGAAGTTTTCAAGGTTCGTCGTCATGGGGAAGATGACCGCTATTCAAAGTACAAAAACTTACACAACCGCAAATTACTTTGGCACGGTTCACGTCTCACCAACTTTGCCGGTATTCTTTCTCAGGGTCTCCGCATTGCGCCGCCTGAAGCGCCAACAACTGGTTACATGTTCGGTAAAGGTATCTACTTTGCAGACATGGTCTCCAAGTCAGCCAACTATTGTATGCCCTCGCAAATCAACTGCAATGGACTTTTGTTGCTGTGTCAAGTTGCGCTCGGAGACACTTACGAGAATAAACAAGCCAAATATATCGAAAAGCTTCCAGACGGCAAGCATTCTTGTATGGGTGTGGGTCAAACAGAGCCAGACCCAGCCAAAACTTACAGGCGTGAAGACGGCGTTGAGGTTCCACTCGGCAAAGGCGTCCCAAGTAAAGTCAAAAACTCAGCTCTGTTGTACAATGAATTTATCGTGTACGATGTCGCTCAAGTAAAAGTAGAGTACCTGGTGAAAATGAAATTCAAATTTGATTAAGATGCTCTTGCCTGTTCTCTGTCTCAGGGTTGAAAATTTGTTTCTTTTTACCTATCCTGAACGTCTTATTTCCTCTCGAATTTTTCAGTTTTTAAAAAACGTCCGATTTTGGTAATTTTTCAGTGAAGAGGTAGTAGTCTTAAAGTTCAGTCTCAGATTTTTTTCTAGATGTTTTTGTACTTCTGGTTCTCTCTTGCGTTTTTGAGAATAATCTAAAACGATCGAATTTTTCGCTGTCTTGGAAACTCAAGATTTTCTATCAAACATTAGCGGATGAGATGAAACTAATTTAAAATTTGGTCATGAAAACATTTGATACAAAAAATAAACTCCAATCTCTATTTTCTACCACTTGAATAACATAAATCTTCATTGATTAACATTCCTTCTCTGTCAATCAATTTCTTTTGACTGTAATTATTTTGCATCAAAACCAAGTTTTTGTACTCTCGCGCCATTTCTGAACGTACCAATTTGTCACAGTGAGTGATCTACTTTCTCCTTTACATTCCTAGGAGATATTTCTTTTAGTCCTCTCTCTCTCACACTAAGTTCTATATTTTGCCTTAAGTAATATTTCCCTAAACGGTGTGATGGATAAGTCGACAGGGGTCTTCAGGGATTCTGTTAAACTATCATTTTCACCCCTGATTCATCACGCAATGAATTTTCTATGACAAGATTTTCTTCAAAAAATTTGCGGACATCTTTTCCAGAACTATGTCATCATTGATCCACTTATTTGTCCCCGGTTAAACATCCCCTTGATGTTTTATATTTATCTGTTACCTATCATTTTTTCCTCCTCAGTCTGATTAAAGTTATGCACTTACCTCTCAATCATATTTGTTGAATTTATTTCTCTAATTAGGATGTAGAATTGTGTTAAAATTGATCTTTTTTAATTTTTACTTTAATATACTTTATTACGTAAATATTTAAGTATTTCAATAAGTAGCCTTCCTAAGTGGTCATTGCCTACAAGATGAGAGGGACCTTTTGGATGACTTTTTGCTAGCTGATATCCACAAAGGAGCTTAGTTTATGTTGTAAAATTTGCAATCTACAAGTGTTGTTAGTTCATGTCTTTTTATATAAAGGATAGATCATTTGTAAAAACCCAAAAATAATTTTTTTGAGCAGGATAAAATTTACTATGCATTTATAAACGTTAGAGAAGATGAACAGTCTCATTTCTCTTATTTATCAATAATTGATTGATGGAAAATAGAAAGAGGTAAACCACAAGAAATGAGTGAAAATCTGAAGCTCTTGCCATTTAAGGAAACACACCAGGTAATGCAACTGTATTTTAGCGCTAGATTTATCCAAAAGATTAGTTTCTGAGACAGGATCCTTCTTTGTCGGTTATATCTCAGCCATCAACAAAAAACAAGATTTATTGTCAAAACACTGAGTTTCTACATCCAATACTAACAAAGCTTTCACCGGCTCAAAAATGAGATTGATGAATTATCCCCTGTGGTAAGGTAACCATGGTTTTTATTTTACCCTGGCTCCATCAGTCCGTGAAAATATTCCTCGCTGGAAGTGGAGAACATTTTGGGTAAAATGCAGGATATACATCACTGATGTGTTTTTCATAGGATGAGCTCTCCTTCAATGTGAAACGGAGAAGCAAGGCCTCTGTATGGGTTTCACTAATTGGCTTTTATCTCTAAAATTCAACCTTCAAATCACAGTTCTGATTTACGCCATGAATCCATCAAATATACTAATTGATATTTTTGTGGAATGATTTTTTTTATTTTTTGTTCTTTAGGCAAATTCATTTTTTAGAGTGTTTGAGAAAATACTAGTTGCAGCCTCTCATTTTGAAGGCAACTCCAATTTTCTGCATTGATTCCATATTATTTCTCATAGTTATGTTAAAAAAACTTCTAACTTCGGAATCTTGAATGTACGTTATTTTACCACACTACATCAGAATAATTTTTCATTGTTTTTAGCTTAAGATCAATTAATAAAGTTTTCCAATTGTTTTGATTTTGCAGTATTTTGTAATGTTGCAGTTATCTTTTGGTTCTCTTGTGATAATTTATAACACCTTTCCTACAGGTGATTATAAAACCCAACACTATCCCTGGAATACTCTCCTCTCATTAGTTAGTAGAGTTGGAGCTCAGTTTGTACTGAATCTTCGTAGCTACAAACTTACTTCTTTTTCTGCTCAGCCTGATTCTAACCATTTCATCAATTATTTCCTTCAGTACTTTTATTAATGAATAAGTCGTCCATTTTTGTCTGTGTTTGGTACAAAGTAATTTTAACGATGCCATTAACTTAGATTGATGTAAAAAAATTCTTCATATCTGCCTAAGATATTGAGCCAGAATTTATTTTAAGTTTGTAAATAGTCACCTATCTTTCAAGTTCCCGAGTAAATACGATACATTTCTAATACTCAACATCATAGCTTAGTTACGCTTGTTGAACTGTTTTTTAATTGTAATTGTTTTGTGCTTTTATATAAAATTAAAATATTCTCTTTGATTCATCAGTTTGTATCTTTAATGTTTACTTTCTGGCTCACCGTGCTTTCATCTGTAACATTACTTGATTTAATTTAGGAAAAATATGTGGACAGCATTTAAAGAAAAGAATTTACTGACATGTAAAAAATGATACTATGGCATGTCTGGCTCATACTCTGCTGCGAGTGATTGGCGTTCTTAGGAACAGATATCTCATGAAAATATATGCTGTGACATGTTTAATCCTAGAATAAAAAGAAATGAAAACCAAGAAAAAACTAGAGCCGCAATTTAAACACTAAGGTGCATCGCACTTTCTGCTTTTATAACTTAGCAGAGCAGAGGAAACCTCTAAAAAATGACGTAAAATGTTATTTTTATCTACAGCTTTTAAAGTAGTTATTTTAGAAACTTCCAAAGGCATTAATGGGGAATAAGTTCCATTTTCTTGCACAACAGTGGCTAGATACCACTATTCTTTCTCTACCACGTTTGATTAATTTGAAGATTTCTAAAAAATAATTCCTCATGTGCAGTTGAAAAAAGTGAGACTTGAATCGTATCTATCTCGTCCGAAAATTCCCAAAATTCAATTCTTGAAGCGATGAATGAATTTCTCTCCCTTCTCGAGGTATATTTTACCACAGGGAAAGACCCAGATCAAATGACGGCTCTTGCTTTTTCTCAATCCAAATTTTTTTAGCAAATTCTTAAAATTATAAAAAGTTGTGGGTTTTGAACTGAGAATGGAAAAGTACAGTCGATTGTTTATTTAGTAGCTTATCAGGACTATTTATTCCAACATTAAAAAGTATGAACAAAAATTTTGAAATAAAGAAATATGTACAACTATAGGCGACTTGATAACATAAAGAGGAAATAATTTATACTAAAAAATATGTTCAAGATACCTACAACAGAAAATTTTGTCTCTTCATAAGAAATTTTAGCTACAGATCGATAGCGATGTTCATGTAGTTCTTGTGTCATAACTTCAATTAATTCTACTGGGTGAACTCATGAGTCCAGCTAAAGCATTGCTTCTGATAGGTTATAATTTTCAATACAAGCACATTGAATTATGGCTTCGCACCCTCTTTCATCAAAAATTGAGGAGCGTTCTGCAATAATAGAAAAACATGCGCACCACGCATTTGAGAGAAAAACATCGTATGGGCCCAGAGATCTCCACATTAATAACAGCTGACTTCTAAGTCCTCATTTAAACAATCTCATTAGGAAGGTCTTTGATAGCAGCTTTCTTAGTAAGGTAACGAGACAATCAGAGTGTTAGTTTAAGAGATTCCTTTTGCAATGCAAGTTAAAATTTCAAGCTTCATGTATTCAGGAAAACACTCTAGTTGGGTTTGTAGGATGAGAAAAAGTAACTCAGCAATTATACGGTAGAAAGTAACTTTAATCGAGCCTAATATAGACCTGTTTCCTGTCTGCAATGAGCTTAAAGTATGAGTTGTACCTAAGTAATCAACTTGGACACCTAAAAAAGTCATTCAGGCTGATCTTGAGTGATGCTAAAAAATTTCTTATTAATACAGAATCTTTCACAGCTAATGCTGCTGAGGAGTTGTTGACAACTTTTTTCAAAATCATCTGACTCAAACAGTCAACTTTTAAAAGTGATTCGGGGGATAAGTGTTGTTCAGGAAAGAAATCTGGTGGGATAGTTTGACGTGAAATGTACACTCATGGAACAGAATTCAATCTTTGCCAGGTGAGAATTCAGTTAATCCTACATCATTGGCAAAAATCGACTTGCATGGTGCTGAAAAAAACTCACTTAGAGAGTACGGAGTAAAAAATACAGCACCAATCAATTAACGATTAATAGCAAGTTCATCTTATTTTTATTGCTTAATAAGTCACATTTCTCAACTGAAGAGGAATATTTCAAAATGAGTTGCAAAACCTCCCTTGCATATTCAAATGTAAAACACAACAGACTTCAACAAGTAAACAGATAAATTAAAAAATAAATAAAAACTCTTAAGACATTCAAAGGAATTCTTGGAAAAAGTTATACATACTCTAAAAACACTAGGATAAATTATAAATATACTCATTAGGTTCCTGAACTGATCTCGCGAACCAAAACTCAAAATATACAGCAATATAACATACCAAATTGCATAATATCATATGATTTTTACATCATGAATGAAACAATGACCAAACATTAATAACACATACTTTGACAGGTATGTGTCCCCAATTAGTGATCACACAATAGGCAGGCAAAGTTCTGATTACACTTGCCAAAAAAGTAAAATCAAAACAAAGAGTGTGAAAGGAGACTTCCTTCCTTTTCTTAGATTGTCAGAAAAATCAAAACCCCCAATTAAGATGATTTAGATGGAGAGAAAAGAAATTATCCTTCATACTTGTAAATTATCCCAAAAATATTTGAGCTACAAGCCTCTGACACGTACAGCAAGTGGAAAAGATGTACTCAAACTCTGCAAATATTGGTGGAATTCATGGCAAGATGACAAACGATTTAGTTTTTTCCTTTAAATGCAAATCGAAATTAATTTTTTCTTTCTTCTTGTCTGTGACTCTTATATCTCCAATATATAATGCCAATTTCCAGAGTTGCTCAATTGCTAACTGGTTGGAGTGTTCTTTCATTTGCTTATCAGATTCGAAGAGTAAGAATCTTAAATTAACAAAATGACAGTTTGTGTTACGAAAAAATTTAAAATGTCACAAGCAAAAATAATGGCATTTTGCAATTTTAGATTTGATAATGTCTTCAAATCACTGTTAATTTCTTAAAGTCGAGATATGAGAGATCTTGGGACATAAGTTTGAACACCTGCAGGCTGGTTTTAAACTCTGAACTGCAGGCTCCATTTAAACTCATAACATTCTGCGCACTTTCATACAGCATGCATCAAATTAATTTGCAGACTTTCACAGAGAAAAAGAAGGCTTCATTCACATTTTGATGACCTCAAGATGATGAATCTTTGACCAGCTTTAGATTGAACAAACTAACTGGATGCAAGCTTTAATTGGCAGAGAGTAATTTTATGAAATTTTGAGCATTTCCACAAGCTGAACAAAAATTAAACACAGAAGGAAGCAGTAAGATTGTGCAATAAATGAAGATTTTCAGGTCAGACTCTTAATAATATGAAATGAATTAAAACTAAACATAAAAATTCATAAAAATCACACAAAAATAAATAACTTATGTTCTACATAATCGACACTGGGAGGGACCAGAGAAACAACTCAACTCAACTTAACTTGCAGCTTATTTTTGAGCTTAGGCTGGTAGTTGCAACTTCTTTCCTTTCAATACTGAAACAGGAAACAAAGAAAATATTAATGACCACTTTAATCGACCAAGATAAAATTCAGATTGAGTTTTACAAGTTGAGAGTTGCACAAATTTCATGAAACCCTCCCACTGGATGAGGTATGAATGAGTCAGCTGCATCAGTCACAGATGTGATATTAATGAATAATAATTGAATTAACTAATGAATAATAATTCTATGCCATTTGAAGGGATACTTTCATATGCAGCCATTATGATGCGCCACTGTTAAGTTCGGTTGGCACTTGGCAGACTTGGTTCTTCAATTTCACGGGCAGTTTTGAAGAGATTGGTCAGTATTGAATAGAACAAAAGCAATTTTATGCCGTTTTTGAAAGAATAATGCAAAAAAGGGATAGTTTGATTTTACTTTAAAAAAAAAATCACTTCAATTTTAAAGCTTCATTGTACACTCACCATCAGTACTTAATTTTTCTTCATCATAATTAGAAGAAAGGTGAAGTAGTGACTTTTAATAGAATTTAGGTGTAGTCATTGATTTGACAGAAAATTACCCTGTGATTGTTAAATTAAGGAAAATTTACGTTTGAATGATTAATCATGCCTATAACATTAAATTTTGTGGCTTCAGAAATAAGGATTCTTTTCGACTGTATAACGGTTCTTAGTGCTCAGGGGCCTTATAATTTTTTGGTAAAAATATAACAAATGGTCTCTCCTGGGATACCTAATTTTCTTTGAAAAATCTAATAGTAGATGCTTCAAATTAATATGGTCTTCATGGATGTTTAAGCATGGAACTCACCTTTGGTTAGGTACAAATAGAAGAAATCACAGTACAGAATTGTCTGCACTATTCCCGCCACAATAGCAATTGCATTTAATTTTTCAGTCAGGAACCAGCGATAGATCCAGTTCAAAATGTACAAAGCACGATATGATCCCAAAGCAAACAAATAGTGTGACGTGATACTTTCGGCTTCTCCTGTTTTGCTGACCATGAACAACTGTGGCAGAATTGCGACCGATTCTAGATAAATACTAAAAGTCCACAAAATCTGCAAAAACAAAAGCAAGGAAGTTGAAGTAGTGCAAGATGCTAATTTTACAGTGGATAGTTATTCAAAGCTTCAAACTCAGAAAAATATTAGCTTTTAGTAGCTTTTTGAAATCATGTGACTGAAGATGTGACTGAATCAAGTCACAAGTCTAATGAACATTTAGAAAGTCTAATGAACATTTAGAAAGTCTAAAAACAACTTACTTCGATCACCGTGAATTCTTCATTGATGAGGAGTGCCAATGCAATAGCCGGTAGAATTAGAAACTCAATTCTGAAACATAGGAACAAGAATTTTTTTATTGCCAGATTTTAGAGAAAGAACAGAGAAATAATTTAGAAGCTTCCTCACAGGATGTTCAGAGAAAAATTGGAAAGACGCTAAATAATGGAGATATTGCATAGAAAATTTCATTGCTGCATGTGAGAGCAGAGAGTGCTTAACAAACTGAGTTTGCAGTACTTTTCGTAATTTTTTTCTAATATGAGAAATTGTAAAATAATAGATTTTAAAGTGAGAAAATCTGCCGCCTTGTGACATAATCAGGCAGCATTTCCCATTAAACATATGTATCTTAGGTGATTGGGTCATTTCGTCATTTTACATCTAATAATCGTTCATTTAAGAAGCCAAAGATATTCTCATGCTCCGTTCGCTCGGTAGTTTCTTCTTAAAGATATAATTCACAAAATTTCAGAAAATTGCAAATCCTCCATTTCTGACCAACATGTTGGAAAATTAACTTTACTCACAATCACATGGAAGTACGAAGGGACTCAAGTTTCACTGTCAACTACTGCTTTGATCATACAATACAACTTCAAAATTGCATCAGTCTTGGAGTAATGATGATAAAAAGTATGGACACACCTTCTTCTACATTTTCTGAATATTTTTGAATAGGAGAATATATCACAGGAATTTTTCTAGAGAAATCATTTGTTTGTTTTGTTAAAACAGAGTTGAACCTGCAAGTGCAGAGATTTGCACTGTCACAGTTGGAGATGCATAATTGTTTACTTTGCCCAATAATATGTCTCACAGATAGTGAACCAATGTATCAAAACTGTTAATCAGGGATGCCAACAACAAATAAACACATCCTATCAAACGTCCAGGTGGCCTCGAGATTGTAGCCCTTGCTCTATGATCGGGAGGTCCCTGGTTCGATTCTCGACCAGGTGACCCAAGTTTGCTGGTCTCAAACAATGGTTACCTGGGGCTGGCTTGATTAGCAACGGAGAGGGGATGGCACTCTAAGGACGGTAAAGCGCAGGATTATCACTCGTGGGATATTTGAAGCGTAGAAAAAGAAGAAGAAAAAAAGTTGCTGCACAAATATTCATTTCAGGACGCATATCCTGGATGATGATTACTCCTGTGGAGGCGGAATTAAATCAAATGAAGCAAAGGACAAGTTGATATACCCTGTTTGATAACACTGATGCAGACCTGTCTAAGAAAGGCATACAGGTAAATCTATCTTCTTTGCTAAGTTCATATTGCCAATGTACCACCCCACCCCCCAACCAATAATTCTAATGTTAGTCATACCTGAATGTATCATGATTACTGTCGTAAGTAGCTTTGAATTTGATGTACATTAAGTACAGAGTTCCATATGAAGTGGCAAGGAAAACTATTTTCATAACAGTGTTGTATAATGAAATAAATGTGAAAAATAGATCAAGATAACGTGCTGTGAACACTATTGCAAACAAAAATTGAGATCTTCCAGATATTCCTGCAACAGAAAATGGAAAACAAAATTAATGAAAAGGCTGAAGAAGAATAAATGAGCGGTTTTAAAAATACACAGTATATCCCAAAAGTTCCCGGCCTGGTGTTGAAATGCAGAAATTAAGATAGCTATCAAGTTGATCATGGTCCCATTTTGGAGCATACATCATTCCTAATCAACTGATCTTAAAATAATTTTACTTGCCCAAAAACTGCAGGATTAAGGCTGTTTCAATGGAGGGAGTAGTTCCTACCCACAGGCTTTTAAGTGATCAATCCCGCATAATCACTGATTGAAATGATTTTAGCCTACTTTTTGGAAAGGGAACGATTGCACCTCATGCAATTTTGTATGATTTCCTGTCGTTTGTCCATTACTATCCTCCCAATTCTCCCTTTACAATCTTCTTGAAGAAATTTGGAATTTCTAATTTTAGTGGGACTTTCACAATCAAGAGCCAGTTTTATTTAAATTCCAAAATATATCCACACTCAGCGAAATTAAGAACATCCATCGGACAAGCTGTTTGGTTTTTCAAGCTTACTAAGAAATTCGATCTATCTCAGCTTGACAGCAGAGCCGATGTTGGAAAATTAACCTCAAATAGGAGCGTGAACAAAAAAGATGCACTCCCCACCTAACGAATGAGATTTTAAGTTAGTTGGCAAGAATGTACGTAAAATCAGCGCTGAATGATAGAATATGAGTTAAGTCACGAGTTCTCTCTGGTAAAAGCTTCCAGAATACGAAGATGCCGAGAGGGGTTGCGCAGGTCCGACAGTGCGGACAGGGTTTCATTACAATTTAGCTATGCGTAGCTAAAAATTCAGATATGATCAATTCCCACGTCCATAAGCCAGTATAGGTTGATTAAGTCTGATGAGGACAGTTTGGGAACTGGATTAAATGCTCCCTGCTTGGTGTTCCTGAAGTAGGCTCTGGGCGTTCAGAATAGATAGACGCAGCAGTCCAAAACTTTCACATAGTGATGAGCATCAACCGCCGATGCATTGAAGGGAGGTGTGATGGTACTCAAAATGACTTTCCGCAAACTTAACTGAGATGAAGTGAGCAAAATTGACATATTTCGAGGCAAAGGCAGTCAGGTGATAACATTACCTGCACATGATCTGGAATTCCATATTTTTAATAACAAAATGATTATAGCTAAAAGATGGGATAGGTCGCCAAGAAGCCGGAAAATATTCATTTTGTTTTGCAGTGCAAAACTAACTACACAAAACCACTAAAATGACACATTCGCTGATAAAAACCCAATTATAAATAAATCCATAAGTACAAGAAAAATGACGTGGACGTGGCTGCCGGCTCGGATAGAGTTGTTTTCATTAGAGTCCCTTTATACCCAGAGTTAAGACAACTCGATTATCAGCTGACTCGCAGCCGGCCTTGGCTGGCCATGGAGGCCGAAACGAGTGCACCCAAACGAACGATATTGAGGGATAAGGATCAGGAATCCTGCGATGTCTGTCACACAAAAACAACAACATCAACAAATTGATCAATTAAAAAGAAAATGAGATTGGTTTGTGAATAATTTCTTATTCTATTTTCATTTTGGACCGATGGAAATAACAATTTACTCTTGATAAACCACAATTAGGTAATGTTTTCATTATTCTTGTTCACATTCGAGGTACCGCCATCTTGGTGCACTCGTTTCGGCCTCCATGAGAGAGAACCAATCAGAATTGGATTTTTTTTTAGGCCACTTTCAGCCCAACCAAAAGTGAGTTGTCTTAACTCTGGGTATAAAGGGACTCTAGTTTTCATTGCGCCTGCCACAGCTTCCATAGAGAATCTACAGAAGGTGCTAAAAAATGAACTTTTCAACGTCACAGCCTTGAACGCGGATTGTGACTGTGATCAAGTTATGTCATGCATAGCGTGAAGCAGAATCTGCGCCTTGCTATAGCCTCACTCTCATTGGCTAATAAACGTACGTACCTTCAAATTGGTACTCTCCCTTCAAAGTTTGCTGCGGTTTTCTCGACACCACAGTTTTCTTCATGCACATCGCCTACTCTGCCGCGCTAAAGAAAAACGCCGCCGTTGCCTCTAGGCGTTGCCAAATTTTCTTTGATAAAACACGGCTTCCCCGGTAAACTTTAGAATAGTTTTCTTTCAATTTTTCAGAGAATTTTGTTCGTATTTTGATCTAAGATTCCTGAAAGTCTCAAGGAAAAATATTTTTAACTTTCCTCCAAAATAAACATTTTACCAAAGGAAATTTGGCAACTCTCGAATGTTCTTAAGATGTATGCCTTAGCACGGCAGTACTCACAGTACTGTCCCCTTCCTGTCATCTCTAAAAATGTTTTTTTGAAAAATTGTCTCGGAGAACTTCCGGGAGGAGGGATAGCTTTGGACATTCACTGTACCATAAAAAATGGTATGATATCTTCAAATAAAACATGATGCGTTGCTCAGAGTGTGGCTTAAACGACGCGAAAGAAAAGAGAAAGGATGAAATTGAAAAAGTTCTTGGTGGTCGCATAGAAAAATGGGTGAGTTTATATTGATATGATTAGCAATCTGTGATTTTGATTTCAATTAACCTATGGGTAGCCGCCGCATGTGCCACCATGTCCTCGCAAAGTATGTACCAGGGCTCTCAAACCCAATGAAATGCTGTTTCAATCCACTTGAAACATCCTTTTTCGCCAGTTTTCGCCTTCATAACGTATTTTGTCCAGTTTTGGTATATGTTCCTCTCTATCTGGCATGTTTCTATATCTGTGAGAAGCATTCATTATTTCATTAAAATCTAATAGAAATAAGTATTTAGACTTTTTTTTAAGCGTCCAGCCCACATACAAACTAGAGGCTTCAAAGAGACTCATCGATGCCTTTCCTGGCCCTCTCATTGGCCAGCGGTTTAAGTCGGGGCAATCGATGAGTCTCTTTGAAGCCTCTAGTTTGTATGTGGGCTGGACGCTCGATGACAATACTTCCTCTATTCGCAAGGGGAGCGAGCAGGGCCGGATTTACCTTCTTGCCGCCCGTTGGCCGCCTGTATTTTGCCGCCCCCTTCTCATTCGTTTTGAAACATCAATAAAAACCATCAAATGAACGTTCCAGCGTGGGAGGGGTGCATAAGACGCGTTTACTTGTGTTGAACACATTTTTTGGGAAATTAGCCCTGTCAACACAACTGTCAAAAGTTCACGAAACTTTGCGCGAAAGTTAAGTCTCGTAAACCTATCTCTTTGTGGACAAGGCCTTCCATTCATAAGAAATGAACAAAAAAATTATAAAAGAACAAACATAAATGTGGATTAATGATTTTAACTTCCGCCGCCGTGCCGCGCAGACCGCACCGTGTTTGGCGCAATGCGTGAAGTATTCCGACAGTCTTGTAGGCGCTATGAGTTTCACGCCGCGCCGACCGCCGCTGAACGCACTGTGTTTGACGCAATGCGTGAAGTATTCACGCAGTCTTATAGGCGATATGCGTTTCACGCTGATCGCACTGTGTTTGCCGCAATGCGTGAAGTATTTGTGCAGCCATGTAGGGGCTAATATGTGTTACATGCCGATCGCCGCGCCGAGGGCTTCTCCTTTTCATCTCAAGTCCTCGTCATCGTTTCTCTCTAAGTTCCAGGCTAAATTTCGTGTTTGGATTCTCTCTTAACTCGACTAATAAAGACGACAAAAGTAGAAATTACTATACTCTCAGATAATTAGAAATTTTGTCTCCTTTTCTCGTTTGTACTTTTTTTTTTTCTAAATTCTAATTTTCTATACCTACATTCAAAAAAATTTCAAAATTTGCCGCCCCATATAGATTTGCCGCCATGGGCCGCGGCCCATTTGGCCACCCCCTTAATCCAGCCCTGGGAGAGAGAAAGAAAGTAAAAATCTCAATTCTTTCTATAAATTCTTTACATGCTACTCATAGAGAAAAGAAAGGAGGTGTTTGCATTTCGGACATCTTGGACTTTTTTTGCTGACGTAGGTCGGTGCGACGAGTTTTATCATCGATTTTCTTGGAAATGGTGTAATTTAAGGAAAAAATCATTCAAAAACATTTGGCTTTCCTATATTTTTGCTCTTCTTTTCACTTATCAGGAAAAAAATTTCACTTTTTGAATAGTCCGCTCAACTCTCAATTTAATGACGTAGTAATTGCGTCAGTAGGGAGAAGTATGTCTCGCTCTTTTCCATTGGCTCTCAGAACTTCAGGATTGACCAATTAGCTTCTTGCATCTCTTCTGCTAAAATGTTAGGCGGCCATTTTGTCTCATTTATCATAAACATATAGGTTGGGATAGCCGAGTTGCGTACTTAACACTTTGTTAAAATTTACTCAAGATTGACCTTTTTTCTTTTTAACAGTGAGTATTTGCTTTATTCCAAGCATTGTTCATCTTCCATACATGAGTTTTATTGAAGGTATTTCAGTTTTCTCTGTCGAAGTCAGTTATTTTCTCGTTACCTCGTGTAGTCTCCACTGTATGAGCATTCTACGCGGGAATTGGTGTTTCTGTTAAAAAAGTCGTGTTTACAGCTGCATCTGTCGTTCAAGATCCGACAATTCCTTTCCAGCTTTTGTATTTTAATCAAATGCATGATGTCTCCTGTGATTTGTTTGCTTTTTTCTCACCGATCTCTGTAACTGGACTGAACGGTTTGTTATAATGGGGGACTCCGTTCTCTATCTTTCGTTTCACCTAATCTAAACTTCTAGACATTTCTCAAGCCTCTTAGTTCCATTATTTCCACAATTGTGTGATTCTATTAGTAGTGAGAATCACGCACCAACTTTTTTGTTGGACATATTTGTTTCCATAATAAGTTTCAACTGTAGCCTAAGTACGGTCAGTTGAGCGTGAGATTACAGTTATGTTCATGTTTGTTTGCATTCTGGTAGCTTTATCTTTCATGAAGTCAACAGAGCTTTACTCTTTCATGCTAGCAAGTAACATCTCTAAAATTAAACCCTAAGAGCATTCCATAAATTGTGATGTTTATCAGGTTACAGTTTTTCAGAGCATCTCGTAATTACCGTCTTGGTGTCCATTAGTAGGTACCATATTTTTCTTGAAACTCTCAAAGTTGTTCTCCTTCCACAAGTGATCATCATCCATGACTGAATGTTACCACTCTCCTTTCTGACGGATGTTGTGTTACTTGCAGGTCTCTTAAGTATGCGCTATGTAGGTTGAGTGTTAATTTGAAATATGATCAACCCTAGCTGAAATTAAGTGTATGAAATACCTTTTCACAGATGAAATTGGGTTTCCAATTTTTTGATCAGCACACTTTGAATGTACATGTTTCCTCACTTAAGTTGCTATCTCCCGTCTGCTCATTTTGAAGAATAAGGTCACATCCTTTATTTATGATCGTTGTATCTGATTTTGAAGCCACTCTTGTATCTTTAATTCACTTCAGCATCTTTTAGCAACTGCTTGATGTCTGGTTTTTGTAACTATTACGCTCAGGGGCAATTATTTTTATTTCACAGGAGTGCTGAGTTTATGAGTGGGTATGTTGGAACGTGCTCATCATCCGCTAAGACAGAAATCTGTCTCTGATTAACTCTAAATCAGTACCTTTTAATATGGAAACAAAGAGAATTGAGGAGGGTTCCGGAAAAAAGGCCCATGGGCGTATGGGCCCTTTTTTCGGGGAACGCTTCAATGGATTGCCCGTACCCTAAACTGTATGTGCCTAAAGTTTTGTATCAATTCGCCAATTTTCAAAGCCACACAACCATTTTTCCGGGCGCAGGATTTCCACTGAATACCTCTATGAGCGGGGTATCGTCATGATTTAGAAGATGACGCGAGACCCGAGCGCGCGCACCGGCCAGCAGATAGCGATCCGACTGATAACAGCCCCTCTTTGTACTTCGAATGCACTGATCACTAGCTGCAATCAGTAAATGCAGATTTCAGTGTTAATCAAGATTTCAACAGTGGCACTTCCGAATAATAACATGCAGAATATTATTAATAATATTAGTGTGTGTCAGAGGATATCTTTTTCGCGAAGTTAGTTCGTGTTGTTCGTCTATATTTGTTGATGATATTTTCGCAATGTTGGAGAGTGGTAGTAACATCGTTAATAATGATAGATTAAAGCATCGTAAAAGTAAAAAAATTAACTTAAAAACAAACAGAGTAAAGGCATCTGCCAAATTCAAAAGACTGCGTGGTCAACCCTGCCAAACTTTATCCGGTAAAACCGTCTCAGGGGAAACTTTCAAGTCAATGACAGAATGTTGTGGTGAAAAGTGTTTTGATAATTTATCCGAAGAACTTCAATTAAAAAAATTCAGTGAATTTCATGAGGAGGAAACCAAAGCACAATAAGACGAGTACCTTGCAAGCTGTGTGGAGAGTCAACCATTGAAAACGTCTTAGTTTAGTCACAAGAACTGATTACCATCAGCGGATATCCGGAAAAAGGGCCCATAATCGAATTTTTTAAATTATTCCTCTCCTAGTCGAATTATGATTTGCAACTTTTGCCAATCGCTGATTTCATTTTAGGATGTATGAATCTTTGTATGAACATTCATTTTGAATATTGATGTCTCTTCGCGGTCAAAACACAGTAATGAAAACTTTAATGACGTTTTTGTCACAATGCGATTTTTCGGTGTGGGCCCTTTTTCCGGAACCCTCCTCAATTGTAGAAGCAGCCCAAAACAGCAACGACAATTGGAAACACAGGAAAATGTGGAAACAAGGCTGAAATACACAGGCAGGATGTTTCGATAATGGTGCTGTAAGGTACTGCCTGTGTATTTTGTATTTTAGCCTTGTTGCTGCATTTTCCTTCAAATATGTTAATACAATTGATATACAATGATACTGGTCAATTCAAAATTGACCATGAAACTCTAAAACTGCTCGTCTCGTTTGCTATGTTCTGTAATTTCCACTTGTATATCATTCAACTCAAGCAAGAGAACATATCAACACAATACCTTTAAGTTTTCGCAGAATTTTCTTTGCATCAAGGAGAAATCATGGAAGTTCTAAAGTGTTAATGTTGAGTCGTTTTTAGTTTTAAAAGCAAAGCATTACAGGAAGTTTGCAGAATTGCGAAACCGGGATACGTGGTTTGAGAGTTTCTCCTTCATAATACTTTCCTCAATGTAATTGCCACTTGTGGCATTGATGTTCAAGAAAAAAAATCCTCTATCTTTTTTGTTACCTACCGCAGGTTTTTGGATAAGAAACTGACACTAGTTTATCAGTGTGGTGTCATGTTTGTAGATATTTGGTGGGTACTGTGATTACGGAATAAATCATTACTTAAGAGACATTGCCAAGAAGCTTTATTCTTGGCATTAAATCACAATGGATGAAGCAACTACTGGAGTCATTTTGACCTAATGATTTTTAATAATCTTTTCCGTGCCCTCTCACTTACTTAGTTGACTTCTTCCATTCATACAGCGGATATACTTATTGAAAGTATTTTCTGCCTCCAAAGAAAGTTTCTTTATATGTGTGTGTCCCATTAAACCCATTTAGAAGTCTAGAAAATCAACAAAAATGTTTGAGTCACATGATCCTAATTTGCTGTACTTGTAATCAGACGGAGAGGCTCCATTTGAAATACTGCTGTGCCAAAGAAAAATGCTGCATGACTTTACAAACTTTGCCATCTTTCTTCCAATGATATATGGATTTCCAGGAAGGCTTGTTAACAGTTTTCTCTCAAATTTAAGATAATGGTATTCATAATTTAATCTTGTGTGACAGGAAATTTCAAGGAAGATCACTCATGACTTTTCTTTGAAACGAGCATTTTATTGGAGGGGCATTTGGCAACGCCTGAATGGTCTTACAGGGTTCTTTCTGGGAACGGCAGAAATGTCATTTGGTTTTTTCTCACATCGAAGCATTTGCCATTTTCAGTCTTTTGCATATTGGGACTCTAATTAACTTGCCAGGCAGAATAACCAACTTTTTCCTTTACAGCAACACCTAAGATATTATTATATATTCCAGTGACTATTATTCCTTTGCATCTCCACTTCAAACAAAAACATTTTATTAAAACTTGGTTTTTTGTGAAGGCACTGAAAATATTGTTTCACAAAGCAACTACACTGTAGAAAGGTAGAAAAATTAGTCCAAAAGCTCAGTGCCTTGTAGCAGTTCTCTTTTTAGTTATATTTTTCCGCTAAGAACCAAAAGCAACAAGTTTAGTAACTTCAGTTAGTCAGATGTGAAGTGGAGTTTCTGTTGGAGAGAAGAGATTAATTTTTAAAAGAGTTTTTTTATCTCTAATATTTTCTCTCAAGGTTTTTATTTCGTCTGGTTTTGGTAGATAATTTAAAATGAGACCCTGAGCCTCCCCCCCCCCCCCCTGNTGTCAAAGAACTTGTTATGTTGAGTAAATGTTGTAAATGCTAATGTTAATTGGTTTTGTTTTGGTTGCAGGAGCAGAATGGTGTGTGATTGGGGCATGTGAGCAGACTGCCTCTTGTGCTTGTGTGCGTGTTATTGTATGTGTGTAAGTTATCTCCTTATCTGCTGCAATTCTCGTTTTCCTAATCTGTTACTTTTAATTGCATCTTTTTTAAACCTTCTTAATGTTTACTTCAATTGCTGTGAAATTTTCTGTCTCATTCTTATCAAAATTCTCAATAGAAAAGCTTTAAAACCAAAAGAGATTTTACTTCTCCCCCATGAATAATTTGCTTAACTTTTCAAAACATTTGGATTGTGGCGCTGCCTTAAATTTGTCATTAAGAGCCTGAGTTACAAACTTATTATGGACAGAGATAAGGGGAAGTCACAGAGTTGATTTAGCCATGTAGACTCTGACACTTCAGAAAATTCCAAAGAAACCTGAATGCAAACCCAAGAAAAATGACTTTTTTCCTTTGCTGAAGTCACTGGTAATAAACAAGCAAAGAGCGTTTGAATGCACCCCTACAAACTCAGCACATTATACTACCCTGTCTATAACAACCACAGTGAATCAGGGAAAATTAAGTATTTTTCATTCAGCATTTTTTCACAAATCTGCATTTTAAACAGGAAAATAACTTAACAAACATATTAACAAAAAATATAATTATTTAAGAGTGAAGAACAAGCACTAACACAGGACCAGTTTGTAAAATGCCATGTAATCGAGCCCATGCTAAATTTAATTTTTGTTGGAAGCCTATTTCTTGTATAGGCACTTTGCTTTGCCTTAGTTGAGTAGAAGTAGAGGTTTTTATTAGCAGATTGATGTACAACGCTCCTACTTGCATTCATGATATCAAAGTTTTATCTTCTCTTTTGCTAAATTTACCATCCCTCTAAGAAAGAAGGATCTAAAGGAACTTTTATCACACCACTGGGAACCTGGAATGCCTCTCCTATTTTTTGGTGAAACTACTGTTAATTGTGACCGCCCACGAGTAGAGAGACCTTAGTTCGTGGGACCATAAATTTAGTACTACAGTTTTTATCAAGTTGACTATTAAATTCTCATTTTAAAATTTCAGTGGAAAAGTCTTCATTTTGTTGTTATATTGTACACTCATTTTTGTACAAACAGGGAGGGTGGAGTTGCATCATAAGCAGTGACAATTTTGGAGGTTGGCAACACTGTTTTTCTTCCATTTAAATCAATTAAAAATATCGATCTTAGGTGAGGCAAGCTGTCTCACCAAGAATTGGACGTATTTCTATCAAACGGAACTATGTGCATTAAGACATGAGCCCTGAGACCCATACGAATACATGCATAACCTGGCTCACATCTTAATGCAGTTTCGTTTGTCAGAAATACATCCAATTGATTGTTTTACATACTTGTAAATTGAGGAAAAACAGTGTTGCAAACTATCAAACACAGCCACTGATCATAATCCATCAAATCTCCTATCTGATCATGGCAGATTAGAACTCTAAGTAGCTTTTCTCTTAACTACAATGTTCAGAGTTTTTAACTTCAAATCGCTGAGATTCTGTTTTGGTTTGAAATTTTTGGGCTGTCATGTTCAAAAAATTAGTATTGAAGAAAAGAATAAGAAAAACAGAACAAGTTCTCATGTTTTTGTATCAAAAACTCCATTTTGAGTTCTTGTATATGGCTCAATTGCTCAATTTCTCCCAAATATCAATGAATTTTGCATCTCAATGATGACACCAGGATTTTAAATGCAGCTATTTTTCTGTTATGGTTAAGTTTCCTTTCATTCTCTCGGGGGGGGGAAAGGTCATCTTTAAAAGCTTCTTTTGCTTGATACTGCGCTGACTGAATCAGTATTGGCGAACTTGAATGATATTTTGCTGATTTTCTATCTCTCAGAACCGAATATATTTCTTGACAGATCTTAGTTTGCACTGAGCTCATCGAGAAGGAACCGCAACAGAAGGGTTGCCTTCAAGTTTTAGTATGCATGGTTCTTTTTTGCTCAGTGCAGCCAAACTAGCTGTGCAGATTCCATTCCTTTAGTCCTTTAGTTCCCGGAACTATGTTCAGTATGGCGTGAGCCCTGTTATGCATATATTGTTATGGGTCTCAGGGCTCATGTCTTAATGGACGTAGTTCCGTTTGGCATAAATACGTACAATTGACATGTTTGTTTGTTTTTTTCAGGTGAGTGATTGATAGGGTGACTGAAAAAATGGCCTCACTAGGTACCGAAGCAGCCAAGCTTTTGGATTTCAATGAGAAATTAAACATCAATCTGCTCGATGAAGTGGTCAACTGCATGTATCATGGTCTTGGAGAGCAGGTATAATTTGGTTTTTCTTATTTTTCTCCCTCCCTTTCTTTTTGAAGGATTGAATTCATAAACTTTTGAATGACAACTAAGCCTCATGCTAGCTTTATCTCTGTTGCCCATTAGAGTGTCTAGCAACTGAGAGAGCCTGAAAATGTCAGGGAATTTTATTTTGCAAGCAATTTTTAAGTCAGTGAAATGTCAGGGAAAACACAGATTTTTCGGAAAATGTTGCTCTTGCATAGATTTTCACCAAAATTTCTACTAGAATTTCTGCTGGTGTCAATTAAATTTTAAAAACGAGGCAAAAGTATCTTGTATAAGTTTAGGCACCTTATATTTTGCTCTATTTATTACATGATGTTACTAAAACATGAAACAATTCTTACTTTTATTTAATCAGTTCAAACCTGTCGAAAAATAAGGAATATTTTTCCTTTTTGTCAGGGAATAATTTTTTCCGTCTATCAGGGAATTTGAAATTTTTCCCCGGTTTTTTGGCCGTTTTTGTCTAGGAGATTGGAGAAATGTCAAGGAATTTTTTTTTTTGAAAATTGCTAGACACCCTGCCCATGAACTCCTTTCCACATCCACATACTGCAACTTCCTCTCCAATTTATCTGGAATAGAATTTAATATTTTAAGTGGAATGTAAGAGTCAGTTATGCTCTTGCTTCTAATTCAGCATTTAGTTACTGAATGGAATAAAATTCCAGTAAAAGCTGGATTTACCAGAGGTGTAATTGAAAATTGCACCTCCATGTATGTATTTTATTTTTAAAATTTGGAGGTCCTGAACATTATTACTATGCTGAGATAAAGTTATTTCATTTTTTGTTCCGTCTTGAGACCTATTTTACCTGTTTTCGTATGAAATTCTAATGACTACATGGTTTCTTGTTCATAGCCTCTTTTTTCCTGAAGTAACAATGTGCATTACTTCTTGTGTTTCAGCAACGAGTTGCACAAGATGCCCTTACAACTCTGAAAAACCATCCACAAGCATGGACCCGGGTTGATTCTATCCTTGAGTATTCTAGTAACCAACAAACTAAGTACTATGCCCTTCAGATTCTTGAAGAAGTTATCAAGACTCGATGGAAAACATTGCCAAGAAATCAATGCGAAGGTGAGTAACCACATTTTTTCAAGCAGCGGCAAACATCAGACAAAGTTTAATTTTCATGAAATGCAAGTGTGCTTGTTTTCTTTCCTTACTTTACTTTCTTACTTACTTACTTATACTATACTGCTGCTTGATTTCAACCTTAATGTAGGGCGCTGTTTTCCTTTCACACCCAGAACAGGGCAACCATTTTCACCTCAAAATCTACACTTATTCAAATTCTGTTTAATTATTCATTTCTATGTAAGCTGACCAAATCTCTGTAACCCAAAATGTTTCTATTTTTGGAAGCTTTACAATTTTATACGTTCCCTGTCAATGTCTAATTGTAATTGTCCTGGTGGGCCAGAAAAGCAAACAAGCAGGTAATTAGTCAAATTTAAATGCTACAAATCATAGTTTCCGTTGAACTTTGCAACACTGGCGCTTTCTATGGCTTATGAGTGTGACTAGTATTCTACACTTAGTTGGAGGACCCACATGTAGCACCTCTATCACACAATAGTATGATCACAAGATCCCTTTCAATATGCCATCTTTTTGACCAGTCTAGCCTGATGCAACCAACAATTAACAGTCACTATAACCGGCTTGAATAAGAATGTTTTGATGGTTGCTCATCTGATGGTCAAAGTAACTGTTCTTGCATCTGGATGTGAACTAATTAATTTTTGTTATGTTGCAGGTATCAAAAAATACATTGTAGAACTTATAATTAAAACATCTTCCGATCCAGAAACTATGGAAAGCAAAAAGATGTATTTGAATAAACTAAATATGATTTTAGTTCAGGTAAAGTCATTGCTACAGCCTTTGTTTTTTTTTCTATTTCTATCAAATGAAAAACTGAACCACTTGGTGTCATATCCATTTTTTTTTACATTGATTTTCCAGGGCTACAGCATTTATAGAGGAGACCTGTATCTGTGTGCTCAGATCAGGTTTCTGAATAATAGAATTTATTCTAAGATTCTGGAACCTTCATGGGGAGGAGGCGCTTGTTCTAAGGAAACTTTTAGATCAACTGGAGTATTTTTGATAAACTCTTTTGGACTTTTTGACGAGCCGCCCAGTCTCTGGTCAAATCTCCTGAACAGCCATTTGCTATTTAGAAATGACTGTTTCAGTTGCAGTCTGTTTCTAACTAATTATCTCTGATCATTCGAAAATAATTGGGCAGTGTCTCTCAGAAGGGAACCATGTGACATCAGGCGTCACTAAATTTCACCTGACAATTTTTGTTCAATTCAAAGACAAAGTTTGTACCAATTCAGCAGAAATTTTAAGATAATTTTCTCTGGAGTGTGAAGATAGCTTCTCAAAATTTCCGAGGAAGTCTGCACAGATGATCTTTATTACTTAAATGCATTTTCTAATAAATTTTAGTGACAGCAGATGCCACTTATGATAAAATACTTTAAAAGTACCAGGCTAGGTCAAAGGTTAAATTTTATTTTAAAGATGCCCTTCAGTTCCCTCTCAAGAAATGCCACCTATTTGGTGTCTAGTTTTTTTTTTCGCTGGTGGTTTTATCTCCTCTGGATGCCCAATACATGAAGGATTTTGTTTTTTTTTTCAACCTTTGTGCGGCATTGCTCCAATGCTCTTTTCATTTTCGTGTTTTTCTAATTATCTTTTATTGGTCCTATGTCCCAGGTGTTAAAACGAGAATGGCCGAAAAATTGGGAGTCTTTCATTCCAGACATTGTAGGAGCCAGCAAAACAAGTGAAAGTCTTTGTCAGAACAATATGGTGATTCTGAAATTGTTAAGTGAGGAAGTTTTCGATTTTTCATCTGGACAGATGACTCAAACCAAAGCGAAGCATTTGAAAGATAGCATGTGCTCAGAGTTCTCACAGATTTTTACTCTCTGCCAATTTGTCTTGGTAAGTAACTTGAAACAGCCAGTTTAAAGTCACACTACTCTATTAAAATATCTTCTAGCATGATCTTAAAGAAGCTTAAATTTTTATGTTCTATTTCTTTCCACTTAATAGCATCTTTGAGTCAAAGGTAATGTAAAAACAGGGAGTACCTATTGTAAAAAAAAAATGCTATTTTTTTTTTAGCAAACCAGTGGAGAAAGTAATGAACCAGACAACCACATTGTTGTATTATTCAAAAATAACATTTTCTGCTGACTTTTTTTTTTAAATGTGCCCATCAAAACCTTACTGATTGTTCAGCATCGAACATTATTTAGGCTATGTGTAATTTGTTCAGCATCCAAGTATTTCCACTGTAAATTCCAATTCAAGCCTGGAAGGTCGCTAACTCACTGGTGCCTCTTAGAGAGAAATCGTGGGCTCTGAAGGTTAGGAGAGAAAAGCGTACATAGAGAGTATTTTATGACAAGAATTGCAGCAGAAGGACTATGCATGGAAGAAATTAGGTGCCTCCTAAATTTAGAGATTATTTGATATGATTTTCCTTGCGACCTCCTGAGTAAGATGAGCGTTTAAAATCAATCTTTCTTTGTGCCTATCTTGAGAAAATTGGGTCTGAAAAATGCTGTTTTCAGCATTACAACACGTGCTATCTTACGGAGAGGTGGCGCTGTCGCTGAGTGAAAGACGCCAAGCCTTTTGTTTTGAGTTGAGATAGCGCTCTCTCTTCTTTCTGCGGCCAGTGTGAGATGAGGAAGCAGGAGCTCGCTCCTTGATCACCTACAATTTCCAGGGCGTGAAACAGCCAAAAAATACACTTTCGGTCAGATTTTCTGAAGATTGGTGCAGAGAAAGTGTATAAGCTCCTATTTCTTGGGAGATGGTAAGGAACAGCACACCAAAAAATCTCGAAATTCAGCCTGCGCCGAATTTCTCATTATTTCGTGCATAGTTCTTTGAATTCCATTACCTAATGGTCACTCAATTGATACATCAATAATCTCTGGTCTGCTGAGAACTACAAGCTGAGTGCTTACTCCATTTGCTCCAGCAAGTAACTTTGAACTCAGATATAGTGAGGCTCCTCTTCCTTTGAGTTTTCAGACAAGTAAAACACAACATTACATGTTTTCGCTGAACATTTTTTATAGAAATATATTCTTACAACAGCAAGCTCCGAAATAAACTTTTATGCGAAATCTTTATAAAAGCTTTTGACATTGATCAAATGGATAAATAGAATGCACAAATGACCTTCGTATTTTGCTTTTATACTAATATCATTTGCAAATACTTTCTTTCCAAGTTAACCTAGGAACCCGTTGTTCTAAATGAATTGACTGATGTTTGAAATTATTTCTCAGAATTAACATGTAATGTATTTCCTCAATTTATACCATGCCAAGAGGTCCTTTTGTTTGCCCTACGCGCTGTGTGTATCATTCCAAGTGGCTGTATTCTATTTATTTTAATGTCGTTTGATACCTTTTTGTTCAAATACTAATTGCCCACTTTCTCTGTTTTGTTCAGCATAACTCTGAAAATGCATCCTTAGTAAATGCAACCCTGGAAACATTATTAAGGTTTCTGAATTGGATTCCGTTAGGATACATTTTTGAAACAGACCTTATCAAAAGTTTAATTTTTAAGGTATGTATCCTTGTGATTTTTATTATGCCTTTGATTCATCAACTACATGATCTTTCATCATTTGGGCTCCTCTCATGTCTTTGGAAAGTAAGGGGAAAAACCAATCATAAAGTAGTGTCTGCGGCTCATAAAAAGAACATTAGAAGGAACTTGTAGTTGTTGACCTGTAGGTTTAGACACCATTGTCTCTGAACATGTTAAAGATTCAATGACAAAAGTGGTTGCCATTAATGACTGCCAGGGCACAACACATTTCTGCCAATCACAGATCAAAACAGTGCCTGAGTGGGGCTCAATATTGGTTAAACTCTATGTAACATAGTTTTGTCGTTGTATTTAAGTGCAGTCAAACCTCACTGAGTCAGAATGCATCAGGATCAAGGGTTCATTCTGACTTGGCGGGGTTTCCAAGCTAAACGGATTTTGGATTGATAAAACGAAAAAACGGGACCAAGTCGTCATCACTGAGTTAACTCTGTTTCTGACTCATGACAGGTTTCAACTTAGTTAGGTTTAACTGTGGTTGTATTATTATCTGCAAATCGATGGTGAAACTGCATTAATGCATATCTCAGTTTGTGACATTGTTGACTTCCTGTCACTCTTTATTTTTTAAATGGAAAAATACTCAACATCTTCTCTCAAGGGTGCTAAATCATGCGATCTACAAAAAATGACAAAATGACACTGAATTTTTTTTCAGGAAGTAGTCCATTGAGTGTTCAATCTTTTCGACTTTGTAAGAGAAGTTAAGTCATCACTTAGTAAAATGTGGGAAATTAAGGAAATTTTTCAGAAGTGAGTGAGGAGAAAGATAAGGATTAAGTTGAATGTCCCGCCGATTGGGACGTTTCGCACCCCTGGTTTGCTTAAAGATCTCCCTCACCTTTCCTCTCTGTGTAATAATGATAATTTTAAACAATAACATTGATCTTCTCTTCTTTGGTAACCAAAAATGGTCAGAAGAGATTTTGAAGCACTGTAGGCAAGGTATGAGTTCTTGCTGTTTCAGTTTCCAAGTATATTTACTAATTATTTTAATACTAATAATTTTATGTTCTGTTTCTGTTTGTTTAGTTCCTTAATGTACCTTTGTTTCGAAATGTGACAATGAAATGTCTAACCGAAATTGCTGCAGTCAAGCATCTAATGTATGCTGATGTCACCGTCAGCATGTTTCTTGAAACGATGAAAGAACTGGAAAAGGTATGATTATGATTTCATCCGGTGATTAAAGCAACCATCAAATGTACATTAGTGATTCATGGGAACATGATTTTGAGAAGAGCTTTACCGCATCTCTAATCACTTATTCGATGTCAGAAAAGTAATATGAGATTTGAGGCAGTTTGTTATTTACTTATTGACCTCTGAACTTTCTGTCAGAGAGCAAATTTGAATTCCAGTCAACTTTAAAATTTCTTCACCGAGCTAAGCTAGATTGAATGAACAATGAGGATAAACACCTGCCATTATTTTAGGGTCATCGGGAAATTCATTTTGTGAGAAAAGTGAGAAAGGGACAAATCCATCATATTTTTTGAATCTCATGACCTGTAAAGCTCAGTGAATGCATCATATTATGTATCTGTTGCAGACTAATAGCAAATCAGGCATTTTGTCAAATGCTTTGGGAAATAGTCAAATGTTCTTACTTAAAAAAATGATTTTCTGATTCTGTTGCTAATTTTATATAAAACAGTTATTTTCTTACCTAGGAAATAAGTTTCTGTAAAAATTAGTGTCCTACATTTGTGAATAAATTAGATGTAGTCTAGCATATTATAAAATTCAGAATTATTAAAATGCTGATGGTTAAATTGAATGAGGAGCATTTGAAGAGCAAAATACAAGAAAAGTTTGGAGATTTGATTTTCGCTCACATTCAAAACATTGAAAACTTCAGAGCTCTTCATCAAAATCATACAAGACTTCATAAAGCATCAAAATTTGACTATCTGCCCAGGCATTTGGATTCGACTGTTTGTCTTTAGTGACTATCTCAAGGGTAGAGAAAAATAGAAGGATGAACATCCTTCCATCTGCGATAAAGATACACTGTACCAGAAAAAACTGACATCTTCATTTTGTGAATGAGAATATGATTTTTTCTAAAAATTCTACTTAATTCGTGTTTTAATGTGTTTTTGCAGATGTTACCACCAACTACAAACATCCGAGAAGCGTACGCGAAAGGTCAAGATCAAGAACAGCACTTCGTTCAGAATCTTGCCATGTTCTTGTGCACGTTCCTCAAGGAGCACGGCTCTCTGATCGAGAGGAAGGGACTCAACGATGAACTTACAACCGTAAGTCAATCACATGAAGTTACCCATCTTCTCTGCCTGCCCATGTCTTGTAGAAGTAGAAATCTCTGTAGGGTCAAAGTTTTGCCAGTTTAGGTCTCATCAAGTACTCCTTTATTTTTTTTTCATGAGAAGGCTTGTTACAAATATCGCGAATAGCTTGAAAAAAATTCTTTGCTTGTTTAAATGATCAATGGATTGGGCTGCATTTCAAAGAAACAAACCAAGTCACATTATGATCAAACCCAGAAGAAGAGGTTTGAGGTTGCTTTTCTTTGCAAGAAAAACTGTTCGAAATAAAGATCAACAGGTTTTTGGATTTGAAATAATTTTTTCCGGCACTTAATCTCTGACAGATGATTTTGAGCTTGTTTACCAGAAAAATACCACTCTATACCTGTTTTTACTAAAATGTGACTTTGTGCCTATCTGTTAATTTCGATTCAAATGTCAATATCTGTTGATTTCATGCAGTGATGGTTTCAAAACTACCACAAAAACTTTTCGTTCGTTTCAAAATATTAATTGTGCCCTTAGTCCCTAAAAGTCCAAATTTTGTTCCTTTGTTAAGTTAGGAATTCAAACTTTTAACGGTTTTCCTATTTTTCTTTGAAGTCAGAGTTTTCCTGGAAAAGCTTTAAAAGTCGGTCTGTCAGAAATAATTTTCTTCAGCAATACTTTCCATGAAATTAATTTCTTTTATTATCTCCATTCATGACTAAGGTCTTTTTCATTTCATTTTTCTCCAGGCATTGCATTATTTAATTATGATATCTGAAGTGGAAGAAGTTGAGATATTCAAGATTTGTCTAGAATACTGGAATGCCCTCGCAATTGAGCTCTACCGCGAAGATTTTAGTTTCCCTCATTTTAGAAGGGACATCTATCCTCCAGTTCTAACCAAAGTAAGTATTTTGTATTGTCCTCTGAATATTAATTTACATTTCTATGTTATTCCACTTTTTTTTTCTTTTCTATTTACTAGGGTTTGTAATGCTTTGGCAAGTCCTCCAATGTGTTTGCATTATTTTTGGGATTTTCAAATCCTTGAATATCCTTGACTTTTGGGACAGTGCCCTAATTTACTTGAATGTCATTAAATTTTAATTATGCTGCTATTTCAATTATGACCATTTGAAAAAAATAGATTTTTTCCCTTCTTATGAAGTTCTCCTTTATGTCAAATAATTTCCTCTCTCGTCATGTATTTGCATTTTAGTGTATTAATGTCGAAGAAGCAAGGTACAAGAAGAGAAAACATCCATCGCTTTAAAAACATTTTCTAAAGATTTCAACCGTTTTTGGTACATTCTTTAAAGCACTTGAAATTTTTATTAAAAGTACATAAATTATCCTTGTAAGCCCTTGATTTTGGTCTTAAAAAGCTGCCATGAATTCTGTTTGAGTAATCATTAAGGGTAAGCACTCTCCATCAGTAATGTGTACTTTGGAAGGGCGCTGAGTACTCAGTTCCAATCCATCTGCGGCCCAATTATTGAAACTTTGTCAGCCCGACACGACAAGACATAACCCTATCTTAAACATGCAATGTATCGCATTTTGATGTCTTGTCAGGCTACTTTAAACTTTCAATAATCGGCCTGCAGCTCACTATTTTCTATGAATACGATTTTTCTTCCCTACATAGCCTTTTTGAGGTACTAGTTTTTATTAATGAACAAGTAATCTCACTGTTGTTTAACAAATTGTTTACTCAACTCCGTATAGTAGAAGGCTTATATAAATCTCCGTGATAACAGGTATGCACTCAAGTTAAGGGTAACGAGAGCATGTATTAACTCACGGACATTTTTATTCTACATAGACTCCCTGTAAAAGGGGTCCAAGACTAAGAAATTATTTTCCATGCTAAGCTGCAATTCTCAGATTAGCTCCCTGAAAGACCTCTCATTTCTATGGTGTCTCTGATTAAAATGAAAACTGATTGAAAATAAAAGAGGGTGTCGGTGATCTTGCGAAAAAAGGAATAGTTTCCTTGCCTGTCGCACTACTCATATCTAAGAGTTAGAAATGTAGAAAGATTAATTTATCTTCCAAGTTGGATTAATTCTATTAATGTTTGTTGATTATCTTTTTTTGTATTTTTCCACTTTTGTTTCCCTGTCCATTTCATGCATTGTCTACTGTTATCTTTTAGGTGAGGTATATTATGATAAGTCGTATGGCCAAGCCAGAGGAAGTGTTAGTGGTTGAAAATGAGAATGGAGAAGTGGTGCGAGAGTTCATGAAAGATACAGATGCGATCAACCTGTACAAAAACATGCGAGAGACACTCGTCTACCTAACCCATTTAGATTGTGTGGACACTGAGCGTGTCATGACGGAGAAACTTCAGAACCAAGTCACAGGCACTGAATGGTCCTGGAAGAACTTAAATACTGTGAGTACTCTTTTATCCTCTCCTTTTCTCCAACAAGAATTGATATCAAGTTCTCAGAAAATTGACCTTATGAATCTTCAATAATCCCAATCAGGATCGCCAAGTCCTTTTGGGAGTCTCTTAGTCTGATGAAATTTAGTTTCCCTCTAATTTCAGACTTGATGAGCTCCAGAGAAGAAAGTCCACTGCGTAAACATTGGCTGGTCTGGTTGAGGATCATTATTATTCAATAAAACGTTCTTGACAATCCCCTGCGGGCCGATTACTGAAAGTTGAAGGCAGCCGGTGAGACATCAAAATGCAACATATTGCATGGTTAAGATATGGCTATGTCATATCTTGTCGTGCCGACACAGTTTCAATAATTGGGCCGCTGATCACAATGATCTTTTAAAATAAGACTTTCTATGCAAGGCCAGTTTGGTTCTAATTCTTCAGCAAACAGGCTTTACTTAAAAAAGGGACTTACTGATGTAGGCAGAAAAAGGCTCAAAGTAATGATCAAGAGGTTTTGATAGATTTCTTAAAAATGCCTGATGGGGTCTGCAAATTTTGCCGGCCAGGGCTTCTGCAGGGCTCTTTTAGGTAAATTGAAGAGGGCAATCGTTGTAAGGCCCATGCAGTCAGCATCCCTGTTTCTTTGTGCCGATTTCAAGAATAGTGAAGCTGAAAAGTGAATTTATTACTTTTTCACACTGTTTATTCATATCACACTGCCGCTATTTCGGACGTGCGGAGTTTTTTGTTCTGAGGCAATGGCTGCTGAGGCTGTCTTATCTAAGAAGGAAAGTAAAGTTCTCCTCAATCACAAACATTTCCAAGCAGTAATGCACTTAAAAATTCCAAAAAATTCATTTTTCAGCTCTGCTTTACTTGTATTTGGCATTTATGAACTTCAGTTTACAAGTTCATCGGCTTAGGAGATTGTAAAAACTGTAATCTATACTAATAAAACAGACTTCACGTTGATTGACTCACTCACTGACTGACTGACTCACTCACGTATCAGCGGATCTCGTGAACGGGAGGCCGTGTGACCCTGAGATTCCGCACTGGGATCCCTCTCTACCCCGAGGCGCCGGATAAGGGAGGATTTCGCGATCCNTCGCCAGGAACACGACGTATTTGCCGTGATACCGTGGTGATTATCGTGTAATTTCTAATTTGTTTTACAAAATCCCTGGAGAAATCAAGTTTTCTCCGCTATGTAGATGACAAACCCGCCATTGCTGTGAATTAAACGAAACCGCTGGCTAAATTCCGTAATTTTCGCGGCTGAAACTCACCAGCTAACTTCAATTGAACATTGAACTGACAAAAGTAACAAATCTTCATGAAAATAACCAACTTTTGATTGGGTATTTTTTATTATTATAAATATCATGTGAGCTTATTGCAGAACGGACCAAAATAGCAGCATACTACTAATTTCTACTTTTTAATCAAACCAGCGCGTCTCGCCAATTTTGAAATAGTAGATAATAATTCAGAAACACAATTAGTAACTGATCACTAATCACAGTGATTGCTGATGGTGGGGTTTTCCTGTGCGTAGCACGGGTTTCCTGCTAGTATCCAATAATGAGGAAATTTAGCCGATGTTAAATCCTTGGATTTTCCTCAAGGCTCATGATACAATTTGCATGACGGTCAAAAGTAAATAACAGCCAACTCATTTGATGTGAGTTCTCTCAATTTCTTGTACCTAATTGCGAATGTAACATCAATGTCTAATGATTGAAATGTGATCGAGTTTTATGAGTATATATAAACTTATGAGAAGTTAGGTTTCTGTTTAAGTTGGATTTATTAATGATAACCGTAGATATAATGAGTGAGTAATGCAGCCACTAAATCTGTCTGAAAGGAATTGAAACTTATCGAATGCAGCTGATCATTTGTTTTTGTTGTTCACAGCTATGTTGGGCCATAGGTAGCATATCAGGTGCAATGCACGAAGAGGATGAGAAACGGTTTCTGGTGACAGTAATCAAAGATCTACTTGGTCTGTGTGAACAGAAGAAGGGCAAAGATAATAAAGCAATCATTGCTTCAAATATTATGTATGTTGTTGGTCAGTATCCGAGATTTCTCAGAGCGCATTGGAAGTTCCTTAAAACAGTTGTCAACAAACTCTTTGAGTTCATGCACGGTAAGGAGCTTTTCTGAAGAATATTTTAAAAACCGCTTTGTTTTAATACCTCCTTAGAATCAAAAGAATAAGTGTCTCAAAAATGCAAAAAGTTCCAAGCCCTCCCCCAAACTCAAGTGTCCTCTATTTTTACGAAAAATTATTATTACCCATAAAAAAATCCTTTTGGGTAAATAAAGCGAAATTTTTCAATATAACTGCATCATTTTTTTTAAAGTGTCGTATACAGCGAAGTTTAACCAATCAAGCAAGGAGAGGGAAGTTCATGTGCACAAACAGTTTTCAATGAAGAGATAGTGTCCGTAAAAATTAAGTGATAAGTTAAAAACAATTTTTAAAAGCTTCTTTGGTTGCCTTTAAACATCCTCTTTACGGGAGTAACACCCCTTTAAGATTAATTCAAATCAGATATAGGAAACATTTCTTGCATGATGAAACGCAAGACAACAAGCACATTGCCCAAGAGACTTCAGAAATTTAAGAGTTCTAGTCAATTGGGCGTATACTAATTTAAGTTTACTTTGATAATAGGTTGTTGTTTTGTTATGTGGCAGCATAATAAAAACACAACGTAGAAACATGACTGTTTTGACTGACCGAATACATTGTCGTTAAGACTAGTTTTGCAATTAACAATTGAAAATACATTACCAAACAGCTTTTACTATCAAAGAACGAGCACCTTTTATCACAATCATTGATCTGGCCAAAAATAATAAAAATAGAATCCTCTCATCTGTAAGTATCCAGAATGTTACACATTTGAGGTCCAGTCATGCTGATCGTCTCTTGTGGTTTTTTTTTTTTTTAGAAACTCATGATGGTGTACAAGACATGGCGTGTGATACATTCATCAAGATTGCGCAGAAGTGTAAGCGGCATTTTGTTTTGGTTCAAGTAGGCGAAGCCATGCCGTTTGTTGAGGAAATTTTGAGCACCATCAGTACTATCATTTGTGATTTACAGCCACAACAGGTATTGACAACAGACATTGCTCGTCCATAAATTATTACACTCAATATTTCCCTAGTAATGCTGAATGTATTTTAAGTTTTTAATTTTTCCTCCCTTATTTTATTAGCTCTAGCAGCAATACGAAGAATATGTATTTGTATAAGTTGTTCTTTCTTCATCTCCTACAATCATTACATATACAGTGGAGCCCGTATATAACGAACTCGCTTTTAACGAAGTTTCGGATATAACGAAGTAATTTTAATTTTTCTAGTGCCTCCATATACACTCAATAGTAGAAAAGCCCGCCTTTAACAAAGTCTCGGTGGCGGCACCTCGCGTATAACAAAGTAATTCGATGTCATTTCCGCTTTTGTGTCCGGTATTTTCTGCTCTCTTGATGAATTCTGCTCGCTTGCAGTAATCTGTGTGGTAGTTGCGGAGTCACAAAGTTACGGATAAAATAGAATGAGCGATAACAAAGTGAGCGCTCACTGCGCAGCCCGCCGCGCATGTCTCACACCTCACTCTCTCACACTTGCACGCGTCTGTGATGGAGGGGAGGGGGGAGTCCGGCACCGCGCCGATTCATCCCACGTCCCCAGTTAGCAGGATTCATCTCTGTCATTTTTCTCCAGGAGCCTCTCCAGAAAGCTTTCAGGGAGAGGCGTTGTATTCGCGTTTGAGAGGATTTTTGGAGACGAATCCTGGAAGCAGGTAGGACCCAGATTCCACCGTTACTCGTAACCAGGTTTTACACAACTCCTGTAGCGTTTCATGGAGTTGGGTCCTACACCGCGAAGAGCGCTATCGTCGAGCGTTTCCCAGAGCTGCCGCACGTGACCGCCCGAGCGCCTCGTTGACATCGGCCATTTGCGTAGGTTAGGGTTTGTCCGTTTCTTTATACAATTTATCAGTCCGCTTTTAACGAAGTTCCGGCTCTAACGAAGTTTATCTGGGAACCGTGAACTTCGTTATATATGGGCTCCACTGTATATTAAATTTTAATTTAGTATTAGATAATCAGTTGTGTCAAATCAATCATCTTGGAAGGAAGGATACAGTCTGTAATTTAAGAAATATTCCTATGTTCAATTTAATCAAGGACTGATCACTAAATTTTGTGGTTTATGTTGCAATCCTACTCCTTAAAGCATTGATCTGAGACATTTTGTTGTAATTTTTTGCTGCTGGAAAACAAGCCCAAAAACTATGGTGCCTTTAATTCATCAAACGTCTTGGCACAAATTAAATTTTCAACAAGAGAAACTCTAATACATTGATATAAGAGGTATGAAAGAACACATTTGAACAAGAAGGCATGCGAGGCTAATTCTTTATTATCTTCAAATTTTCCAGATTCACACATTTTATGAAGCTGTTGGTTTGATGATCAGTGCACAAACGAACACAGTCCAGCAAGAAGTGTTGATAGAAAAGTATATGTCTTTGCCAAACACTGTATGGGATGACATTATCAGTCGTGCAGCAACAAATGTGGACATTTTGAAAGATATCGAAGTGATCAAACAGCTCGTGAATATTCTCAAAACAAACGTCAGAGCGTGCAAAGCTTTAGGACAACCCTATTTCCTTCAGGTACTTTTTGTTTAATTATTTAATATTTTTCTTTTAAACCATAAGTAAATAAGAAATTTGTGACACATGAATATGTATATTGGCTGGGTCTGTTTCCCTCCCTGTCTCTGTTTAGTGTCAGTGTTCCTATTGGAGGATCCAGTCTTATGACTTGATCCGCCAATGGGAGAGCTTGGCACTAGAGGGAGAGAGGGATGGTTCAGAGAGACGCCATTTTTGCATTTTCTTTCTCTTGTGCGGTCATGCGGCTCTTATTCATCCAAATTGTGAGTATATTTTCTAGTGTTCAAGTAGTTGTAGAGTGTTTGAGCCGGTCGGTCAATCTCCTGATGTTCCCTAAAGTTTTTGGTGTCTTTCTTTCGTTGCTCCCTTTCACTGAGCAACACTTGTCTCAAAATCTTCCCTAAATTTGATGAATTTGATTAACTTTAGTCCGTATAATTTACTTCTTGTTCGTTTTTCATTCCTCTCTTAAGTTACTATCTGGTATTTTTATTTCAGAATTTTAAAATAACACTCCGAATTATTTAAAAAAAAACATAAGACAGATATCATCTTGGTTTTGTCCAACTTTTCCAATGTCATCTATGGTCCCTAATGTTCTGTACCTTCAAACATGTAAATCCATGAAGCTCCAGAAACTTTGATTAGCATAGATAACTGATGGTAGTGGTCCCCTCAAAATTATTAGGGCTGTCCATACCTTGAATTTTTGGTCCGAACCATACTTTGGAAAGGTTCCGGAACACAAACTAAACCTTTTAATTTTTTACCTTTAATAAAAGGTTTTCATATACTCGAAAATGAAGAAACTCCGTCCATGTGAGCCAAGCGTTTGGTGTTCTTTATTGATTGAACTATCTGGATTGTCTGAGAAAAATTTTGGTTTGTTTTATTAAACATTCTGTTCTTACAACCAAACCTTTTCTTCCACCTTTGCTCAATGCTAAAGTTTGATCTCATGATTCAAACGTCCAATGACGTGATCAGAATTTTTCCTTGATAAACGGAATAGCTCAATGAGTGTGGAACACCAAACATTCAGACTTTCACATTTTTATCTTCAATGCACCCAGATTTTGCTTTAAATCTGTAAAATTCTTCATCAAATTAGCTAATCCAGTTTGCTAATATGATGTACCAGTCTATCCAACAAAGAAGCCTCAAGCAAAATTATTACAATAATATTTTGACATTTTTTGAAGATAAGCGACAAAACTGAAATTTTAAAGGTACCGTTGTTTGGAAGATTTTTGTGTATTTTCTGAAGACGAAAACACAATCTAAATCTTCCTTAATTATATTAAACCAAAGTCAGAGACCTTCTGATGAGCACAGATCAAAAGGAATAGAATATTATGAATCAGGTAATTACTCCTCAAAATTCCTCTTCCCATAATCCATCAATGCATCTATGTCTAATACACTTTTGTATTTGTTCCTTTTTCTCAGCTGGGAAGAATTTATTTAGACATGTTAAATGTTTACAAAGTAATGAGTTCAAACATTGTGACGGCAATAGCCAGCAATGGTGAACTAGTTACCAAACAACCTGTCATCAAGGCCATGCGTGTCGTCAAAAAAGAAATCCTTGAACTTATCGCTGTATGGATTCAGAGGTCTACTAATCCACAAATGGTAAGTAGCTTACACTTATATCCTCATTCGGATATTTTTTCATTTTCTACCATGTGTGATCACATGCCAAATCGGAAAAAAACATGTACAACTGTCATTGGCACCAAAAGGAGACCTTCAATTGCATGGAAGTAAACATATACAGACCAAACAGAGCATTGCTAGCTCCAAAAATTTAAATGATTGACGGATGTACTATAATGCAAATTAGGTGTTAGTAGACAGTGTTGGGTTTTTAGCCAACAACTGCTTGAATTCAGTTTTAACTGATTATCTCATTATAGAGGGAAAAAGTTCATGCGAGCAAAATTTTTCCTCCAAGATGCGTAAGATGCGGATAGTCTTTATCAGCACTAAGTAATTTTGTGAGAGGAAAGAATTCTTTGTCTAATGACAGTTTTGAAGTGACAAATGCTTGTGTCATCATGAAAAACCTGAAAGAACTCATCAGATGTATTCAGTTCTCTTGGTTACGTTTTACTGTCAAAAGTAAATATCCATTAGTCCTGCCAAAAGATTGCAGTGCTTACATTTTTTTAATAATTCTGCTAAACTGTAGCATAGGTCATGCTTTTTCAATTTTATTTATTTTTATTTTATTTCTTCCATATGTCATGCTCTAGTAAGCTTCAAGTATTTTAAATCTCATGGAAATTTGTCACCATTGTAGGTCGTTTTCAATTTTTCAACAGCAGTAACTAATCATGGTTCTCTGTGGTTGCAGGTTCTAGAAAACTTCATCCCACCCTTGCTAGAAGCCGTGCTAACGGATTATAATCAGACGCAAGTCCCAGCAGCACGAGAGCCTGAAGTGTTGGTGGCCTTAACAAAGATTGTCGACAGGCTTCAGTCAAACATCACCAGCTTAATACCAAGAATATTCGAATCTGTGTTTGAATGCACGCTCGATATGATCAACAAAGACCTTGAGGAATTCCCTGAGCATAGGATAAACTTCTTTTTACTTTTGCAAGTACGTTTGCTTTTTTCCTTAGAAAGTTATTTCTTCCGTGATTCTGCTTCAGAACTTTCTGCAACCTGTGCTTATGATCTTCATCTGTGATCTGGTCAGTGGTGGTAGGCTGGATATCTGACTGTCGAGGTAGTTCATCCTGTGGCATGGCTTTTGATACAGACAATGCTAGATGCTTGCCTGTGGTGCTACCTACACAAGATTGACGTCAACAGAACTAGATATTTTGTTGTTCTTGCTCTCATCTGTTCTGACTCTTGAGATAGACTCCCAAGAGTGATGTCCAGTCGACCGTCAGTGCATCTTAAATAGTCACCAATGTTTACAGTTACGGTTGGTGAAACTACAAACATCTTTACTGCACCCATGCAATCTCACATTACGTAGTTGCCATATTGCAATACGAGACATTATCGCCCGGTCCTTGTGGTTCTAAGTGGGGCATTATCACTGCACAATATTTTAAAAAAATTTGTCATTTTCACGTGTATAAATTGGTTCAGTTTTGTAAGTTTTTCCCCCCTTGTTTTCTGTTGCAGTCTGTTAACAACTTCTGTTTTGATGCTTTCTTGAGCATACCACCTTCACAATTCAAACTGGTCCTAGATTCGGCTATCTGGGCAATCAAGCACACAATGAGAAATGTTGCTGAGATAGGTTCACAGGTATGCTATTTACAGAATTAATCAAATTCTAGTTCCTCTAATGTATGCTTATCATTCCTAATGCGAAATGACAAAAAAAAGGGTTAATTTCAACTGGTCTGCTGAAAGCACGACATCTGAAGCATGCTATTTGTATTCCTTTGAATGTTGAACTAATCATAGTGATTAAATAGAAAGCAGAGTCCAATTTATTTCAAAATCTCAGTCTCAAAGGGATAATACTGTGGAATCACACTGTTTAAGATATTATCATTAGTCCATTTTAGTCGCACCTATTCATCACTATTTGTACTCTAGCCTCACATTTCACTCCAAAATTTCTAACCCTGTGGCAGTGGGCTTCTCTGCTTGATTTTTACCCCACTGAATCATTGATGTAAGTATCCAACTAAGTGATAAGCTTTACACATGAAGCAATGACGCGTCTCATCCATACACTCTGTTGGATTTCGCTGATTGTTTACCTTTATTATTTGTTCTAATTCTGTTCTCACTTTACAAGTTTACTCCTCACATTTTATCTTGTCATTTCCCCTGCTTGGTCTATCTTGTTTTTTGGTTTCCTACTGTAAATACTCTAGCCTCTTCGAATTTTGTTGTTTTCCGGGTAATCCTAAGTAAAAAGTCCAAGCACTTTCAAATTTATTTTTGTTCTAAAACTGGCCATCTTTTTCAGGTTTTGTATCAGATATTTGTAAATGTTCAAGAAAACGAAAATGCAGCTCAGAGTTTTTACGCAACCTACTTCACAGATATTCTGCAACACATATTCTCAGTTTTAACCGATTCATCTCATACAGCAGGTAAGGCATTGAATGAACATGTCTGACAATGAATCTTGATACCTTGATGGGCTAAAAATCGGACAAAAATTGCGTTTTCTATCTTACCTCTCTTCATTTATCTATCATACAGTTTACGTCATGGATCTCTACTTTAATGACTTCCCTTTACATTCTTTGTGTAAAAATTCAGACCTGTGTAGCAAGTTGTCATTCAAATTGTTTATTCATTTCTATTGAAACTTCCATTCAATTAAGTTAACAAGCTTATTCTGAATCATTATTTCGTAAGTTTCCCTCTCTTGTATCCTTCAGCTTCTTATCATTAACAAATCCATGGTGAACTCTACAGTCAGCTAAAATTATTCACTGTCTCCAGCAATTATGATCAGGATGGTTATTTTACCATCTTTCATTATAATTCAGTATGAAACTGAAAATCTCACAATAGAAGGAAACAGCTCATCCAAGCACAATTTTCCCCTATAACAATATACTGTTTGGTGCAGTATCAGGGTTTTTTGCAGTGAGGAAAACTGGGAAATTCAGAGAATATCTGGGTCTCCACAGTTAGGGAAAACTTGTAAACGCTGCGAAATTTTAAAAAGTCAGTGAAAACAGGGAAATGTCAGGAGAACAAATGATTATGTCCACACTAAGTGTTTAAAGGTTGAATCCTTTTTTTTTTGCTTTTTTGAATGTGTTTGATATTTTGAACAGCAAATGTGGCGTATTTGGGTTTGTACAAGGCGATTTTTTACCATCTGGCATTTTTTCAAATGCTAGGGAATTAAATAAAAAATTGTCAGGGAATTTCATTTTTTAATTTTTGTAGCAACTGTAGAATATGCAGCAATCCGGAAAAACCAAGAAATCTCACCTGCAGTACGTCAGTTCAGCAACTTTAGGCGATGCTATATAAGGGTGCGCAAACAGTACCTAAAGTTCAGCAACAGTCAGTGTAATTAAAAGGAAAGAATCTAAGTAGAAATTTTATTACAAGGTTAGAGAAAGTTTTGGAATCGGCATGAAAAATGAAGAAATCATGAAAACCTTGAAGAAGAGGCTTTCTTCTCAGAATTTAAAATGCGTGTCTCTTCAAGCAAAGCAATGAAGCAAAAAAGCAATGATTCCAGAAAATCTGGGAGTAGAAGAATTTTCGAGAATGTAAGGCTAAAATTATGGTAAAGGTAATGATAAAGCTAGGATTGCAGATGATGAGGTCCAAGTAGACACCTCTAATTTTTCATTATTTAACACCCTTTTTTTGCATTGCTTGCAGAGGATCCTTCTTCGTTTGTATTGAATAATCAGTTTTGTGCTCTAACTTGTTTCATTCCAGGTCTAATGATGCACGCTACCATTCTAGCCCACATGTTCCGGCTTGTTGAAGCGAACCGAGTGAAAGTCCCCCTATGCCCTGTGAATCCAAACATGGATAACTTAATGTACATCCAGGAGTTTGTCGCATCTCTCCTCAAGTCAGCATTTCCTCATTTAAGTGATAATCAAATCAAGATCACCGTTCAGGGTATGCTCAACTTGGACCATGATCTCACTGCATTTAAGGAGCATCTTCGCGATTTCCTTGTTCAAATTAGGGTAAGTCCAAGCTTCCAAAGTATGTCTTACTGAGATTATGTTCGGTTTTTTTTTTATTTTTTTCATAAAGGAAATTTTTTTGGACACTTCACAAGTGTAAGGTTACCGTTGGTCTGGCAAACCGGAAATTCAGAGAAAGTCTTGGAATTTAATGAGTTAGTGTTTAGCAGAAATGAGTAATTTAAAGGAAAAAAATCAAAGTGAAAGTTTTATTCAAATGTCAGGGAAAGTGAGGGAAAACGAAAATTTTGGAGTCAGGGAATTTGAAGCTGAAGAAATTATGGCAACTCTGTAAGTCTAAATGTTGGTAACATTACTAATCCAGGCCAATGTTGCACCATATCTACTATTTTTCTCATCCTTAGTGAGGCCGTTGCATTTTTTCACAATTCTAAGTTGATAAATGCAACTGGTTGAAGATTTTTTTAAAAAAATTTGTCCATTATCACAACATTATCAGATATCCCTGATGAGTACTAATTTTTAAGATGATGTGCATGTTTCTTGCATTTTTAAAGCAGAGAAGGTGTTACACTATAATTGGACCGCGTTAAACAGAAAGGAACCAGGTGATAGGTCAAAATGTCCAAAAAAAAATATCCAAAAGTCAAAATGTCCAAACCCTGGATGCTCAAAAATCTAAAAAGGCCAAATATCAGTAATGTCCAGCAGACAAATAAGTCCAAAAGTAGGCAAACGTCCAAATGTGAGATTAGGCATTGGTTGAGTTGTCATTGGAGTTTTGGGTGCAGCTTTGCAAGCTGTTCGTGAATGCAGCCATAGAAACAGATGCGTCGGATAATGGAGAGATGCAGGTGAGGAAAAAATGGTGATACATACAATTTTTCATGAGCGCAGGCCAATTCTTACTTTTAAAAATGCATTAATGATTTATTTTCCAAATTTTGAGTGGAATTGACAAACATAACAAACATGGCTAATATTACCCCGTTTGGCATGAAAAGCAAAAAATAAAAAATAATAATAAAAAAAAAAGTTATTCTTGTCTATAACAACAAATAGTTAGTACCTATATAATTACTCTTTCCATATTTGGACATTCGCCTACTTTTGGACTTATTTGTCTGCTGGACATTACCGATATTTGGCCTTTTTAAATTTTTGGGCATTCAGGGTTTGGACATTTTTTTTGGGACATTTTGACCTATTACCAGGAACCAAGCCACATCAGCTATTGCCAAATTTAAAAGGGGAATTTGATTTTTTACGAGAGAACGTTTGTGCGGATTCCTTTGAAAATTTTATGGAATTTGCTTTGTATTATAGAAAAAATTCATAGAAATTTGCACAAAAATCCGCACAACCATTTTCATGTAAAAAATTAAATTGCCAAATTAAATTTGGCAATAGCTGATGTGGCTTGGTTCCTTTCTGTTTAACACGGTCCAATTTTAACAGCGTTGCTTCCGAATACTAGCCATATTTTTTTCATAGGTCTTCAATTGAAATGCCAGCTGCAGGTTTATGGTTGAACTTACAGTAAAACATTCGTTGAGAAAGCATCCAGAAGGGACCAAGAGAGAGTCAGCATTGTGAAGACGGCTCTTTATTAAATCCTAACCTCTTTTGAACTGTCATATTATTGGGATGTTATCAGAAAAGTCGAAAAAGCACAAGAAATGGGTAAAGAGGAAAATGGACAAATGTCAAATCGGAAAATGACACTATTTAAATGAAAATATGCCAACTTATGATTGTTACTCCTCAGATTGATGTAACATTCGTCCATTCCTTTCTTCTCCCAGTTCTAAGAAAAATTGTGCATTGATGAACATAGTCAACTGCAATGACTCATATTGAACTCCTAATTTTACAGGTATCATTATTCGTTTGTTTTTTATGTAAGCGGGAAATTCAAAATCCTTGTTACCAATGCAGAATACAATTTACAAATGTTAATTTCTTGGATCATAGTCGATTGCAGACATTTTTGTTGCGCAAACTGATTTATTGAGAAACTTCAAAGCCGAAACATGTATATCAGAATGTTTAAATTTGCAACTTGTCTAGAGGTCCATTCTACCCTTTCCCTCAATTCATAATTTTTTTCACTTGTGATCGTAGGAATATTCTGGAGAAGATGACTCGGATCTATTTTTGGATGAAAGAGAAGCAGAATTAAAGAAAGCTGAAGCAGCCAAACGACAAGAACAAAGTTTAGTACCTGGTATTCTGGGTCCTCATGAGCTCGCAGAGGAAATGCAAGATTGAAGGTAGTATTTTTGTATCCAGTTTATCCTAAGAAATTCTTTCTTTGTCAACAATAGCTCTGTAGCCGCTAGAGCTACCACACCCTAAATCTGAGAGTTCATGACTATTTTCCGAGTAACCAGTCCAAATTCTTATTTATCATACTTAGATATGTGGTCGCCCCCCGTCAAGGAAAAGAAGTCCATGGAAGAAATTCATTTCGAGTATTGCTATATCAAATTAGGTACAAACAATGATGTTAGTGCTACTCTCTCCAGTGTTGCCACAATAAGGGAATACCGGAAACTGTCAGGAACTTTTAAAAAAACAGGGGAAACCTGGAAATATCAGGGAAAAATTGTTAAGTCACCCTTATTTGCTTTCTAAATTGGGTTTGATGTTTCGAACACAAAATTTTGCCTAAAAACTATTTCAAATTATGTCTTCTTAACTATCTGGCATATCTTCAGTTGTCAGAAAATTTCACTAAATTGTGTCAGGGAACTTTGTTTTCTACATTCTGTGGCAACCCTGTAATCGCTATATCAAATTAAGTAAAAATAATGACATTGATGCTTCTCTCTCATGACACCAATCTAGCATCAATCGATTCTTCTTATATCTATTTTTTAACTTACTTGCGTATTTATCTACCAATAAATTTAAGGAAATTTTAATGAAAACTTGTACCAAGAAGACGAATTGAGCAACAGAGAAAAACATCAGGATTTAGAAAGTAGCAAATGATGAAGAAAGTGATGAATCATAAAGAGACCTCACAAAGAAATATGCGCATCCTAATCTACCCCTTTTTTCTGCGCTTAACTGAGAAGATGGCGAGCTCTTTACTAAAGAGAGTAATTTTATGTTGCAGTATTGTTGATGCTTGCCAGTTGGTTCCCTGTTCCGAGACATATCGAAAACGTACTGACAACGTATCACAAACAATGTGAGTGCAAGATGAGCCGGCGACAAGTTCCGAACGGTCACAGTCCTCTTTCATCTATCATTGATCCGATTTATGTGATATTAATTGTGTATCTTTTTCTTTTTATATGTAATTGTTGTGTATACTGTTTCCAACAAGCTCATGTTTCATGTTGATGGTTTCATGTTTCTCACTCAGTTCCCTCCGGTAGCCCTGATGTGCTTCAAAGGACAGTGCTGTTTATAAAATAGCCTCTCTGTAAATACAGTTCCTCCTGCAGCGTTGTACAGTGGTAGTAGAGCACCATCAGATGCCTTGCTTTTGTTTAGAATAATCATTCGTTTTGGGCCATCTGGAAGCACACCAAAGGCATAATTCTGATACCACGAATCTTAATTTTTGGCTTTGAAAATTTCCTCTCTCTCCCTATTTTTTAATTGAAATACTAATCAACATCATTTCTCATTTGTTTCCACAATTTGTATTCTTTTCTTAAAGAAATCAGTGAAAATTTCAAGGAATAAGGTTTGCTTGCCATCCTGTAAGAGCGAAAGTTTTAAAAAGCTGAAATTATTGAGGTGCAAGTTTTTGGTAATTATCCTTCAATGCCTTCGTTGTTGATTTGTTAAGCGATTTCATTTAGTTGTTTCCCAACCTTTACATCAAGGCACGAAGATCTTTTTTGCATGACTTCCAGTGTCAGTTTTGCTAAAGGTGCTCTCAACTTTTTAGCAGATCATCTAAAATTTTAATCAATATGTTCTTAATCCAGATATCAATGTTGATCGAGCCCATTTTGATAAAATTCTTGATATTTCTCTTTTGAGGCAAAACTAAAATCCAAGGGAAATGGGATGAAGACATGCCTGAAAGTTACAATCCTGACTGTTTTTATCGCCCAAATATCAATTTTAAAATGAAAATTAGAAAAATACAATATTAACAATGTGAGATGTCTTTTGAGCGGTGGAAAGTTATTTGACTGATCAGCAATGAAAATAAGCTCCTCTTTAACGTCTGGTTTCATGATAATCGCAAGGAATTCTACCATCACAACTATCTCATGAGATTGCACTCTGGTGACCTCTTTCTTTCCACTGATGACACTGCCGCCCTCTAGTTGTTCTTGTTCTTTTATGAAGATAACTGAAAATCTGTAGTCAATTATTGTAGAATTAACCCCTGTGCCCTCTCTTTTTGTTTTCGTTTCTGTCGCTCATTCAACTAACTTTACTGTATATATTTATATGTATTATAAATTGCCCGGAGAGGGGTTTCTCTGCAAACAACCTTAACTCTTTTCTTTTCTCAGACAAAAAGTGCTGCGAGTTATTCAATCTTCAATCCTATTAATCATTTCCTGATGAAAGTTTCATCTACAAATTACCCTCATCGCCTCTTCACTTCGTTTGTCCGTTTTCCTCTATCATCATGGGCACATTTTTAAGCAGTTTTTAATTTCGTGAAGAAGGCTTTCACTCATTCTGGGCACATTAACTGCCTAGACCTGGGCACATTTTTTTATCATTCCTGCGTCACAAAGTCCTCAATTTGTATAGATGCTATCACGTAAGTGTTAGACGAGTTACATTGACAGAGACCTTGAAATAACCTTCACTTTTGACGTAATCCGGAGATAGGAAGTAAATTCCTGCTTTGGACGAAATGTTCTAAGAAAATCAAGCAGTGAATTAATAATGTGCACATGCCAAAGCAGTCAACCTTCTATAATTAAAATCCATCTCTCCTTCTCGGTAACCTTTCCTATTCTACCATCTGCAAATTACAACTCTCAAATCGCAGGCCTCCCACCACTTTTATACCATTGAAACATGTCTGTCTACACTGTCATCCAGTCCAGATTTCGATTCTGTGAATCGTTTGAATTGAATCAATTCTTGAGATTATCATTGTATGATAGCCCTAATGCGTGGTTTCTCCAAAATTACTTAAACTTTACGGGCTGTGAGAGTTTCCAATTTTTTTCAATCTAAGCTCTCTCTCCCTCTCGCTGTGAATGTGAATATAGGTGAATCCAGATCAGGGAACAAGCTCTAATCTAACTTCTTCGAGTTCAATTTTGTATTTGTTACATCAATAAGCTTTCACCCAGTGGTGCATTCTTTTCTTTTTTCCAAAAGAAATTTCATGTTAATTTCATGTAATTCACACTGAATTAATGAAGGTTAAAATCTGAATGTCCATGAAAAACTCACCTCATTGCTCTCTATAATCCATTCTGTAATGAACGGCCTCTGTTCGGCTGTCAATGAATGCGTGCTAGACTGAGCCACCGATTCTCTGCTGAAAACCATTGAAATATTGCTGATCACTTTTTATCACTTCCATTTTTAGTGTTTTTATTCTCCTTGAGTACGTCCCTTCGCAATTTGTGTCCATCTCTTTTTCTTCGAGTTAAAGAGTGAAACCCTAAGATTCAATGCCATTTTTATACAGGGTGAATTTCGTTTTAAGAAATTGACGCAATAAGTTCTTTGCTTTGTTTCAAGAGGGAAGGCTTGCGCAATTTATCGAAGCTTTCCTTCAGCTGTTTTCAATATTTCTTCCAAGCATAAAAAGCTCTAATCTGTTGATTTTAAGGAATTTTGAAGAACTTGACAATATTCGGAATATCACCCTACATCCCTGTCTTATGGCATGCAAATCCGTGCAAAGATTTATTTTAAATTCAAATTATTTCTGCGTAATTTCTTTTAATTGGAAACAAGCATGTTTCGTTTTTGACCTGTTCTTTGTTACCGCTAAAATTCAGGAACTCCAACAAATCCTGATGTAATTTCTAGAGTGTTGAATTTCTCAGTGCAGAGCTGTAAAGTCGAGGAACATTATTATTTTCTTAGCCGGGGGAAACCATGAAGTTCGATTTCAGTTGTTAAAGAATTCTCTGCTCATTTTAAAAGTGTAGCTGTAAATAATTTTACATGTTAAGTGTATGTATGATGGGTTTACGAGGTCTCTCGGTGTATTGTGTGAAGGAAGAAGTTTAGAAAGTTTGCGAGTTGTTGTTTCCAAGGTTGAAAGAATATTGAGAACCATTCTGGAGTGAAAAGAGATCCCAAGTGCCCAATGTCTTTTATTTTTGTACAGTGTGTTTCAAATCCGAAAAAAAAAACATGTATTTTTGTATGTTAATATTGTAGCGTAGTCCCCACAAACTGTACTCCATCAACTACTTGATATTCAAAATGAGGGGTTACGTATATTGGCACTGGAAATTGTAGAAATATTATAAAGATGTTTTCTGTGTCGTTAGCATTTTGAGGCATGCATTATTGTTTTATATAAACTTACTTATTTTTCTAAACTTTCTTAACTTTCTACAAGTAGGAAAATGTTAAGTACTTTCTGGTTGGTTTTTCTTTCTTTTTTTTAGAGGGGGGAGGGGGGGTTCTCTTTTTTTTGGACTTTTAAAAATAATCTTTAAGTTAATTTGAACAAATACACAGTTGTTTTGTAACATCTTATCCCAGCTTCATTTTTGGCTCAGTTTTTGTCATGCATTCATTTTTGTAAATTATTTCTAGTGAAATAAAATATTTTTTAATTTTTTTTCTTTTTGTTTATTGATGTTGCTTTTCGTTTGGGCCCTCCTTTTGAGGTATTCACAATCAAATGCATTTATGAAATACTGCATAATACAAATCTATCTATATTAGGAAGTTCGAGAAAAAATACGTCCATCCACAAGGTTGTTTTCACTCTAGGAGCTGAGTTCTGAGGCTAGTTTAAATCAGAAGTAAATATTTCAGCGCTGCCTTGAATGGGAGACTAAACAGGAAAAGAGACATTACTTTGTACGGAGAAGATAGAGGTCTTTTTCAAATTTTCATGCAATGCAATTTTCTGGGTTTTTTTCTAATTTATTGTAAATTCCTATACTAATTCACTATACTATTATTTTTTTTACAAAATTTTTATTGATTTATTGGTAGACTTCCCTTGATCAAAAGCATTTAACCTCTCTCTTTAGATAAATTCATTAGACCCGTGGTTTCCCAATATTCTGGGTTATATCCATCCAATCAGCTTGCGTCACATCAGTTCAAGATCATAAGACAAAGTAGAAATACATCGTTATCAATAAAACATTTACCCAGTTAAACTTTAATTCATGGCTCATATGTAGGCTGACAAACTTTAAACAAAACCTCCATTTTGGAATAATGTTTTTCCATGTCTCTAACAACTAAGTTCTTCACACTCTGTCTCTTAAGCATTAGCTCCTAATTTCTCTGAGATGGAGACTTGCTGAGCCTTTACCTTCGTCAGTATTTCCAGATAAAACAGCATAAATGAGAAGTGTGAAAATGTTTCTTTCCCTCTCCCGTAAAATACTGAATAAATCGTGTTCGCCTAAGTAAATTTCATCAATGACTCTGATAGAAATTTGCTTTTGCGCAAACTTGTGCCAAAACAAAGAATTTTTCAGGATCTGAAACTTGCAGCGAAAACCCATCTTCTTTTCTCAGAGATGAAATTGAAAGCAAAAATGAGTCCAAAACAAACGTAATGACAGAAAGATCTTCCAATTAATAATAAACCTTGGCTTACAATTAGATAGGGATACTTATCTAAGCCGAGCTTCATTATTAATGGAAGAGCTTTTTATATTTACCAAAAAAAGGTATATTCACCATTTTTTAGTAAATATCAGCTGTTAAGAGAACTAAAATGTCTGAAAAGTTATTTTCTCCAATTATATTGAATAGTAGGATTCTAACAGCACTTCAATTTAGCATTTAAAAAAACCAACGACAGTTCACAATCAATTTTTCGATCCCATCATAACCTTCAAGTGGATATCTTCAGAAACGAATTCTTTCTCTCACTGGGTTTCTAACAATAAACCTAAATTACATTGCGCATCAAACTATTACATTGAAGATTTGTCAAAGTTCTTGTTTCTCAATCTTGCTAACCGCCTCCTATGATTCTGAGCGTGATATTTCGATTTGATGAATAAAATGGTTTTTTCATTGTAGATTCTTCATCAGATTTGTTTAAAATTGTGTTTCTCTGTATGAAGATGCAAGATATTAGACACAAATGACGTGCTCATTCGAAATTGGTCAAAAGTTAATATCCCTCTGATTGGATCTCACTTAAGTACCTTTCAATATCGAATCCAATGCGATTTAGAGGGTAGATCACCTACATCTAGGAAAGAGGCTTTTGATGAAACAAAAGAAAACGAATCTTGATTGACATACTGCAACCTGATTGTTTGCATAAGCTTTTTCATAATTACTTGTCACAACATCTCCTCATTTGCACTTCTTCATTCTACTTCTTGCTTATTTGTTTTCATTCTTTGTTACTGCAACAGTGAATACTTCTCTCAGGTGTGTTCTGATTGATAGTTAAATTTTTATTTTTAATCCTAAACTGAAATCAACATTTTCTCTCATATTACATTAGAATAGTACACACTATCATCATTATCATTTGGTTAATCTTCAGTCGTAGGTTTAATTTAAAATAATTTCCTGAAAAGAATAAAGCCTTGTATGCTGATTATTTCCTCCACCTCCACTACTTATGCATGAGTGTGTTGCGTATTACTGTGTGAGTGAGTATTATAGAATCAAAGTTTGTAATCATGTTTGTTGTGTACTGATTTTTATACATAAAAATATGTCTTCAAATTAGTTTCTTGAGGATTACTCTAGTAGACGCGTATATGAATTTTTGAAAAAGGAAAATTATTTTGTACATAATTGTTTAATTTTTTAATAATCTTGATTATGAAAAAAAAAGAAAAAAAAAAAGTTTCTGTGTGTATCATTTTTTAATACAAGTTCGGAAAATTTTGATCTCAATTTCCTGTAAAGACAGCCATATAAAAGGTGAAATAGGGGTCCAATAATTTTACACGAAGTAAATTATGGTCACACTTCTATCAAAATCTAAGAGGCATACAACAAGTCCTGTGAAGTGTTGTCTTCACTCCTCGAAGTCTCTCTAGTGGCAAAGAATAATAATAATAATAAAAAAAAAACTGTTGTGAAGATTTACATAGAACTAATGTTTATTTTTGAAGTCTGTACACAGGGCTACATGTTAAAATTAAAACCTAACAACATCTTTAAGGAAACAATTCAGGATCTACAGTTAAAAGTATTTACACAGCTGGAAAACAGAAATAAACAAGAACAGGGAAAAAACTTTGTTTCATTATTCAGTCCTTGGTTTTTTCCTACCGAAAGGATCTTCCCAGACTTTCATACCTAAGGGAAAATAAGAAAGATTCAAATTAACGAAACAAGAAAAATATACTCTAGTCTTAGTGATCCCAAGTGCGCGGCTTTATCTGTACTGTGCAAAGCTTCCCTTCAACTGTGTGGACCGCATATGGAACAAAAGTATATCAATAGCCAAAGTGCGAAGCCGAGTATCTCCATTTGTACTGTTGCAGACTTCCTGTCATACTTCAGTTTCTGATTGGAAAACTAATCAACTTAACTTCTTGAAAACTTTTTTGATTTTTCAATATTATTAACAGAATATTCTGTAGCAATTTCAAACAATAAAGTTGACTTGTTTCTCTTCGAAAAAATAAAACAGGAGGAGAGATCTTGTAACACCGCCATGGGGATTCATGGGTTCTGTACTTTGGTCATTGATATGGGGAAATGCTTCCCTCTCAGCACAGAGAGCGGAACAGCATGCAAACTTCGTATGCCGCGCACCCAGGAACTCTGTCTAGTCTTCAAGTGCAATACTCAAGAGGAAAATCAAGGAAAATTTTTTAAGGAATGATAAATTCATCAAGAAAAGCAATGTCAAGTTATCTCCTGACATTTTTGGAAGCCATGGGCATTTCTACATTATGTAAGACAGCCATTGGATGGAACTAGCTTGTCTCCCTCACAAAGGAGTGTACCTTGTCTGCAGTGTTTCAGTAATCACAGGTACATATTATTCTTTCACAGAGGAACCGTCACACAAATTGGTTTAAAAATTTCAGTCTATTCCAACATGGATAAAGAAAACCAAAGATTTCAGGAAAATTTGTGTGACCATTTTCTTGGAGACGAATAAACTGTCAGTAAGAAATACTAAAACAGCGCAATCAAGATACAGTTCTCTATGCGAGAGGCAACGAACTAGAATCAGCCTCACTGTATTTTCCATTGTCTAATTTTCTCTTGTGTTTAATTTTCTTCAACAGAAGCTTGCGGTGAATTTATTCTAGGTTATAAAGAATAAACTCACAAAATTTCAAGTTCCAGTGCTGCTTGGTTTTCTGTTGAAGAATAAAACATTACACAAAATCAGGCAACGTTTGATGTAGTTAGGCTGATGAAGAGACAAACTTTACGTTCTTCCCAATTGATAATATCTGTAATTCACCAGACAACACTCCATTTTTGTACAGACCTCAGAAGACCTGCACCGGCTACTGATTTTCAGCGTATTCTCATTTTTACACTCCTCTTTGGTCACTCTGTTGGTAGCCTTTATCCTCCTTTAGATGTGAGAAAATCAATTACTAGTAGAGGCTTTATACTTCAGGAAAGGACTATAAATTAAAGCCCTTTGTGAAGGACCAAAATTGACTACAACATTTCCAAAGCACACATCTCAGTTTGCAGTGCAGCGACTTCTTGCCTTAGTTCACTTATTTTACTCTTCTTCTTTTTTCCTATCCTTATACTTTGTTTATTTCAATGGATGATTGTTCAACGTTGTTCCTTGAAAACTTGTGTGATATTTCTTCATTGTGTGACAAATGTCAAGGTATGACAGTGATTCTTACTCCATTAAAAGACGAGCAAAAGAGGAGATTTTGAAACACTGCAATTGAGGTACATGGTTTGGGAATTTTCCGCTCTAGTATTCCAAAGGAATAATAGGATTTCCTTGGTAACGTCAAATCCAGAAAATACTTTTGTACAGTTTTGCTCTTTCAGCTTACCTCCAGGTTGTATTTTTTCAATATCCAATCCTGCTCGGCCTTTCTTTTGAATCTCTTCTGCAAATGAAGAAAAGAAATATTAGAGAACAACAAATTTGCAAAGATGAGAGTGACAAGAGAAATTTAAGGTGGTTCAAATTACTTCCCTATCAATTACTAAAGATCACTGAAGTTACTTTAATGCTGTGAGGGAGCCAATCATAAGAAGGATCTACCGGACTAACCAAGGAGCAAGCATTCTAAGATTTTTATACAAGATGATCAGAGCTGATTGATACCAACTCTTGCTCTGGCTATTGGGTCAAATTTATATTATTGACCGAGTCAGGCAACATAGGACTAGATTTGAAAGGACAAATTTCTCAGTAAGTATAGCAAAAAATCTAACTGAAAAAATCAAAATGAAAACTGAAAAATCCAAATGAAGACACGAATATAGATTATGAGTTTTCTATGCCGCATGCTGGTCAGTAATCTCAAGAACACTGGGTCAAAATTTTGAATCATAGTTTGGGTTGTAATAATGTTTGAAAAGTTTACAATTATTAGTTTTTAATGGCAAAATTGAACTGCCTTTTTTTCAAATTCATAGTTCATTGTTGTATAACTTTCAACTGTTAAATAGATAAATTTTCAGAATTTTTGGGGGTTATTTGTGCGAGATAATACAGAGGTCACCTCTCAAAGCTGTTGTATTATAATTTTTTTTTTTTCCCTTTACCCTCGGTCCCATTTTGTCTTACAATTGTTTTGGATCAACTGGGCGTTGAAGTAAGTAAATGATTGATCAATCAAGATCTGATCTTCATTGTGTTTAGAAAAGCTGCATTTTTTCAGATATACTCTTGAGATGTGCTATCATGTTTGACAAGGAAAAGAAGGTAAAGCAGGGCACATTGCCAGTTAAATTGAGACCAATCTTACAACAATGCAGTCTTGCGCACATAAGAGTATTTCCATCAGCATTTTTCCATAATTCCTCATCTATTTGCAATATACTCTTTGTTCAGAGAACAAGGCCACTACTGATATGCTTGATCATTTGATGAAAAATGGTGATTCAGTGAAGAAAGGATAAAAATATGTTTCACAAACATACGTACGATACTTCTCGGGCCAAAACATTGGAGAGATGGCGATCGGCCACATACAGAGTGTGATCACAGCTGCAAAACCTGCCACAAATCCCCACTTCTTGAGCACTCTTTTTCTTTCAATGGCCTTCGGATTGTAATATCCCCTTACTCGTTCATCCATCACTAGCCTAGGAACAGAAATCAAAGATTATTCCAATTACTTAAGTAAGCACTGCTAAGTTCACAGGTGAATCTGCCCTGAAAATGGACAAGCATAGAGATATCAAACAGATTTGACTAAAGTACTGCTTTCACTTTTAGCTTTTACCCAAAAATGGCACAATTCCACCTAGACGGACACATGAGGGGCTTGGAGGACAAGGTGCATGAGTGCAGTTTTTGCTATTCCGAGAGATACGTGTTTGAAGTTTCGAAATTACATGGACCCTTCAGAGAGAAGATTCTAACTGACTTTTTGATGCTTAAAAATTTGAATTTGGAAGCAAATTTTTCACAGAATATGCATTAAAACTAGTTCTACTTGAAATAATTAATACCTCACTTTTTTAAAAAACTGCACTTATGTACAAGCCTTGTCCTCCAAGCCCCTTATATTAGCTGACTATACCTAAGAGTCTCTTTTGGAAACCCTAAAATGAAGCTGAAAGTGCCTGAACACAAAAACTCAACCTCCTACCTAATAGAGCATATTGATGGTAAAACCGCAGAAATGCATATCTTGTTTTGCAGCGTTGCAAACCTCCTGTCATACTTTATTATCTACTTGGAAAACTACAAAACGTCATTTTTTGAAAATTTCGGTGATTTTTCTTCTTTTAATAAGGAATATTTTGTGTTTAGTTTGGTCTCCTTCTAGTGGCGATCAGGGACATCCACTTGGGTGTTAAGGAGTGAAAAGGACAGTCTGATCTCTACCTCATAAACTCCAGCCTGAGACTCTACGAAAACTCGAGAGTGGATTTCCTTGATTGCCACACTTTTAAAAAATAAAATAGGAGCAGAGATTTCAAAACACCGCGAGGGGTATACACATTTTAGCAGTTTCACCATCAAAATGCAATACTTCGCCATATTCAGCATACTTACAAAAAATTTTGTTTTAATTTTCAGTTCCCCAAGGAAATTTTTGGGGGATGGTTGGCTGCTATATGCTTAAGGCCTTGTCTCCACAGGACGTTTCATGGGATTTGTCCCATGGAAAAATCTCACGACTTGCGAAGTTGGGAAAAATATTGAGCTAGTCAATACTAATCATAGTACCAACTAAGAGTCCTTGTGGAGTCCCAGGAACGATTTAAAGAGAGGAAGAAGAAAAAACTTTGTCGTGTTGTTTAATAGGATAAAAACCCAGAAGTTTCATTCCTGCGACTTGAACCTTGGTAAAAATCCCGTGAAACATATCGTGGAGACAATGCGTTAAGGTGTAATCATTCCTCTTAGGAGAAAATTTAAAAGTGAAACCAGCATTTAGGTATCTTGGCAGACTGGAAACTGGTGGAAATACTTGAATGCTGATGTGCAGTGTTAAGACAATCGGACGACATTACAAGCAGGGCAACGGTGATTGAGTACAATTTTTGCACGTACTACTTTCCGATATACGCTTTGTCATCTCTGATTAGATGAACAGTTAAATCGCCAAAATTGGACTTCGTTTAACATGGACTCAAGTTGTGCTTTACTTAACCTAAAAATCTGCTTACAGTCAAAATCAAACAAAATTTCAGGGTCAAGAGGAAGAGTAGAGGAAAATATGTTTAAAGAGACAAAAAGATATGAGAAAATCAGGGTTGTTTAGGGGCTGAAGCTTGTTGCTAGCTGACTCTTCTTTTCTGGTTGTCAAGACTAACTAAATTTTACGATGTAATATGGTACTCATTGACGGCTTGTTGCATCAAAAGGTGAGTATAATGAAAGCAGATTTTGCAGTTCATAATGAGCAAACTGAGTAAATAACTTGTAAATTATATTCCTCTAGCATCTTAAAGCACTTGTTATGGGCTGGGATGGATTCTAATTATTTTTCAGGAGTGCTCATGTGCTGAAATGCTAAGACAAGTTTGCTCTGTACAAAGCACATCAGAAAAATACTTACAAGCTAGGGGTTCCTGCTACTTGTATTTGCGATAACGGAGTAATTATTGAAATAAGAATTGAATCAATGCTTGAAAAATTTTGAAATTAAATGAAAATTCGGGTGGAATGAATACACATGTTGTATTATCACTTGTTCTGTTATCACAAAAAGTGTAAACAACAGGGACGCGGGATTATGTTGCCAAATGTCAGTCAAAAATTGGTAATTACGTTGTTATTTTTAGTTTTTGCTTATGGAGTCTGGCAACACTGGCTGCTGCTGCCGACAAGTTGGAACTTGCAAGACGAAAACAATTCCTACTTAGAATTCCTGGCCATTGGAGAATACGTGTGAGAGTGTGTGAGTAATATCTCCCAAGAACAAAGGGAAGCCGCCGGGCTACGTTTGGCGGGTTGCATACGTTTCCCGGTTATCTCCCATACATTTAGTACAGTGACATGCATTTAATACTTTTTTCCTTAATTTAAAATGTGATTCTGCCGAACAAATTTGTTTCTTTCGATAAAACTTGCCAAAATATTCAACTGAAAATTCCACGCCTAGAATAAATTCACTTTCTCATGTAAAAAAATCAACTTTTATAAGTCCTCCGCTATACGATCCCGTGTGTTTTCGGGAGTTACGAACATTTAACCTCAAACCCATGGCCAGGTATTGGGAGATGGTATTGACGAAAAGCGAAAGCAAGCAACAAGCAAAACCGAAATGAATTGAATGGAGATGAAAATTTCATCAGAATTTCGTCAGTTTCGTCGGCAATAGTTTCAGTGTTTTTGTGGATTTAATTCGTACATTCGAGGTATTGTTCAATAAATTCCATTATCACTCGCTTTTGTTATCATGTTCGCAATTTAGATTTATTATCCAATGCAGTGGCTCATACCTGAACAAAGCTCTCAATTTCCAAACTCATCTACAAATCGGAATTTTGTCTCTCTGGAGTCTCAGGTGAGGAAGTTTAGCATGTAACTGTAATCGAAGTTTTCTGCTCAGCTGACGTTCATGGATCTTCAAACTTGGCTTGCAGTTATTCTCAGTCAATAAGCAGCAGGAGGTTTGTCTCTCAATGCTGAATTACCTTTAACCCTTCTTGGACCACACATCCACGCATAAGCTTTGTTCCGTAACTAATGGGAGCAATTGCATGACCAAGTTTGTCTCTGTACTAATGGTACTTTGGAATCCATTCAATCAGATTTGGCTTATTCACCTCAGAATGATCCAATGCCCAATCGTTGCCTACAAGAATGGAGAGGCCGTAACTATGATTCTGTGACGTCATACGAGTAGATGAAATTCGGCCGCGGTTTAACACGCGTTCTTATGGGAGAACGCTTGCTGCGTGATGATTTCTCGCTGATATCTTTCTCAGGGTTGATCTGACGCAAAATTTCACAAGAACCTTTTCGAAAGAAGATGAGATTTCACTTCAGAAAACTAACTAACCCATTTGTGACATTGTCTTAAAATCGAGGAAATGAATGCGCAATACCGAAATTCGTTACTCCACTCAGATTCAAATGGGCCGCTCGCGCAACTTCGGCGGATCTCGCGCAATTTCAGTCGATCGAGGGCCACTCTGATTGGTCCACGCAGCGACTGCCTCACTCATCGATGCACTGATGACCCGGAGATGCTTGTTGTTTTTGGTAAATATCTACTAGCTTGACATCACAAAACTGACTAGTTACGGCCTCTCCATTCTCGTAGGGAACGGCTCAATGTGCGATACTAAGGGTATGAGGGAAAATGACCCTGTCGAGTAAGAGAGCATCAGAATGGACAAATTCAATACTTACATGAGTCCACGTTCTGTCGAACTCAAGGAAATAATGATATCTCAGCAGAATTTTGTTTTTCTTGGAGTCTCTTAGAGGTGTTGTCAGGTAAGTTGGCCATTGTTTACTTCCGGTTTGCAGGCGATCTAGCATCACTACTATCCACATTAAAACATAACTCTGGCTGAAGCGAGAACACAAGTTTGGATAGGTTTTTTAACACCTCCAAACCTCGAAACACTTCAATTCTTAGCTAAATTGAAAGCACAACCACATCAAAGTTGCCGATCATAATTGATGCATAGTTTTTTTATGATACCATCATGAGACGGATGTTTTAAGGTGGGTAGTAACGAATGCTGCTTTGTGCAGGGGTAAATTTGTTGTTAGCGCTTGCAAACGAAAAGTAAACAATGGCCAACTTGTCTGACGACACCTCTAAGAGATATGAATCTTGGTAATTAGCAGTGGAATGTAAATGCAAACCATCAACACCTCAAATGAGTGGCTTATGTGCTCCTATAGGTTCCCTACATTTAGCCGATTTGCCAGAGGCAAAAATTCTAGTGGAACTGGTATTAGTTCTTCTGTCGGGGAGTTATTAAAGCACAATCTGCAATTGCCGCTTGTCAAAACTGAGTCTTCAGTTTTGAAGAATTCACCAGTGAAAAATGTTTTCTCTTTTTTTTTTGATCATCAAATTGTGAAGTAAGGTTGAATCAAAAATTCTGTATAAGGCACCTAGAGCCATTTGAACATTTCGGACATTTTTGAAGCTGAAGTGCAGAAACGTTTGTCGTTTTGGAGCACTCTGCGCCCCTGATGTGTGGAAATGACCAAGTAACATGTACTGTCTTTTTCTTTCCTCAGGTATCATGACAATGGAAGGAGCAGCCTCAGGGTTTACTCCTCGGGAGTACCAAACATTGATCATGGAAAAGGCCATGAAGGAAAACATCATTATTTACTTGCCTACAGGAGCAGGCAAAACTTATATTGCCTCTTTGCTAATAAAAAGAATGTGCGGGGCAATCAAGAAGTAAGTAACTGAGCTTTATTCCCTCTTCAAAAATTAAATCCTGCAACATGAAAAGAGGCGGCTGAGAGGCGAAGTCAGGTGAGCAACTTGATCCATTGTTTAAGAGTTGAAACACAGTTGTATTGGCACATTTGGGGGACCGAAGCTTACTTAAGCCAAACAATCCTCAGACAATTAACAGAGCCTCTCACCTGACTCTGCCTCTCAGCCACCACATTTTGTGTCACAGACTATAATCACAAAATAGCAAATCATTGGAGATGCACTCATTGGAAGGAGAAATTCCTTTGTCAGTTGGAACATAGTTTGCATGACAAACGGATCCAACGCACATGACCAAATTTTATTACCTATTAGTTCCCTAAGGTCAGTTTTATCTCATTCGCCTCACATGACGAGTTTACCTGTTAACGCGTGCCTAGAATATATTTCAGCTGACAAGTTAACTCGCTCCATCCATCGGCGTTGCGGCGCGTGAGATAACATGTATTGGAAAAGGGGAAAAAACACGACCAAAACAATCGCGTAGCCACGCTAACAGATGGCACGACTTGACTCGTCAACTGAGATATGTCCCAGGCGCGTGCTGACAAGTATACTCTTCTAATAAGGCGAATCAGTTAAAGGACCTATTTTGAAACTGGCATTTTTCGCCCTCCGAGGGAATTGTACAATATTTTAAGGGCTCCTAGAGAATTATCGCATAGATAAAAAAGGAGGTGTTTGCATTTTGGGCATCTTGGATTTTAATGATCAAATAGGTCTGTACGGACAGCTTTTATCATCAATCTTCTTGGAAATGGTATTGTTTACGTGTTTCAAATTATATTTTGAGTTGATGTAAGCAAAAAGAATGAACGTTATGGTCCGTTTCTCGTACTTTCAATTTCGGATTTTACTGGAATATCGATGCCATATTGAACGGACCTATGTCACAGCGTAAACAATTCTCAAGATGCCAACACCTTCTTTTCTGTACGAAAATATCGAAGGATCCTACAATTTACCTTTGTTTTGCCCTTAAACCCGTTAAGAAAGAAGGGTGGGAGTTTAAGTCATAATTTTTCAGTACTCATAACTTCTGAATGGTAAAAAGTATTGCAGTTTTCTTTCTTGCACTCTATTTAGCATAAGAATAATTATTAATTGAAGTGGTTAAACTTGAAAAAATGTTGATTTTACCAAGGTACGATACTTTTTTGTCTTTAATTCCCTTCTTCCCTGGCCTTTTTGGTCTCAAAACCTCAATCTCTCTCTATCATGAATGTGTGTTTCCAGGCCATTTTCTGAAGGAGGCAAAAGATCCTTCTTCCTTGTGAACACCGTCCAACTTGTAGAGCAACAGGCGCAAGCTGTAAGGCAAGCAATTCCTCTGCGAGTGGGAGAGTACAGTGGAGATAAAGGTGTTGATGGCTGGACGGTGGATCAGTGGAATCAGCAGTTTGATCAACATGAGGTAAATGCTTGATTATTATATTATGAGTAGCAGTAGCCACATCCGGGCAAGTCACCTATTCTCCAACAATTGGCAACACAGCATACGTATAAGTATTTAACTGTTCACAAGAAAAAGGACCCTAGTCCCCAAAAACTCAGAATTAATACCAAACAGATGCATGTCCTGCCAATATTTTCCATAAACACTAAAAAATGGTAAATCGAAGTGGAGATACTGTGGTTTGAATTTTTCAATTCGAAAACAGAGTTTTGAGGAAAGGTCATTAAAATAATCCATGTTCAATGCACAAAATTACCAGATTATATTGCACCTTTAAGCCTTCTAATGGCATTAAAATGAACTCAGCCACTTGCAGCTTATTCTACAAGACACTGGAAAGTTTTCAATCATCAGAATCTAATATTTTTAGCAAAAAAAATCTCTCTTTCTCTTAGACGAAGATCCCTTTTCCTACAAACAGTCCTAAATGCAGAAAAAAAAATGGCACACACCCTAACTAGAACAGACTGTAGACAGTAATGGCATTAATCACAGAATTGCAGTTTGTTTTTACCAATTTATTTCCTTTTGTAGTATTTAAAGAGATTATATCAGTGATTTTGTTCGAATCCAATCTGATGTAACGGAGAATCCCTATGATGATTTCAGCACTGAGCATGTCTATGAAAATGATCTAATATCACAGGCAAAAGCACAATCCTTTTCTGCTTTCCTAGCCCTGTCTTGCTTGCAAAATCAGATTAGCCAGTATTTTCCTTTTAACTTGGTTCAAGAATACCTCAGAACGACACCTGAGGTGGAGGTAGCAAAAGTCTCTCTACCGAGCTGTGCGTGCGATTGTCATCATTGCATACTAATACTCCAGCTCTAGTGCACTTCATCCTACGGCTAAAGCAAAAAATTAGAAAATGTGAGCCTCGTAATAGTCAAGATGTTCTATAGTCTCAGATAGCTGTTTTCAACGCACGAGGTAGGAGAGTCTAGTATTGACTTTTTGCATAACTCTTATGTTGTACCTTTTTTCCAGATTTTGGTAATGACAGCTCAAATTTTCCAAGACTTACTCAGCTCCAATACTATGAAATTAGAAAATGTGAACCTTTTAATATTTGACGAGTGTCACCGAGCTGTTCAGAATCACCCGATGCGTCAGGTATGTATTGACTTATTGCATAATTCTTATGCTGTACCTTTTTACTGATTTTGGTCATGACAGCTGAATGTTTCAAAATCATACTCTACTCCAGTATTATGAAATTAGAAAACGTGAACCTTTAAATATTTGATGAGTGTCACAGTGCTGTTAAGAATCGCCAGATGTGTAGGAAAATAAGTAGGTAAATCAGTAAATCTCGGTAAATCTGTTTTAATCTCTGTCATCTCTGATTGGTTGCTTTTTGGTCTTCAAATATTTTCAATTGTTCCTTTTTTTGCCCCTGAGTTAAATTCATAGTTAACAACCTATAATGGAATTATTTCCCATACTGTTGTTACAGTGAAATTTCAATAAGTTGGACGAGTTGGGGACTTGCGTTTGTGCCCCAGTGAAGCAAAGGTTTACGTATTTGGCATTATGCACTCTGATTCTGATCATTCTGATTTTGTTCAATTTTTGTGCGCAGCCGCTCTGTTCTCATATTTGTTAGGAAGGGGTGAATATCTAACTTTAACTGATCAGCAACCTTGTACCCTGATGGACGTCTCTAATATCAATCTGTCTGTAAACTGAGGATTTTTGTGCACCAATATATGATCTTGTACGCACTTTTTTGTCTATCTAGATTATGGAGCAGTTTGAAGGGTTGCCGGTAGAGAAGCAGCCTCGAGTGTTGGGTCTCACTGCGACGCTTTTAAATGGCTCCTGTAAGCCAGAGAATGTAGATGAAGAAATTACTCATCTGGAAAGAACCTTGCAGTCAAAAATAGTGTCGTTTATTGATGATGACCAAGTACTTAGGTAAACTATTTTCTCTTAGTCCATGCAACAAAAATGTACTTAGCACCAACCTTTTTCCAAGGTTAGAACTTCAATGTTACAATATATTCTTCATGGAGCACGTCGCATCTATTGAAAATTTCAAGACCAAAAACGCGTGTCAGAAACTGATTTTTTAATTTAACTAGTGGAAAAGAAGCAAAATTATTCATAACAATGAAAAAAAGTGTAGATTCAGGTACCAGTTCTAGCAATCAACTTGATTCCTTTCCAGGTCCCTGCCATTTTTCATTAAAAACAATGTTAAATTTCAGGGGTTTAACAGTTTTCAATTCACTGGGTTTTTTGTGGTATAGTGGCATAATAGAGGTTGCATGTGTGAGGGATTTGCGATTTGACTGTTGATTCTTATGTAAAAGTCCGCAAGAAACCTGATGATGCCACTGGTTTTCAACACCCAAGCTCAAAAAAAGCTCTCTAGTTGAGGCCAAAATGGAGGGGATATCCCACGCTATCCTGAGAGTCCACCTCTACATCAAGGCAAACTCTCAATGCAGAGATAGGGAGCAAATGCATTGACAGTGTTGCTGTGATTTCAGTTTTAGAATCCCCAAATGAGGTGGCAGCCCTGTCAATGTATTTGTTCCCTATTTTTGCATGGAGAGTTTGGCTTGATGTAGCGGTGGACTCTCAGGATAGCGTGGAATATCCCCTCCATTTTGGCCTCAACTTGACAGCTTTTTTTGAGCTTGGGAGTTGATTTCAGAAAAAACCAGGGGTACCATCGTGTTTCTTGCAAACTTTTACTTAAGAATCAACAGTCTAATCGCAAATTCCTCACACATTCAACATCTTCATTTGGCCTCAATTAACTGGATTTGTCAAAATTTGGCAGAATTTATGTGTATAAAATGTTGCCCCATAGTACTGTTGGGTAGAATTAGGATCATCCAATTTGCCACTTATCGCAGCCTCACTCTTTTGAAATAAGCACCATTATCAAAGATTATTTAATGACTTGTTAGCAGGATGTAATAAAAAGTGTTTAAACAGTAAATAGGTGTCAAGGTAGAGAATTTTGTTCTACTGCTGTAGAAAAGTCTTGCATTCATTTTTTCTTCGGTGCCGTTATGAGGAAAGCATGCAAATTGGACCAAACAGAAAACAAACAAAAAAGGCAACTACGAGTGTCAACTAATTTAACACCTCCTATATCTGAGCTTATTCTTAAGTTTGCCTTGAAACAAATGTTGAGCACATACAAAAAAAGAAGAAAAATGGACGGTGTTAATCAAAAAGGAAACAAGCCACATCAGCCATTGCCAAATTTAACCGGGCAATTTAATTTTATACCAAGTAACGTTTGTGGGGATTCCTTTGGAAATTTTAAGGAATTTGCTTGGTATGATGCAGAAAATTCACTGAAATTTGCACAAAAATCCGCACAATCGTTTTCATGTAAACATTACATGAAATTAGATTGCTCAATTAAATTTGGCAATGGCTGGTGTGGCTTGGTTCCTTCCTTTTAAAAGCGGTCCAAATGTATGTCAAATTTTTAGATTTATAGTTGCGAAGAAGCTAACTTTTAAATTTTACGGTGGTTCCCAACAAAGCCAATCATCAGTGCCCCTATTGGTATCGTATTCAATATTTTATGCCTTGAAGACTGCGCGAGACACCAAAACATCTCAGCACATTTGGATTAAATGAAGTTATTCATTGTGATCTGATCTTCATTTGGGCAGACTAAATTTATTACTTGCTTAATTGAATAAATTCAATACACAAATAAACTCAAAAAGTTAGGTTTGCTTATTTTTAGGTAAATTTTTCCAAGGCTTTCATTTTATGTTTTTCTTCTTTACTAATTGTCCAAAGCTTTCATTTCTGGTACAAATATCGTGATAGGAGCTTCTTCAGTGATCTTGAATTTCCTTTCTACTCATGTTTCTTATTTTTATGAGCTTGAAGTCCCTTAGCTTTGGTTTTGATTTACTTTTCCTGTTTTGTTTTTTTTTTTTTTTTTTTTTTTTTTTTTTTTTTTTTTATTGAATAATAGGAATATTCTTTTGTCCATACAGGTTTTCCACAAATCCAACTGAGCATTTACTCTGCTATGATGATATTGAACGCAGTGACCTTAGCAAATATTGTGATGAACGGATAAGAAAGTTATCAGATAAAATTTCTCACATCCAATTTGAATTATTTATGCAAAACGTGGAAGCCCCTGTTGATTATTCTCTTTTGACCAATAAGGAGGATAAGCCTAAAAAATGTCTCAAAAATATGCTTGCTGATCTATCTGTAAGTGTCTAGTTTGATTTGTCTCTCCATCTTTTGTTCTTAATAGAGCATGATTTGCTAAAAACAAGAATTTTTATTTGAATGGCTAAAGTGTGCAACCATTTATCTCCATTGCGGTGTTTCAAAATGTCCACTCCTATGTTAGGAAAAACAAGCCAACTTTACGGCTTAAGGTGATTTGTCAAGCTCAAGTGATGTGATCGAACTGGCGTGCGATATATCGCATTCCTTAAAATGTTTACAGAATATTCTGCTAACTAAAAAAAATCTAGGAAGATCTCGGAAATTATATTGACTAACCTTCCAAGAAAACAATAAAGTATGACAAGAAGTCTGCAACTTTGCAAACGGAGATACGATGTTTCGCATTTTGATCATCGATTTGTAAATCAACAGCCCCACTTCTTTAGAAAGTCCAGAGGTGCGTAGTTTCCCCCATCTTGCAATCTGGGAATCACGGCAAATGTGAGGTAAATCTTTGGTCATTATGCGATTCCAAAAGTGATATACCTCTCTCTCTTTCTTTGCATCACTTTACAAAAATGGGGCATACTGCTTATTTTTCCATCAAATTTGACATTTTTCCTTGATGTAGTTTGGAAATTCACCCATGTGGCATGAACATGCATGCGTATCTTACAAAACTGTCAGTGATCAGAACCTGTTCCACCCCTTGTAAAGTTCCTGTGCTGAAAATATCTTATGTAAATGAACTACTTTTTGAAGGATAGATGAATCAAATTTAGGATTATTCCATTTGAAACCCCAAGTCTGAAAATTTGCTCTCAGGTAGGCAGACAGAATTGTGGCAACACCCAAAAGACATAGAAAGAGGCAAATCTTCAAGGATCAAAAGGAAAAAAAGAAAGTGCCCTCTAAAATTAGCAGGAAATTTTTTGGAATGAAATAAAAAAGAAATGGAAAGCTGGCGGGTGGGTGTATAAAAATGAGGAAAACTTGGTGGTGAATTCTGTATCCCTGCTTGTGACTGGCTCAGTTTTCATCAGATGTTCGTAGGAACAACGCCTCTTTCAATAGAGTTCTTGCATGCTACAAAAATTTGCAAGAAACTCAATGGGCCTGTTGCAAACTTTTGCTAGAGCAAAAATAAGAGTTGTTTCCTATAGATAATGCCTCAAAAATCACGATGAGCGCATCGGCAAAGTCTGAAATGCACTCATAACTTCACAATCAGGGTTTGAAATTTGCGTTTTTTTGAGCTTCCCGCTTCAAAAACGATGCTACACAGGCACAGCTAAACATTTTGTTAGATAAGGAGTCGCTCCATCGTCGGCAATATTCATCATGGCTGACGCTTACGCGGTTCCACGCGTAATTCGAGGAGAGTTCAAGGTCAATCAAGGCAGGCGAGGAAAACATGAACATAAAGACGCCGATTGTTATCTGGTCTAATCCTGTTCAGGTGTTATCTTGTTCCATCACACTTGTTTTGGCAGATTGGCGTTGGCCATGATGAGTGTTGCCGACGATGGAACGACTCCTGTAACAAAATGTTCACCTGTGCCGTAGTATCGTTTTTAAAGCGGGAAGCTCAAATAACCGCAAATTTCTTATGCAGATTGTGAAGTTAGGAGTGCATTTCAGACTTTGCCGACCCGCTCAACGTGATTTTTGAGGCATTATCTGTAAGAAGCAACTCTAAGTTTTGCTCTAGCAAAAGTTTGTAACAGGCCCATTATGCCTCTGGTTTTCTCTGCAACCGAGTCTAATGCTCAAAAACCGCTCCTGAAATTGAGGCCAGATTACCTGCATTATGGTGAGGATTCATCTGACAGTGGGTGTCATGCTGGTTGAACTGACATAGAATGACTCTGTCCTGGAAAATGATGACTTCTGATGGCTTAGAATCAAGGTATCCTAAAATGTAGGGAAAATTACTTTTTGGTGCATTAAGATACAGAAACGCTATGCACGCTTGTAATTGAAATCTGAACTTTTTAAATGGATATTTCAACTAGTGTTAGTTAAGTCTGTTTAATCTCGCAACATTTTTTCCCTATCACGCTGTCAATGCTATCGCAAAAATAATAATTTGCATTTCTTGCATAAAATCTTCGTAGCCATTGGTTTTTAAATATTGATAAATACAAAGATTGGATGCTTGAATTTACTGTGTACCCTAGTGTATCATGAAGTGCTAATATTCTTCCTCTTGCACTTTACAGCATGTCCTCAATGACATGAATGTTTTCGGATTATATGTTGGAGCACTAGCGCAAATCGTTCGCTTAGAGAGAATGAAACTGTCCACATGTGATGGATTTTTGTATAATATCTTCAATGTTGTGGTCACTGAGCTAATCTTCATAAGGTAAATTCTGTTCAGTTGTTTCTTGTAAATCTCTTTATTATGCTTACCTCATTGGTCCATCATTCAAAAGGGAACGCTTGCAAATGTGAGTATACTTAGAAAATTAAAAAAAAAAAACCAATGGAACAAACTTTTATGACTTGTGAAAGCACTGTCTAAAATGGCGAATAGCTTGTGTTCCAATGTATGGCTCATGTATTTCATCAGACAGATCTGACTGATTTAACTTGTCCTTTTTTAGCTACAGCATCCATTGTTCATGTGTAAATAAAATTGAGTCAAAAAATGGTTGCCTATTGTTTTCCACAAGGTACCTAGTCAGGTCCTCTTTGCACAGCATTGTTAGATGAGTCTTCTGTTCTTAAATGCGCTGTGCGCCCAGACAGGCCTTAGTCCTCTCTAAGTCCCAAGGCCCTGGATTCGACCAACAAAAATACTACAAAGGCTGTTCAAAAAGTACGTAGACTGAAGCTGTAACTTGAAAACCAATGTATGTAGATAGCTGTTCTTGGTTTCATTTTAAAGATCAACTCATTATCTATCGATTGAGACCAAGATCAACTCATTTGGTTAAAATTTGAGAAAGTTATGCAAGTTTAAACTTTGAAAGTAGGTTTTACCCCCACAGTTTTTATTGAAAATTTTCGCTTGCCAAAAGTTGTCACTTGAAATACGTTTTGATACATCATTTTACCTGGCAACCATGAATAGCACACTGTGTAAACACTTTTCAAAGGCCGACCCGACTTCAGGAGAACTTCAGCAGACTTCCGACCGTCTTCAAACTTTTTATGCCAACGGAAAATTGCGGTCCGACACAAACACTCATCTTCGTACGCGTCTTTCATCTCATTCAGCGTGTCCGTTGCTGATAATCCACGTCAAACACAATAATGAATGACAAAGTGTTGTTCTTTTTTAACCTCCTTATCTTCTTCCATATCGACCGCATAAAAATTAGAGCAAAATGGAACAAAAATCACTAAGAGACTGCGATAAACCCGTGCGCACCTGTGACTTGTCACTGACTGAGGAAACTTCCCGAGTTTACGGGGGTAAGTCCAGCCGATCGGGCTTCTTGCCCTTTGGACCCGTATGTACCCTAGTCGGTCGACGATTACGGAAAAGTGTTTACACAGTGTGCTACTCATGGTTGCCAAGTGTTTCTGGTAAAATGATGTATCAAAACGTATTTCAAGTGACAACTTTTGGCAAGGGAAAATTTTCAATAAAAACCGTAGGGGTAAAACCTACTTTCAAAGTTTAAACTTGCGTAACTTTCTCAATTTTTGACCAAATGAGTTGATCTTGATCTCAATCGATAGATAATGAGTTGATCTTTAAAATAAGACCAAGAACAGTTATCTACATACATATGATTTTCAAGTTACAGCTTCAGTCTACGTACTTTTTGAACAGCCTTTGTGAATGGCCTGTTTCGACGTTAGTAACAGTTATGTTAGCGCTAGTGTTGAGTTTAATAATGTTCACTATATTGATCAAAATAAGTGAGAAATACAAGGAGGCAAACACACACTGCATGTCTGGACCCCATCAAAATTAGTTTTGACTGGAAGTGCCTTTATCTCATCTAATGCTGCAATGAATCTAATTTTTCCAGAAAAATCATCAGCGATCACATAGATGAGTCCGATTACGCTTGTGTTTTGAAATACTTATCACCCAAAGTTCTTCTAGTCTTAGATCTTGTCAAAGATAGTGACAAAAACTCAACTTTAATTTTTGTGGAAAGAAGGTTTACAGCGAAAGTGCTGTATTCACTTATCAAGGTAAGTTCTTAGAATTATTTTTTTGATAAAGTAAGTCTATAAATAGGTTTCATTTGGCAAATCTTATTGTCAGAAAAAAAAGTCTTGGAAAAACTTGGCGCTGGCAAAAGGTTCATAAGCAGGGAAAAGTATTCTGTTTTTCAAACTGAAGTCATTTGACTACAAGTTAGTTGTGAGCTTAAGCTTGCAATACATTTTTTTCAGGGTGCTAATTTTCAGCTGTAATTCTAAATTAAGTTTTATAATTTCTCCCCTCTTTTTTTTCTTTTTGAATGCCCTATTAGAGGTTTTGTCAGTTATATTCTTAACCTCATCGTGAAATATCTGCTGGGCCCTAGTTTGTGGATATACCAAGGACCCTTACCAAAGGATCGGAAGAGTTGATTTTAGAAATTTCTATTGTGATCTGTGTGTTCCTCATCAAATTTGCTGAAGAGACATTTTATTTAGTCCTTAAATTCTTCCCCTCAAGTGAAATAAATGTAAATGACAAAATGTAATCCCCTCTACTGGTTTAAACTGTCTTACCATTTTTATGCATATCCTTTTTTTTCATTTCTCACAGGACTTTATTGTTGAATCTAATTCTAACCTCTTCAAGAATGTTAGAATTGATTTTGTCATCGGAAACACAAACCCCAATATACTAGCAACCAATGATGAGGCTGTTTTTGCCCGTAAAATTAATTCAGATATCATAGATAAGTAAGTTTACCAAAATCTGATTTTCAATTATTTTATCATAAACTTTAATTCATTTTTTCCCTCTTTGATCAGTGTGGAATCTTGGAGATGCACCACCAAATCTTTGCACAAGGGCTGATTCCACTACATCCGATTAGTGATCAACATTTTTACTTTCACCAAGTTGATCAGTACTTAATATATCGTCAGTACCATCCATCACTATGATGGCTCAATTTGAAGTGTACCAAAACTGGAAAAATTTTATTTTTCAAGAACTGTGTATTTCTCAAATGAAAAGTGTGCCACTGTACTCTCAGATTTAATACACACTGTCTCATGTGACCCAGGAGTCTCGAAAAATAGTTACTAAAAAAAGTGGTCACGAGTAAACTATTGTTCTGCCATTTGTCCCAAGTTCGACTGAACTATACTTTAGACTTGTTATTAAAGTGATCCATGCTCATTTAGTCCACGTAGGATGGAAGGCAATCGTAACCCCTAACTTTTGATAGGGGGGTCGGATCGACTTCCGGTTTGCACCAAAAATTTTCCTTTTTTATGTTCTTTCTAACAATGTATCACATGATGGGAGTTGCCATTTAAAATTTTTGAGTCCCCCCCGCCCCCCTCCCCCTGGGGGGGGGGGTTGAAAACTGGAAAGTACCTCAAAAAGTTTCCCCCTCGATGTGAGGAAGAAGGCCACAAACTGCAAGTCGATATCGTAATTAGAACTGAAGTTATGGCCAGTGGTGCGTAACTTTTGAATAACCCTGCATAAATACTATTTAATAAATCCAAAAATCAGTATTTTCGGGAAAAATTTGGTAATTTTGGCCTTGATCTCCTGGAGGTGAGTGAGGACCTAGCACCATCCTGTTGCTTACAGTATTCAAGCTACTCATTGGTGGTTTTCTAGTCTATCTAATTAATTATTTCTTCTGATTATTTTGCAGATTTTACCAAAAAAAGTTAAATGTCTTAATAGCCACCGACGTTCTAGAGGAAGGAACGGACATCCCACTCTGCAATGCTGTCATGAAATATGACATCCCTGTCACATTTCGTAGTTATGTACAATCAAAAGGCAGGGCTAGGTCAAAGGAAAGCAATTTTTATATTCTTGTCCCGAAATGGGACCAAGAAAGATTCTGTATCCGCTACCGCGTTTTTCAAAACATAGAGAAAAAATTAAAAGAGGTATAGCTTTTAAAATATTTAGTCATCAGAAGTTCACTCTTGAAATTCACATTAAATGCTACTTACACTGTTAAATATTTATAGTTTTAATCTGTTCATTTATCCTAATTTCAAGATCTCAAATGCTATTTATTTTTAACTACCCCAGATACAAAAGGTTCAAGATTTTAATTGACAGTGAAACTACCAGACTACCAGAATCTCGGTTTGCTACACTGAAGGCTTCCTGTCATACTGTATTTTTAATATGGAAAATACTCAACGTCAGTTCTTGAAAACTTCCCTGATTTTTCTTTTTTGTGCAAAGAAAACTCTATGGATTCTTCAAGGAATGATATTGATTTGCTATTCTTCCAAGAAATAAAATGGGAGAGATTTGTAAACACCGTAAACAAGATACATGGTGTGGTAGTTTCTCATCCGCTATATTTAATTTTATCAATGAGTTTTGCGATTGGTTAATTTTAATTCATTTGAATTAAAACTCTAATTTATTTTGTTTTAAATCTATGCTCAATTTCCAATTTTTAAGTTTTAATTTTTCAAGATAAAAATGTTTCCCATTAATTTTTTGACTCAAATGAATATGGGGTATGAATTATTTCTTGAATCCAAAGTTACTGTTTTTTAATTTCTTCCTTCTATAGTTGAATTTTAATTTTTCACCACTAGCATTTGAGCAGCAATTAAATTTTATAATAGTTGACTAATTCTATCAGTTTGGATACCCTAGTATGAGAGAATTTATCATGAGGCCAAGCAATGTCGTGTCTTCCCACATTGGGAGTATAGCAGGAGGCTCCCAGCAAAAGGAACCTTTGTCTACAGATACTTAAAATTAAGTCTATGATACTAGAGCACAGAGACGTGTTCTAAGATCATTTGAAGTCGAGGGGGGAGGGACTAGGGCTGTTCAATTGGTTGTCGGTAAGCTACCAAAACAGTTCCATTAAGAAAAAGTTACAATAAGAGTGCTCTTACCGATAACGATCTGAGTTTTCGGAGCTGACAAAAATAAGCTGTTGCCATTTGTACATCTATTTTACCAACACACAGGGCAACAATGCATTAAGTGCAAGCTCTCAAAACTCCGATGAGGCCGGCTGTTAATGATATCATCTCCACTGTTGGTACTGCCACCAGTTTCGGTAAGAGACAATACCGATAGCGTTCCGGCAAGAATTCGTTTGAACACCCCTAGGGGGGACGCCTAAAATTTTCTAACTGTATCTGATTTTATTCGCATGAAATCGAATTTAACTGCTTGTGACCTTTTCTTCAGGAAAATTTTGAGAAATCCTACACAGCATGCCCAGCACATTGTGATTCTTTGCTAAAACTGTGGTCATTTAGTTTTGGCGTGTAGCCAGGACACCTCAATTTTTTAATTTCAAACTTTGCCAAAAACAGAAAGTTGCAGAAAAAATACCCAGCAGCTAAAAGAAATTGCACAGGACATTTCTTCACTTCGTTTTAAGATAATTTTTTACATTCTTTTTCAGATACTCATCAGAGACCGAGTTAAGCCCTCTGAGGAAGAAATTGATGAGGACTTATATCAAGACAGAGAATTACCACCATTTTGTCCCCTTGGCCCGGGTGGACCCAGAGTTACCATGGTAGCTGCTCCGTCCCTTGTTAACAGGTATCCTTCATTTGTTCATTTTTGTGTGCATTTTCTTTGAACAGCCTCAGCTCAATTAAATTATCGTCAGCTTCCTGCCAAAGTATCACAAGTGCCATTTTTGCTTTGGCACTATGTTTTTATACTTCTGAAACTTATGCAATTTTATACAGAAAAAGTAATCCACAGAATCACTCAAAAATTTTACCTAATACCTTTTTGGTCTTTAAAATTAATCTCTAAAATTTTCCTAAAAGTATGTCTAAACTATTTAGAGAATTACTTAAAAAAATTGAAATTTTCAGCGTCTTAGTACTCAAGCATATATGACGCTTGTGATACATTGACTGGAAAGTGACGTTTTATAATCAGTGGCAAAGTGTGAATGATCGATTATCGATATTTCCCCATTTGAAGCTTTGGTAAAGAATCGTTCATTAAGGTGTTCGTTGCGAACACCCTGTTTATCGATCGTTTTAAATGGCAGACCAACCCAATCGCAAAGCACGCTACACCACTGTCTATAATATGAGTCATTTGAGAAGCAATGTTCTCTTTTTGTTATTTTCCAAATTAAACTAGGTAAATCAAGTCAGTGAAAATATACACGTTATTCATACTCTCAGCTTCAAAACGTGCCTAAGATTTTAAAATTTGATGAAGGGTCTTAGTAGAAAACATAATTTTATCGAAACCTCCTCCTGAAACTGGTGGATTGGACAGAAGTTTCTCAACTGTTTCCTCCAAATATAAAGGAGTGGGAAGCCCAAAAGTCCGTTTTGATCCTCATATTTTTAGCCACAATTTGAAACATGGTTTCATCTTTCCTATCATTTAAATAAGCTGGATTTTTCAGAATATGTTTACCTCTTGATTTGATGTCAGATTAAATTCTCTGCTTGAGTTATCCTCTTCATTAATACCACTGAGATCATAAATTTCCAACGTTTAACCAGAAATAAATTAATGAGTTGAATTGTCAAGGTTTCCCAAGAAATTTAGTAGGATCAAGGTGAGAAAATATCTTTCAGAGAGCTATGATTCTTTTGAATCATATATATATCATATAAAAATATCATATCATGAGGAAACAGTTGGGAAACTTCATATAAAAATTGTTTATTTGGTCCTTACAGGTATGTTCAAAGTTTACCACACGACAAGTTTAGCACGATACTTCCTTTGTACTTTGTCAAACATGAAGTTGAAACAGATGAATACACCGTGAAAATTCAACTGCCATCCAACAGTCCAATTAAAACACTCATTCAGGTAATTATTTATAATTATTATTATTATATTATTATTATTATTATATTATTAGTGGGCTTGACCGCTTCCCGGTTTTAACCTCCTGAAGCTTTTCTTGCCTCAGGCATTATGTGTTACACGTCACTCTTATGATTTTATATTATAGAGGATGAAACCATTTAATTTCTCTCAACTATTTTTATTAACTGTTTGAAGGATCAAATGCATACCCCTTTCATTACCATGAACGCAACATCTGCGTTCAGTGAAATCATATCCTTCTCATAGCATTTCTACCATTCCTCAGCAACCTTCATTCAGGAGTATTCACATTTCTAGCCCTGTGTGCCGTGAAGAATCTAAACTACAACTTTAGACACTTCCAGACAGACTGCATTTTTATCTATTTGTATGACAAACCAATTTCCGTTGTGTGGTATGCGCATGTAGAATTTACCTTGGTAATGAGAAGGTTTAATGAATTATTTTAACAATCTTTGAAACAAAGCTCCTAGAAATCGTGTTTGGAGAGAGGGGCAATTTTTCGCTAGCATGTTGAGAATCACCTTTTTTCACCTCCACCAACAATCATCATAATACAGGGTTGCCACAGTCAGGGAATACCGGGAAAACTGGGAAATGTCAGAAAATGGGTCAGTTGCGCTGGTCTCAGAATCAGGCTTTGATGCATGATTCTTGTCAATCAGCTGAAAATATCAAGATCTGTCCAAACAGCAACTTCCTATGTTCAATATTAACCGTGATATCGCGCTTTACAAAATGGACCACTAGACAAGGAACGAGTTTCAGCATTCTAATACATGTTTCGAAACTAAAATTTCACGTAGAACACGATGCGCACAACGAAAATTACCGAAATCAACTCCTTACGAAGATATTTAATGATTCTTGATGCGTGAATTCAAACCCCCCGCTCATGAAAACTCAGTGCTCTACATGATTCACATCGTGCGCTAAACGTTATCATGACAGTCTCTGCGATATAAAAATCTGGCAACCTCAATCTTGACGCTTTGACTCAGCTATAGCAAATTGCTGATAGTATGAACAACACATGGTGGGAAATGAACATTGCTGGATCGAGAAGCTTGCTGAAACTGTTGTAGTGCGCGATTTGACTCACGTAGAGCTTTGAGTTTCTTGTGAGCGGGCAGTTCAAATTCCTTGTAACCAATGTGAAATAAAAACGTTAATATCTTCGTTGGGAGTTGGTTTCAGTAATTTTCGTTGTGTGAATCGTGTTCTACGTGAAGTTCTGGTTAAGAAACATGTATCAGATTGCTTAAATTCGTACCTTGTCTAGTGGTCCATTCAGTTTACATCCACCGCAGTGGTGACACCCTTGGTTTCTTCCACCTTGCTTTCATCAGTCAGGGGAGACACACACTTGCACTGGTTACTCAATGTGAAACTCGGATGAAAGGAAGGTGAAAGAAACCAAGGGTGTCACTACCGCGGTGGATGATGTGATGTCATTAACCAAATTTTTCAAAGCGCGACATCTCAGTTCATATTGAACGTAGAAAGTTGCTGTTTGGATGGATCTTAATATTTTCAGCTGATTAACAAGAATCAAGCATCAAAGTCTGATTCTGAGACCAGCACAACTGACCCATTTTGAAAAGTCAGGGAAAATCTGAAAATGTCAGGGGAAATGACCGAAATGTTAGGGAAAAATTGTCAACTCACCCATATTTGCTTTCTAGAATGGATTTGATGTCTCAAATAACAGATTTTGCGTGAAAACTTTTTCAAAGTATTTCTATTTAACTATTTGGCATATCTTCAATTATCAGGGAAATTTACTAAAATGTGTCAGGGAAATCAGTGAATTGTCAGGGAATTTTATTTGCTAAATTCTGTGGCAACCCTGAATTGATAAGAGAGGCTAAAAGATTCAGTGCCAAATCAATATCTTCATTTTTCTATACTTAGCCCTTTACAACTGCTTGAGCATGTTGAGCTTTTTAAGTAGTATTTTCTTTGTGCCAATAATGATAGTAATAGGGCTGATAAGAATATTTTTTGTGAAACGGGAATGTGCTAATTCGGTGAGTAACAGGACCTGATACAACTCACTTTTGTTAGCTGTCACTACTGGATGTAAAAACTCAACATTTACCTAGATAGAGCTTATTTTTTGTTGCAAATTTTTGATTTTCAACCATTGAAACACTTTTGCGTGTGTATTGATCACTCCCTTTGCTACACTCTTGATCCAACCATGATTATTCTGACTGGTTCGTTTTTTTTTTCTTTTTGTGCAGGGCCAACCAATGAAATGTTCCAAGTCAGCTAAGCAAGCAGCTGCATTGGAAGCTTGCAAAGTTCTTTATGAAGCAAAAGAATTGAACCAAAATCTTCTGCCAAGAGGCTCTAGCTCAATTTACCTTGAAGATCCAAAATGGTTTCCTCATTGGGAAGATGAAAAATTTGAAAAAGGCGACCCTGAGCCTGGAACAACAAAAAAAATTAGGATGCACGAGAAAAAGGTAAATGACTGTTAAACCACTTGGTTGTTAGTCATCAATTTACAAGATAGGGGGTGCGTTGCCCTCTGCCACTCGAGATGTTCACTCTAAACAATCCCAAGAACAAAGAGAGGACAGAGCTGAGGTGATAGGAGGGAGAAGGGCATTTAAATGAAGAAAGAATTTAATGGGCGAAAGACCTGTGAGTATATATCTTAGTGGGCAAATGCCCTGCAGGCTAGTTTTTGCAGGCAAGTGTCCTTAAACCGTCTCAATTTAAGTACTTAGAGTCTCCTTATTGTAGAATCACTGAATTTGAGACTTGAGAAAATGTGTGTGTAAGCACTTGACATGATGTTTAACTGAAATCACCATTCCCCTGAAACAGGGTTTGAGCCAGGTTTCCGCTTTTTTCCCACCTACAATCTCAGCTGTGATTTGAAAAAAAGGGCCACGCAGCATCGGGAAAAAAGTTATTTTACATCCAAAATGTTAAATCAACTTCATTTTTTACCCCGTGAGTATAACAGGTAAATCCCTTTTAATCAGGGAATATATCTGCAAGTATTTTTGTTATTATTATTTGGTGTTGATAATATCTTTCAAGGTGCTGCATTATAAATCTTCTGAAGATCATTAATTGCCTAGCATTGAATGGTGCTTTTAAACTGTTAGGCTATTTTAGCCCTGTCCATGGAAACTTCAGAATCACCAAAAACCTAGTTCTCAGCTATTTTTTGTTTGCAATTATTTAATGTTTTACATTTTCTGGTTTTTCATCCTCTCGCTTTAAATTAAAATTTTGAATTTAAACTGTGTTACATTTCTTTGGGACCATACAGCCTTAATTATTATGAAATTTTTCATATCTAACTACGAACTTAAATAAAAAATCACAAAATAATTTTTTTAATTTCTCTGTCCTTTAAAAGTGTAACTTTTAACAAAATTCGATCGCTACTTCCATTTAAATTATAAATTAAAATGGAGGAAATTTAGTTGTTGCTGATCCAGACAGATCCCTTTCTGCTTGATTCAACCCACCTACACACTTTTACTATTATTTTTTCCATTGGGAGAAGTTAATTTCTTCTCTGAGGTCGACTTTTTGCTGTATGGTACACATTATTTCATTAGATTGAAACAATTGATTTTTATAATTGCACACAAGAGCTGCGTTGCTAAACTCTCTGGAGAGCTCTCCGGAGGACTGGGAGCGGAGAGTCTCGGAGAATTACCTGGAGGGTTGACGTCATCTCTCCAGTCTCTCCGCGTTTTTGGGTCCGCCATGGTCCGCCGGATTCTGTTTTGTTTACACTTCAATTTTAGGTTAAGTTTCTTTATTCATTTCGTTTTCGTTATTGTCGTCTTGTCGTCTTTCATTTGTAGAGGCAATGCCTAAAGAGTAATGGAGAAATTGCAGATGGTTTGTACGTGCAATAATTTAAGGGAATGAATTAAATCATAACTTAGGAGCATTCATTTCATTCGTTCAAAATCTTCTAGTGGAAGCTCCGTAGTTATTCTTGTCCCAAAATTAAAAATGAAATCCACAAACATTTTCATCTTTAAATATTTGAAAATTCTAAAACTCACTGCATTAGCAGGAAAAAGGGCGCGAGAATGCTAAACGCCTATATTCTGACGTCAGTCTACGTATTGGTCTCCAGCTCTCTGACCTCGAGAGGTCGGAGAGCCGGAGAGCAGTTTGGAGACTGACGTAGCATAACGTAGCAAGTCTCCGGGTAATTCCTCCGGAGTCAGAACAACGGTTGTTTACGTCTCAGGGTAACTAAGAAGAGCTTTCCGGAGACTTTAGCAACTCAGCTAAGGAGTGTTATTCAAACCTAGCAGTTTCTGTTTGTAACAATTTAGTCTTTTTGTCTTCTGAAATATCAATTTATAATCAAATCAACCGAAACTTTATCTTCTACTTTTTTTTATTTTTTATCATAAACTCTTAGATTGTCAATACACACCAAAAAAGTATATTTTCCCTTATGATTATCTTTTAAGCCCCATAAAATTATTCTTTACGTCATCTTCACTTAGTTGAATTATTACCAAACTGGAAATAAATTTTTACTTTCCCTCAGTAAAGTGAAACAGCAATGTGTTTGTCTCTCATTTTTATATTTTGAACCAATTAATTTCTAGTTAAAACTGCTTGTGAAGTCAATTCGTCTCCTTCTTGTGAGGTTCACAAAAAAAGTTTCTTTTTTTTGTGAATTATAGTACAGTACTCTCTTGCTATAATGACACTCGTTATAACAAAAATCTCTCTACAGCGAAGGAATCGCCCAGTCCCTTGAACTTCTTATGTTAATACATACATATTTAAGTAGAGAAGAAAGCACTGCAATTGGGAGGGAAAATTATACTTAGAATATATCATTAAAATACTCAAGTTGGGCTAAGGGGAGCATCTCAACACTTGAATTTATTCAACAAATTTAATCAAAGATTTCCTCATCAAATTCTGGTGTACCTGTTGGCTTTGTTCTTTTTTTCAATTATAATTAATAGAAGTAAAAATATATCTACTCCGGAGGATTAATCTTAATTTTGTACCAGATTGCTTTCTGTCCTGTTAGTTACATGTTACATGTATCTCCATTATCTATTCAGAGATCATGTAATTCTGAATGATTCTCTGTTTTATTCCTATCAGTTTTTTGTATTCCATTGATTAGTTTTTTTATTTTTTCATTTTTCATGTCATATGTACTCAATGCTCATTAAATGAAAATTGATGGGAATTTTCTATTGAGTCTGTTTTTTCAACTGACTCATTTGACGCTCTTTCTCCAGAGTTTCATATCCTTGCACTAAAGGTTGAAAAACTTGGTGAAACTTAGTGTAAATTTAAAGAAATGATTTTAAGCCTATTTAGAGAGGAACTTTATGGATATATATTCAAGCTAATATCAAGAAATTACCGATCCTAAAATACTGATCTGTTTGGCATTTTTCGAAACGGAGAAACACTCTGGAATTTATCAGAAACAGCCTTAAACTCTTACGAATGATCCAAGATTTTGAAATTTTACTTTACCATCATCTCCATCCATTTGACTTTAATCCCTCCATGATATGAAGTGAAATCCCACAATCAACCTTGTATCTCTTTAAAAATTATTCGGAAGGTTCAAATGGATAGAAAAGAAACTTGTTTCTCCTTTTGAAACTCCTGGATGGTTGCTACCATCTTCACAATTCTCTTCATTCAACCCATGTATCCAACCGAAAGTTGCATCAACCATTTAAAAAAGTCTATACCATTTCTTACAATTTTCCATTAAAGCGTCCATCAGAATACATGTTTGAGATTTGAAGTCACTCTTCAAGCAACATGGTTCAAAGATTCAGTTAAAGAAATGTAACTACTGCGGTTATTGGACATTTATTCACCTTATATACATTTTATTTTCAGAGGGGGCTCCAAAGGGAATTGTATGCTCTCTCTGCTCTTATAACAAAAAGATTTCTTTCGATTCACGGTCCTTTTGAACAGACTGTCGGTAATTTTGCCAACATCTTAGTTCAGTATAAAACTGAAGCTTGAAGCATAGTCAGGGAAATCTCATCCAACCATGACTTTTCCTCAAAGAAAAATGCATGTCTCCTTGAGAAAATATCGTGCTTGGAAACGCCTTTTCTCCTCTGCAATGAAAATCTCAGTTTTATGGGCAGTTTTAATGCTCCTTGGAAAAATCACGATTTATCTTTCCTGTTTTGTCAAGAGTGTTTAAATTAAAACTCTCAACCGACTTATCAATCTTTCATTGATTTTAGGAATGTCTCAATCCCCCACTTTTTTAATTTTTTGTTCTGCTTTTCTGGAACAAAAAAAGTATATTCTAAACCGCAACGTAAAGAAAAGCAAACGAGAATTGTTTGGCCAAAGAATGAAAGATATGATAACACTCCAGTTTTTAGGTATATTGACAAATTTAAGCTCAAAGCATAAGCAAAATTTCAGCGATTTATAAAGTTGATTCTCATCAGGATTCTCTATAAATTTTTGTTTAGTATTCGACCACCCTTGAAGACTGCCAGCCTGACATTGGTTCGTCAGTATTTTTGCACGTGTTCGATATTAAGCCCAAATTTGAGCTGTCCATAGAGGAGAGTAAGCAGCGAAGGATGTATTATTTCTCCCTCCTGAAAAAAAAGAACACATTTGGCATTCTGACCAACAAGCCCATTCCTCAGGTACTTATGCACCAGCTTCCCTTGTAATATTTTTTTGAATATTGATGGATCAGTAATGCAATGAAATCTCTTTGTAAAGTTTTTAGCAATCAATTTCCTTTTTTCAGAAGATGAAATACAAGAAAAACACTTTTTAAGGAATTATTAATCAGAATAGAGTATTTTTTAATATCGCCTACCTTTTTTAAAAATGTGGTGAGATTTTTTTCCTAGTCGCTATGAACATGGAACTTTGAAAAATGCCCTTTTAGCTGATTTTATTCTCAATCACACAACCTTTCTCATTTTCGTGAGAAAAATATTTGATAGGAAATCCCTTTTATCCAACTCTCCCCTTAACTTTGTTCATTCCCCTTGTGTTTGAATAAAGATCATTATCTCATTCAATACATACCTTATGTGAAGTTGGAATTTACTTTACAAGATTTTTCAGGCTCCCTTCCCTCTCTACTTAAGTATTACGCCCCTTATTTTATTTAAATTCTGTGAATTTTTTTCATTTCCCAAACGTTTTCCTTTTAGAAATCTATCCTTATCTATCATTCCTATCCTTATCTATCATTTTATCCTTGCACTGGTATGACACCTTGTGTCAAAATTTACACCATAATACTTTCCGTCAATCATGGTCTCTGAAAGAACCTTGTTTTTACTTTATAGATCTGTGATTTTCCATTGTTTATGAAATTTGGTGAATTGGAGGTCAAAATGCGAATGAATATTCCCATAGAAGCACTTAACAAATCCCAGTTGAAACGGCTTCATAAATTTCACTGCCTATTGTTTATGCAAGTGTTAGATGTTGTGAAATCTTTCATGATGTCTAATGCTACCGAAAGGGCCTCCGTTAATAGTTCCTACATGGTTTGTCCTGTCTATCCAAGTAAGTATTATCCTTAGTTTTTATTGGATTTGGTTGAAGGCTGCAAATGAAAAACATAAGCACTCAAAGATGGTGGGGAAAAGGGCCATACATTTTCGTTCACTGCCATTTTATAGAAATTCTTCATTTTATTGCTGGAAAAAATATTAAGAGATTTCCTCTCATCAGCTATACTAGAAAAAATAGTTTCTGATCACTTCATTGGAGTACAATACACAATTTTTGAACTCCGAACGTCAACTCTAAATGCAGACAGAGATCTCTGCAAATATTATTAAGGGAGTCTGCAAGCAGATCGGTCATCTAAGAAGAAAATGAAGCTAACCATGAAAAAATATAGGGTTTTTCCTCTAAACCATCGCAATTACGTCATACTTTGTGATGACATACCAGTAGAGTTTTGATTAAAGGGCTGAATAATGTGTGCAACTATCATTTACTCAATTCTGCTGGTCAGTGATCGCAGCCTAGAAGTAGAATAAGGAGATTTGGAATCAGACTGTAGTTTATACTCAATTCCAATGTGCTGATGTTCCCTCTCCCCCGACTATTACATATAGAGTGTTCTCCTGTTCTGAGTAAGAAAGTTGTAAGTGAATCACCTCTCATGCCGATTTTTCTAAGCATAAAAACTGCAGGATGCATTTCAGCATTACCTCAAAGATGTAAAATAAAGAATCTCAGAGTAGTGGGGATATCTGCTCAGTTTTTCTAGTGTATAAATGCCTTGCAAGTGAAGAGTCGGAAACATTTTTTTGGAGTAATGTCCTGTTTGCTCTGGACGGCAGCAAATTAAGAAACAGTGCTATTATAGACATCGAATCAGAGAAACATTTGGAAACGAACTTGCCACATCAGGATATTCAAATTTCATTCTTTACTAGATAGAAAGCTCTATCAAACACCATGGCAATAGTGTGAACCAAAATGAGTCAATTGAGCATGGTACACGATACACCCCAATTCCAACCGAAAATACTCGTTCAGATCAATGCCTTCATTAAAATGGGTCTGTTGCGCTAGTGATCAGATCATTGATCAAGCCTCAACAGCTCAAAATATTAGATTAGCAAAAATAAGTAAGATATGTCTGAGAGTCAAGTATCTATGTTTGATATCAATAGACATATCCTCCTTCGAAAAACACATCAATTAACATCACCCATCGCATACCATGGTTTCTTCATCTTCATTTTATCAGCAATCCAAGTGGAGCAGCCATTTCAATGGAGATGTTGCATGTGTGAGGAATTTGCGATTTGACTGTTGATTCTTATGCAAAAGTTTGCAAGAAACACGATGGTGCCACTGGTTTTCTCTAAAATTAACTCCCAAGCTCAAAAAAAGCTCTCAAGTTGAGGCCAAAATGAAGGGGACATCCCACGCTATCCTGAGAGTCCACCTCTACATCAAGACAAACTCTCCATGCAAAGATAGGGAACAAATACATTAGCAGGGTTGCTGTGTTTTCAGTTTTGGAGTCCCCAGATAAAGTGGCAGCCCTGTCAATGTATTTGCTCCCTATCTTTGCATGGAGAGTTTGTATTGATGTAGAGGTGGACTCTCAGGATAGCAAGGGATATCCCCTCCATTTTGGCCTCAACTTGAGAGCTTTTTTTGAGCTTGGGAGTTAATTTTAGAGAAAACCAGAGGCACCATCGTGTTTCTCGCGAACTTTTGCTTAAGAATCAACAGTCAAATCGCAAATTCCTCACATATGCAACATCTCCATTGCGAGCATCACTAATTAATGGAACCTGGAACCATTTATCCATTGGATTCATTAATCAATTATGCACAAAGAACTGGCTACCAGTAGCCAGTTGAAGTAGCTAGTTCAAATTTGTACATCACTGATTAATGAATCCAATGGATAAATGGCTCCAGGTTCCATTAGTTAGTGATGCTCAAGGTTGGAATGGCTGCTCCACTTTGATTGCTGATGATTTGAAGATAAAGAAACCATAAGACACATACCAGTATAATGGAAATGAACCTAATACAAATATTGATACTACGAGTATTGTATTGCTGGGTTTACTGAGAGCTGAGAGCCATTGTCAGAGCAAAAGCAATTAAAAGGGAAAAATGAGTTGAAAATAATTACCCAATGAGTTTGCCTTGCACAAGAAACATACTCAACTGATCTCTTGCAGGCAAAATTGCACGAAAAATACGATGTTTTTCCTTTTGTGTTGCTTTCTCATCTCTGCTGACCTTCCGGAGCCAAAGAAGCTCTCAGTTCTTTGCAAATGTAACAGTATGTAGGTTGGCTGGTTGGTAAATATCATAAGTACATCGTGTGTAGTACCAAGATTTCTATTTTATTTAATTTTTTTCATTTGATTTTACAACTCAAATCAACCAACATTACCAACTAAGTTTGAAAACCTAGATATGTCCTATGTCAATTTTTGACTTGAAGCAAGGTATTTTTTGGGTGATGTCTCTCTTGAAATCTGGGTGTTCACATCGATTTCATGGTCTTTTCAGGGTGTCTACAAGTCCGGAAATAGTACTGATTTTCCAAGGGCGGTCCAGAAGTATTGAAAATGTGCGAATTCCGCAAGGAGGTCCGGAATTTTTTGATTTTTTTGTCATTTTTGACGCAATTTGAGCGGGAAATTCAAATTTTTGAAGTTTGCAGAATTCTGTCTATTGTAGGTACTGAAAAAGTACTGAATTTTTCTATGGAGGAGGTACTGAATTTCTTGGGAATGTACTGAAAAAATACCGTAAAAGTACTGATTTTTGGCCACCCTGGTTTAGTAGACACCCTGTTTTTTATTGCTGATACACAGGTTTCCACCACCAAAACGAGAGTCCTTAAACCGCTAAGTGGACAGATTGTATCTTATAGAATCCTTGAGACTTACCTTCATCCAAAAAAATGTGGCCATTATAGTCTTGGTCCTTTTGATCTGTAAACAATCAAAACTATTGTTGGTTCCAATGAATCTCCAAGGCCAAGAAATTCCTCAAGCGCGCATACTCACATACCCATTTAGTTTGGTTTTTTTAATCTCTAACTTGAATTGCCAATGTAATTTTCAGTGAGAATTTATAAGTTATTTTTCCTGCAATTATTTTTTAAGCTGATGAAAACGATCCATCGTCGTACATCATTGATTGGGCAGCAGTTGACAGCTACCAGAAAAAATTCTCAGAGGTAAATGAAGTGAGTGACAGGATTCGCAAAGGAATGTCATTCAACTACGAGTCGCTAGAGGGTTCGCTTATTGTTCCATGGTATCGAGGCTACAACATCTCTAAACAGGTAAGCTTTAACCTTTCCGTTTTTTTCAACAGCCAGCATGAAAAACTTCAGTTAAATATGAATTCTAAAAGTTCATGTAATGAAAGCAAAGATGATGCATGTAATGTGGCTTCCTCCAAAAGAGAATGAGAAAAATACTACCTCTAATTGTTCCTTTGGGAAAGTTATTTCATGATGAGGAACTAAAATGCTACAGGTTGACTTGTTTCCCTTTTGAAGGAAAAAACTGCATCAACACCGAAAAGAAAATACCTACATCCCTTCCTAGAGTATGATGTGGTTTTTTCCTTTTTGCTAACCTCGAGGTTCCTTTTCTTTTAGTAGTTAATTGGTACCTCAAAGTTTTCATGTAAGATTGAAATGAAAAAGAAACTGTTGGAAACTCAAACTGTAGCCATTTAAGTGAAGAAATTTTTCAAAAATGTTAGGGAAATCCCTAAATTCCAAGGGTTTTACAAATTGAATTTTGCCAAATCTTCCAGATACCTTTGTTATTTTCTGCCTCAAAAGCTTTCACTGTGCAATTTGATGATGGAGCTATTCTATCTGTTCTTTTTTCTTTAATGTGTTCCAGTCTTACATAGTCACAAGAATAGCCAAAGAATTGAATCCGCTCTCACAATTCCCTTCGGTTGAGTACCAGACGTACTCGGATTATTTCAAAAACAAATATTCTAAAACAATTTATCACGACGACCAGTATTTAGTAGATGTGTATCCAGTCAACAGCAAACTTAATTGCATCGTCCCAAGGTCAGTATTTCCTCATTCAGCGATCGTTAAGCAACCCTATTATACACTCATCGAGATTTTTGAAAAAAGACCGTTGTGCAGTAGTGGAGGACTACTATTTACGACGATTTACGCTTTATCGACAGTGGAACTCCCACACCACCCATTTTTTTTGAAGGAGAATAAATCAAGATCATTCCGTGAAGTTTTTATAGAACTTCTTTTGCTAAGGAAAGAAAAATCACAGAAGTTTGAAAGATTGACGTTGAGTAGTTTTCCATTTCTAACTGAAAGTATGATGAGAAGTCTGCAACTTCCCAAACTAAGATACGTTCTTTTGGGAGTTTCATTGTCAATATATTATTTTAAAATAGGGACACATACAAAATTTGAAGTCATTGGAGGTATAACACTCTGGAAACAGGGAGTATTTACAAAAGACTGAGGCTCCAAACTACTTTTTAACCACCCGAGTGCTTCTAATCTCTCTGTAAATATAATTCATTTGCTTGATTAACTTCTTCCTCTAACCCAGTTCAATGATGTGATCATATCTGCAAAAGAGTGGGAGGAAAAACCTTCTATCTGCTGTAAGCCTCCGTCGAAGGCATCTCAATTTTAATATTCCTTTGCGGAGGGCTCTTGAACCACCCCAATCCAAATCCAGTCTTCATACAACTAAATTCAACCTTTCTTCCAATTAATTGAAAGACTCTCTGAAAGAAGACCTAAGGGTTTGCTTAACTTTCTCCATTTCTTCCTTATTGAATTGTAACACAAGTCAAAAAAAAGAAAAGTCTACCGAGGAAAATATTTGTTATCCGTCTCTTCCATTGTTTGACGTATCAAAGTGTCCTTATATGTGAATTGTAACACAACTTACCACCTGGTCTTAATATTGACATCATGCTGCTTTTGGCTTGGGATGTGGTTTTAAATGCTTGTACTGTCAGTTTGTAATTTCCATCCTTGGTCACCTACCAGTCTGCCTGGCACTACAACTGAAGTTTATTTTAAAGGTATGAAGACTAATTTTGGCGGAATTAAAAACACAAATCTTTAATGGATTTTCATTATTAGACAAGTTTACTCATGGTATTTTTAATGTTTATCCCCTCAGATTAAGAACTAGTAAGCGAAAAATTGATACAGATCGTGAGCACATGGATGAGACTCTCGTACCTGAGCTCTGTGTTCAGATAAAATTTCCAACTGTGTATTGGATAAAGGCAATATTCCTTCCCAGTGCCCTGCATCGGCTAAACCGTCTTATGATATCGGAGGAGCTACGTCTGCGAATAGTTTTGGAAGCTCAAATGGGAGCAGAATTTTATCCACTAGGTTTGTATTTTTGTCATTATTTACTGTTGGTAGGTCGGATATTCTCAGTGAAACAACAAAAGATTGCAGAATTAAAAGTTGTCTTATCGCTTATTACAATTTTGAATTATGGTTATTGCATCAAATTCTGGTTTTTTTTTTTTCTTTTTTTTCTTTTTGCTTTTTTAAGTATGTTTATCACAATTTTGCAGAAAAATGTCTAGTCATAGGTAATGGTAAAAAAAGATTTTGTCAGGGAAATATTGGAACACTGCAATCAAGATGTGCCTTTTTGCTGTTACATTGTTGATATGATTCCTACATATTTTTGTCTTGAATATGTTGATCTCCGAAGATTTCTGTGCATCTATTTTTCCTTTCTTAAGATCCATTAAAAATAGGGCAAAATTTTGTATGAAATAAACTTTAGCCATTCTTGCTAGGAGGGAACAATTTGACAAAAGCATTTTTTGATGGCAATGCCTCAGCAATTTTTTTTTTTTTTTTTTTTTTTTTTTTTTTTTTTTTGCTGAGACTAGGAAAGAAGGTAGTATGGAATTTTAACTTTAAAACAATGTAAAAGTTAGAGAATTCTAGCATGTTTATAATCTGATATTTTTCTTTTTAAACCGAAGGTAGAGTTGGGGCAACATAGCATTATCCATGAGCAGTTTCATCAATAGAAAAATAAAATGTAATTATAGTATGATGTTCGTTTAAATATTTCGAGTGAGGGAGAATAAAATTTCACTAATTTTGCTCCTCTGGAAGCATTTCAATCTTTCATCTTTCTCTAATGAAGCGCCATTTCACATATAACCTTAAGTGTTTCTCTTTTCTCAGACAAAATTGCTCCCTTAACTGTGGATATAATTAGTGTGGAAAACCTCCCCCTTGTAGAAGCTCCTACTTCACCCGTGAGCACAGTTACTAATTCATTTGAGCGGTCAGTCATGGAGTGGAAAACGGCCAAACGATCGAATGAGTTTCCATGGCTCGACCATGAAATCCCAGCTGATATTGACCGCAATTTGAAAAAAATCTCCATAGTCGATCTGAAAAACTATGATAATTTTTTTGCAAACTCCCCTTCAATTGTCAAGTCTAGGCTCCCAGTTGAAAGTTACCAAAACTCCAAGGTAAGATAACTATTTTCTCATGAACATACGTTTTAAACCGTCAAATCAAGATTGTGTAATTCAGCACTTTATTCACTAAATTTTTTAGAGCATTTGGGTAACAGAGATAAATGAATTGTTCAAAAAAAAGAACTAGATAAGTTTTAGACAAGATCTGGATTCTTAACAATTTCTTTTTAAAGCTGTTGTCCCATTTTACTCACAAGACCCTCTAAAAAAAATCCCTTGAGTCAATCTTTTTTAAACTTGATATGAGAGAGATCATTTCAATGATTCTTGATGATGAGATCTTCATCAAAGATTATACTATTTTAAAAAAAGGCCTCTGAGTGTCTATTTTGATCTTTATCAACTGATTTATTTATTTATTTCACATTTTACTGTATTCCCGTACGAATACCTTATCAAAGACTCGGTAGTACCATACTTTAATCACTACTGGAACTCTTTTTATTCTAGAGGTACATCAGTGCTGATATGCAGTCTTAATTGTCTTTTTTTAACAATTTTCATGAACCTGACGACAAACGTACGATGTAGAGTTAGGAGTCCAGAAACTTAATACACATGGAACATTGATTGGCTCTCTTCAGGGTTTTCTTTTTTCCTATCATCTTTGAAGCAGCCAAATCAATAACGGATACAATTTTAATTTTTTCAAAGAATGTAATGAAGGTTCTTTTTTACAGGTGACTTGCGGTTTAAGCACTTGGAGACCCTCCTCAGTCACTCCTTTTCGCTTATCGATTCTTGAAACTTCTTCTTGTAAGCTTGGACCCCAACAGTGCGAGATCTTTCAGGTAAGGGAATGGATTATTTGGAGGCCTGAATAATTTTTTGAGAGGTCTAAAAAAAGTTGAATACATTTCTGAAGTTGTATCTATTTCTTGTTTCCCAAAAATCATGAACCATAAATGCTCTGGCATCCATCAGACTAAAAAATGATGGTGCTGGCATCTGGTGAACCAGAAGTTGTTCATCTTCTATTTGCAAGACACACAACATCACCCTTTCCCGGCAACAAGACTCATTGAAGGCCCTTTCAGTGGTGAAGACCGATGCAGGTAAACATCGTTTTCATAAATGAGTCAGCTTATCTACACAAACAAACGAAAATAATCTTCTTCTCTTGTGTTTCAGTGCATTACTTCATTGCAAGCTCACGACATTCAAAATTACGAGTATTTGGAAACACTTGGAGATTCTTATTTAAAGTTTGCTGTCTCATTATCCTTGTTTTTATACTGCGGAGGAATTGATGAGGGTAAATTGACTCGTCTGAAAGGAAAGCTTTTAGGAAACCGCAATCTGTTTTATTGTGCCAATGTTTTGGAGCTTGCTTCCTTGTTAGAGGTGAATATTATTCTTGTGACGCATCTATTGAATTTAGCATCAATAATGTATTCATTTTCTGTTAAATTGTTCTATTTTCAATCTGATTTTAATGTGATTACTTTGTATTTGATGATAGATAATTTTATGTAGTACTGAAATTGGTAATAATGGTATTTTTCATATGATATATTCAATAGAGATGAGAATTTTCAAACCTCCATCTATTTTTGATCAAACTTGATAAAAGTCATATCGTAAGTTTTTTCCTACACTCACCAATAGAACTATTTGAGGGCATGTATTACATTCATTTTTCAGTGATGCTGTTTTGGTTCTAATCAGAGATTGACTTGTGCCTTAACCTACGGTGAGCAAGTCATGATATACACCCAGCTGAGTTTGTATTTTACTCGAATTTTATATCTCCCGCTTTACTCACTCTTTTTCAGGTTTATTCTTTTTCGCCAAATGATGACTGGTTACCTCCAAGATTTGGTGTGGAAAATACTGTCAGAGAAGTCATGCGTGAGGCAGAACTCCCACCTGAAGGTTTGTTCCAAATCAATTTCACTGAAGAAGAAAAAATAACTGGTAAGCTTAAATTCTGTTTGCAATAAACAATCACAAAAAAATTAACTGATTCTTTAAATAGAGAATTTATTTACAGAAATCTTAATCTGAATGGATAATGAGTCAGTTTCAGTACTAAAACTTTCTATTTCCATCAATTTTTGTAATAGCCTACAGGAAAAGGGGCTCTAGTCCACAAGAACTCAATTTTGAGTTGTTGATACTAGAGCACAGAGGAGTATTCTATGAACAATTTTGGGCCAAAAAATTCAAAAATATCGAATCATTCCAAAGTCAGGGTGGTTTGATCTATGTAGCTCCAAAAATGTATTTTTAAGATTAGCTCCTATTAAATTCCTTCCCCCTCATGTTCAGGACTTAAAATTGCCAAACTATAATGCTTTCTGTTTCAATATGAAAATCTGATGTTTCAACTCAACTTGTTAATAATTATTTCGTTAAAAATTTTGCCATCGTGGTCTGAGATCCCTCTATACATTTAAGTAATCTCTATCCCAACACTTTGCTGTGAGCACATATTTCAAATTTATCACTCTCTTCTTCTTTGCAGGTGTGATATCCGAGGAAAAAGATGTTGAAGTAGAAAAGAAATTGGTTGAACTTGCCTCTGCAGCTGCAAACGAAGAAGAACCTCGAGGACGCTCTCCTTGTTCAATTTTGTACTTGAATCGCCAAGAAGTGCAGGATAAGAATGTTGCTGACTGTGTCGAAGCCTTGTTGGGAGTTTATGTAAAGGTAATCATGATCTCCAAAATGCTCGTATGAGATAACTGATAATTATCATAACAACCCAATTTAATTTTTCAAAATTTTGCATCCTCTTCTTATCAATTAAGGCGCTGGATGCAAAAAGTTCCCTTCTCGGTTGCAGTGTTTCAGAGTCTCCTCTAATATTTCATTCATTGTAAGGAAAGTAAGTGCATCCATTCCACTAAAAATTCTACTGAATATTCCTCATGATTCTACAATTTTCTATGGAAAGAATTCTGGAAAAATCACCCAGAAGACGCTTCTCCAAGGGATTAATTAGCAATAGAGTTTCTGAATCACCGCAATCGAGAAGTGCCCTTTTCGCATCCAGTGCCTCAATTGTTCATCTAGACCAGACTCCATTGTATTTACAGCAAGGGCTATCCTGCCACCCAACAAACCACAAACTGGACATTGACTTGGAAAACCCTTTTGGTTACGATTTCTCAATTCTCTCCGTCACAGACCTGTTCTTTTATTATTCCAGAAATGCGGTATTCAAGCAGCTTTTCGAATGCTCTTATATTTCGGGATTTTGCCTGACTCAATCATACGCCAAGACCTTGTTTTTGACGATACTTTTGTCCCAGACGTAAGCATGAATCCAGCAGCTGATACCCCACAGCAAGTGGAGTTCCTTTTACAAGAATCCTGTTACGAAGTGTTAGAAAGGCAAATTGGATACACGTTTAAGGACAAGAGATATATTCTACAAGCTTTGTCTCACACTTCCTTTACTCAAAATGTGATCACTGAATGTTATCAACGCCTGGAATTTCTAGGGGATGCAATTCTCGGTATGTACCTCTAAAACATTTCATATTACTAATTTAAAGGGAAGTAAATTCTTTGCTCAGTTTTTTCAAGTGTTAGATAAATTGTTGAAGGCTAAGTCATGGCCGAATTTACGTATTTTCTGCCCTTAGACCGTCAAGATTTTGCCCGTGCCTATAATTTGCCACGGGAGGAGGGCGAGTCAAAAATCATCGAATTTCAAAATTGTATTGGGGAGAAAGTTGCATCTTAGTATCAAACTAATATGTGCCAATGATCATGATTGACAAAAAACAAGTTCAGGTGCTGCTTTTACAATTAGTGCAAAAAAGCACATTAGTTAATCTTTTTGCGCGCGTGGCAGTGCTGTATCTTTGTTTTCCTCTTGGTAATTTTTTTCGCCTCCCCTCAAAATGTGCGCCGCAGGACGCGGCCTTGGTAGCCTATGCCTAAATCCGACTTTGGACTATGGACTAAGGTTTAAATCGAAAGTCAGGAAAAAGTCAGGGAATTCAGAGATTTTGGAGTTGGGGAAATTCAGGGAATTGGGAAGAGAATAAATGAAGGAAAACTCTGCTGAAGATGTAGCAAAAGAGTATTGTTGATTAAACAAATTTTATTTGTAATCAGGTTGGTCGAAAGTTTCAAAACAATGTATCAAATTAATAATGGTTAGTTCCAGGAACGAGTCATTTTTTACTCTCTTTATTTTTAAGACCTTCAATTTTGGAAACTTCTGTGCAATCCACCCAAGCTGATCTTTTTTGATCACTTCTCAAAAACTTAGGCTCCTTTGGAAGCTGAATTCGTTTAAAATATGTATCTTTTAAACAGTTTGCTTTATCCCCTTTTCTGTTGAATCTATAAAATGAAGAAATTGGTGCTTACAATGATCCTTGTTAATAGATAATTTAACCAACGGCAGTTTTTCCTCTCTATCATTTGCTATTTTACCCAGTTTACCCACCTTTTAAGAAAAACAGGAATTAATTTTTGTTTGTTTGTTTTTTCGTTTTACTTACACAAAAATTCATGGTATCTTTTTGTATGAAATTCCATTTTCACTCACATATTTTTCCTTCTGTTTTTTTCAGACTTTCTAATCACGTGCTATATCTTCGAAAAAGGTCAACACCTAACTCCAGGGCAAGTGACTGATGTCCGATCAGCCTGTGTGAATAATGTCACCTTTGCATGTTTAGCTGTGCGGTATAGCATGCACAAATCTCTCCTATGTAGATCTGTGACTCTGCTCAAGGAAATTGACAAGTTTGCAAAATATCAGGAAGGTAAAAACCACAGAATTGGAGAAGAGGTAAGTTTTTTAAAACATTTATAGATGAAATGGTTTCTTTGTAATTATTTTTTGCTTTGCACAGCTGATCTGTTTCAAACGAATCAGATCGCAAGTTGATTCATTTTTTGTCTAATGTCCGTGATTGTCCTCTTGTGAATCATTCAAATTCTAAAAGCCGGATACAATGCTTCAAGAAATATTTTAAAAAAACACCTTGGTAGTCAACATGTTAAAAAAATGAATTAAATGATTGTAAATAGAACAGGATTTGAAGACATAATCTCTCCACTGTGTACAGTGTTTCTCTAAAAATTCTTGGTTATAGCCCAAACGTTGGTATCTTCCTCCTTTGTATTGTAGGTGGATCGAGCTGTCCGTTAGTTGGCAGTAAGTTGTAAGTAAGCTGTCTGATAGGCTGTTTCAGCTGAAACTAAGATTATGTTCACACAATTTGCTGATGAATACAACCAGCAAAATTAGGACTTACAGTAATAATGTTGACAGCAAATGCCTGAAAGTAATAATGTTGATAATTGAGCCTTTTAAGCTGGAATAATCACTAGTAGCTGAAAACATGGGCTAGAATAAATCTCTTGTGAAGTTTTCATTATTAGGCATGCTGCCGAGTTTGGGCTGCAGGAAAACTTCAAAACCACTATTTTTAACAAATTAGTCGTATTCCTAAAGCAACTCTCTGCACAGTATTAAAAAANCAGTGAGGAGTGTATTTCAGACTTTTTTAATGTGACCATCGTAATTTTCGTGTCATTTAACCGCAGAAGCGTCTATTCGCACGGCTGTATCTCTCGCATGCAACAGGCCCATTTGCTGATGAATACAACCAGCAAAATTAGGACTCACAGTAATAATGTTGACAGCAAATGCCTGAAAGTAATAATGTTGATAATTGAGCCTTTTAAGCTGGAATAATCACTAGTAGCTGAAAACATGGGCTAGAATAAATCTCTTGTGAAGTTTTCATTATTAGGCATGCTGCCGAGTTTGGGCTGCAGGAAAACTTCAAAACCACTATTTTTAACAAATTAGTCGTATTCCTAAAGCAACTCTCTGCACAGTATTAAAAAATATTTCAATTTTTACTCTAAAATCGTTGAGTCAAAAAAATATTTTTATGGGTGTTTATTCCACTCAACACCAGATCTCAAGATAAAATTAATGATTAACTGTTTTAAAAAAACACAATGGACCACCAGATAAGATACTAATTTAAGCATTCTGATACATCATTCTTGCATTGAAAATTACTGAAATCAACTCCTCAGTAAGATATTAACGTTTTTATTTTTCATTCGCCATGAGAAATTTGAGTCACAAGAAACGCAATACGCTACATAAGTCCAATCGCGTATCACAACGATTTTTGCAGGCTTCTCGATCGAGCACTGCTCATTTCTCATCCTGTGTTGTTCAAACTGTAAGAAACTTGTTGTAGCTGAGCCAAAGTGTCAAGATTGAGGTTGCCAGATTTTCATATCACAAAGACTATCATGGTAACGTTTCGTGTGCAATTTGACTCACGTAAACCATTGAATTTTCATGAGCAGGAAGATTGAATTCATGTGTCAAGAAACATTAAATATATTGATCTGGAATTAATTTCAGTAATTTTCGTTCTAATTGTGTTCTACATGAAATTTTGGTTAAGGGACATGTATCAGAATGCGTAACTTTGAATGCTTAATGTCTAGTGGTCAATTGATGTTTTGTAGCTGTCAAATGTCATATAGTACAAAGGGGTGGCCCTTTGATGTTGATGAAGTGCATGATCATATTCAAGAGCCACACCAAAATAAGGCAAAGAATTTTTATACGTTGTACCATTGCTCCACAGAATTTAACGCCAGCTGAGTTTGTTCGCGGAGGAAAAATGGAAATTTTGAAACTAATAATACCGTTGCTAAAAAGTCATGAGGTTTGATGAAAGTGTATTTTAATAATGCATGCTCCTCTCTGCAGGTTTTAATTTTGTTAGCTGAGGATGATCTAAAAATCGCTGAGGCCATTGATGTCCCAAAGGCTCTCGGAGATATTTTCGAATCTATTGCCGGAGCAATTTACCTTGATAGTGGCAAAGATTTGAAAACTGTCTGGAGGGTGTATTACAACTTGATGCATAGAGAATTAGGTAAGTGTCAAACTCTGATCTTATTTTTTATGTGAAGCCTCTCTTCCCATTTTTCTCTTTAATTATGATTGATATTATGATGGAATTGGAAATTTCAAAGCTCTTAGAGGTTGGTTAGATTATTAGGTCCTTATCAAGGTGAAACTTTCAAAGCTGTTGCTTTTGATTGAATCGCACACACTAAAACAACCATCATTAGAAAAATCTCAATGATGGAAAATAGCCAAAAAAACTTAGCATGACAGAAAAATAATCACTCCCCCCTACCGAAAAAACCAAAGAAATTTGTTAAAAACCAGTTTTAACTGTTTTGTTCAATGAGTACAGAAAGGATCCTCAAGAATGCCATCGTATTTAAAATAAATATGGTCAGGGCCTTAAATTGTTTATGGTTGTTTCAGCATGTTACAGTTTAATCAAGTCATCGTTTCAACTCATGGTTGATTTCTCCCCCTGCCTTCAAACCACCATGTCTAAATGCTAATTAGTCGGTCTCTTGTGGTGTAGTGGTTGTAGCGCTTGCTCTCTATAATCGGGAAGTCCTGAGTTCAATTCCCCGCCAGATGACCCGAGTTTGATGGTCTCAAACAACGGTTACCCTGGGTTGGCTTAATTAAAGACGGAGGGGGGAACGGGCTCTAGGAACGGTAAAACGCAGGATTATCCCTCCGCGTATATTTGAAGCGAAAAAAAAAAATCTATAATAAGGGAAAGAAAGAGTGGGAGAAGGTCGATTATAAGTTGCCTTGTCAAAGTAAACTTACTCTTTATCGCTTACTGCTTTTATTTATGAAACACAACAAAATGGCTCCAACAATCTCTGGAGATTGTTAAGTGTTGGGTGGAAATGTTGGGCAATCACATGTAACCGGGTGGTATGTAATTGAGTAATTCAAACGGAGTTGAATGATACTGTTCATTTGGCATTCTGTTTCCATCTGGGACTTATTGACAGAAAAAAAGCTTCTTTAAAAGTGTATGGAATGAAGACTCTGCGTCAGTTCTTTGAGTATGTTTTGTCGGAGGGGGAAAAGATACCAATTACCTCAGATTTTTTACCAATAATTTTGAGCCTTAAATTACAATTTAGTTGAAAGTTGGGACTATTATGTTGGTTTTTTCCTCACCACCAAGCTACTTAGCGAATTTGAATAAGTAACTGATTGTAATGGTATTTTTTAAGTGAATAATATTAGATCACGAAAAAAAGTTTCTGAAAATGATTTTCTCATCTTGCTGAATTGTGAAAAGAGAATGGCCAGCTGAAATTCCCATTGAACCATCATTTTTTTTTTTTTTAGTCGTGCGGCGAAGCCGTATAGACTCTAGGTTTCGCCGGAGGCTAAAAAGTGTCCACACTTTTAGGCTAAGTCCAAGAGGAGAATTTTCGAGGAACCAAGTAACATATGAGGTATTGATATCGGTGCATTTTGGCCCAATGGAGATGTTACATGTGCGAGGAATTTGCAATTTGACTGTTGATTCTTGTATAAAAGTNCAGGTAGCTTTTGCTACTTGTTAGTTTTAAAGAAGGTTTCCATTTCTATTTTCAGAGGAATTTTGTAATAAGCCACCAAAGAACGTAGTGCGCAAGCTGCATGAATTGAACATTGATGCAAAATTCTTGTAAGTATAGTAATTGTTACTAAAAGTTAAAAAATAAAATACCAGAAAGATACCCATCAATTTATTGGTTTAGACAATGGAGATGAACCTTTCTAAGTACTTCTCAGATCAGAGACAAAGATATTAATTAAGTCATAGCCATTGGTGTTGTTTTTGTAAAATAGACACTCTTATCACAGAGGAAAAACAAATCATGAGTCAAATTTCCTCATTAGAGATACCCTGTTTGGAGCAAAATCAGCTATGAACTTCAGGGAGACAACTGCATACAGGTTTTGGGTCTATTTGGACTCATCCTCAAAACAGCAAGATCTTTTAATTGTGACAAGCAGCTCTGTTGCAGCCTAACAGCAGATAATTAGGTGGCCTGATGCCCTGATGATGGATCCATATTGATTTGAAATGTTTCTGCAGTTGCCATCACGGTAATTGTTATGATTGTTGCTCCAAACAACATACTCTAAAATAGTAAATCTTGCCCCATGTGAGTTTTTTTACGCTTCACCATGAGCGTTTTTGCTCTACAGAAAATGGTAGCCATGGTTTGATGTATTGTCAAGAAATAAGTGGAGAATCAATTTTACTACAAAGTCACATGAGCAAAATAGACTTGAGAAGAAAATTAAATAACAAACTGTAAGTTTATGAGCCAAGAATAATAAACTGGAATGGAAATAGAAAAGTTTTACACAGTATTTAAAAATTGAGATGTTTCAAGGCACCGCTATCCTTTCTTTCCTCTTGCAGATCCTTCACAATTTATGAATAATCTTACTTGAGTAGGAACAATCGTTTTTCAAACAATGGTTCAATTAATCATAGAATTGTTCACCCTTAGGGATAGGTGTGAGGTCCAATCATATAAACCCAAATCATTAACAAATAACCCATCCTTAACCGCAAATCATAAATACCGCTTCATGATGCTTTTTGGCTCTTTAACAAATTCCTACTTTTCTCATCAAGAGTTTATCATTTTACACAGGCCTACAGAACCAGTTCCTGATGTTGCGGACATTGTTATGGTGCCTTTGGAGGCGCGTATAAACAATGAGATGAAGAAAGTGTTTGGTTTTGGGCGCAACAAATCTGCTGCGAAGAAGGCTGCTGCCAAAATGATCACCAACATAGTGATTGCCAATTCCAATGCTTAGTAATGCTCTCCTCCTCCTTCCACTAAAAATGACTCTATGGCAATTGGCCTCAAATATGACTTTCGCCCGGGTGAAATATTAATTACCACTAATTTTAAATCTGTATCAAGAAATAATGTCAAGAAACATTAAAATAAGTCAAAGTTATCACAAGAACTACAACAAAGATCTATGACAAGAGAAAGGATTTAATCCTTTTGAATATTCTTCCAAAGAGTAAATTACATTCTTGTTTCAGAACTTTGTTGCCATCCCACCAAATAATCGTATATTTTTGCTCTATTCATTTCTTCCAGGAGCTTATCATAAATTAAATTTTATTTATGTATATTTAAGGCCCTTTGTGTTAAGTAATTTTGGGCTTTCAGTTTGTTTTATATCATCACCTTTTCTTCCTCTGTATTCTTCTGCATGTAGGTATGTTAAATTCAAATTAGTTTCTATTTTTGGTAATGAAAATTGCAACAAACTATTAGTTAAACCTTAAATTAGTTAAATCTTGCGAAGCCTTAGTATGAAAGATTTTTGTATTTGAATCCATGTTTGTTGAGCAAACTAGATACATCTAATGTAAATCATAAGCCTTTGTACATTCCTACTCTGTGCTCCATACCATGTAATTACCCTGTTAACTATCCTACTTATGTTGTTTGTAATTAAGTCTCAGAAGGTGCTATATGTTGAATGTTTTCTTAGTTACTTTTATAAATTACGAATCCTAGACTTTTTTCGAAAAAAAAAAAAAATTAAAAAGCTGATAGAACTTGAGCTATTTTAGCAAGCTCAGAGTTTCCAAGTAAAACACGTTCTTTGCCCCTCTAAATTAACCTAGCACTCACGTCTCAGAAGAATCCTTCATCAGTATTCTCATTTATTCCCCCACCAACAAAATATTTCCAAAAAAAGATATTTCCAGCAAATAGAAATAATACAAGACTTTCAACATATACTAATCAAAAATCCTTGTCGATTGTAAATCTTTCAAACAGATTAGAAGAATGTGATCTTTTAGTTCATTTGAAAATCTATTTCAGTATAATCCATGGAAGAGGGAAAGAGATTTTTCATTTTTACATGGCAGTCTAGTATATTATTAATTGTAATTCAATGCATCCACCTTTTGCTACTAATATTTTTATGCCTGAGGCTTTGTTAAACTTGGGTAAATTTACGATGCGCTTTTAAAAGTTTAAAGTTATGTTTGTATGGTCAGGCGCACTTCACTTCTCATTTTGAACTCTGCAATCCTGCATGTTTAGGTTGCATTGAAATGCATTTATTATTGCTCAAATATCTCCTTTATAAATATTTTGCACGTATTTATTATTTATAATTTTTTATCTTATTTTTTCATGTGCAAGGAAAGTAGTTAAATTAGTATTTTAAACTAAGTTCTAGCATTATTCTTTAAAGAGAAGTGGTAGCTACCTATTTGCTCTCTGATTGCCTTCTTTTCTTGCAGCAACTAAGGCATAGCCCTGTCTATCAAAACCTCAAGCTCTGAGCACGAGATGTAAATATAAATAGATAGAGTTAAGCAAAACAGTCACATCTGCATTGCAGTGTTTCGAAATCTCATCTCCTGTTGTAATTTTTTGTAAGGAGACTAACCAATGTCTCCACTCAAAAATAGTTGTAATTTTGCTCGCCTGTATGATGGTTATCTTCACGAATTTTTAAGCAAAAATGATGGTTGGTTTCCTTCCAAAAAATTAAAATAGATGAGATTTCAAAACACCGCAATTGGTAGATGTGGCTGTTTCGTTTAACTTAAGCAAAATGTTACCTAGTTATAAATTAATTTAGTAAACAAAGGAAAACAAAAAACAAAAAAATCAACCAATTTAACACATTACTATATTGGTAAAATACTAAATATTCTCCAAGAAGCAAAAAAGATACCCTCACACCAAACGCTCCAAGAACTAATTGTCTTATTACGTTGTACTGAGCTATTTGTTTTTATTTTATTACTGCTTTGTGATAGTTATTTATTTAAATCATTCTTGTTTATGTTTTGTATATTACTTTCTTTTTATTGTAATTGAACAAATTTTTGTCATGAATAGTTGCTGTAGGCATCAATCCAGTCAAAGATACGAAATGAAAGGATTATCGAATGTGACGTTAAAAAAATCTCCGTGTATAAAATGCATAACAGCGAGGGAGTGATATTGTCTGAACCAATATTTTTAATGTTTATGTAGCATATAATGAAATTTCTGCGTATCGTCACCTTCCGGCCAAAGTATCACAAACACTGTTTGTACTTGGGTATTAAGTTGCCACATACATAAAACGTATCTAACAACCAACCAGACATACATTTGATCTCTCCTCTAAGGTGTCAATGGCTCAAATGTTAAAAGCACCAAAGAAACGTATCTACTAACCAACCATACATACATACATACATACATAAAAATTGCTTTCACAGCGCTCTGCGATGCCTAACCGCCACAGAACTCAGTCCTTCCACAACCTATCAGGGAGTTGGCACTCCCTCATTTCATTTAAAACCCCCTGTCGCCACCCTTTCACTTCGCGTCCTCTTTGTCTTCTCCCAGGAGAAACCCAATCCAGCCTCTTCATTGGCAGCATCTCTTCAGTCATCCTGTTAACATGACCGTACCAGACAAGCTGTTTGGTTATGATGTAGAACATTACTTATCACATATTTAAATAAATTACGACTAACGAAATTAAAACGAAAAACTTTTTCGCTTTTGTAGGCTGAACAAGGAGTGATAAAATTTTTTCAAAAAGTGTTCACTTGCCCGTCAAGTAATCATTATTGCGGACGCGTTTCGCTCTTGCCTGTGGAGCATTATCAGCGCGACTCACGCTGATGATGCTCCACGGGTGGGAGCAAAACGCGTCCACAATAATAATTAATTGACGTGCAAGTGAGTACATTTTAAAATTTTTAAATTTAAGCAATTACAATAAGACTTTACTGAAATGGATCAATATAACAAGCCAATTTGATAGATTGATTCTTTTTACAGTGCCTTCATTTAGCAAGTCTGATTCACAATACCAGCAGCTTGTGCTCGTTTTACTACTCAACCAGATATCAATCTGCTGAAAGCACGGTTACAGTGATTATTTGATTTGAGTGGTGAATCATGGCATTGTAGTTTTGTGAAAAAACATCTTTTATTGCAATTTTTATTTTGTATACAATACAAATAAAAAATTAGTTATATTGTAATCTACCAAAAGACATTTCAACTGTCAACCAAATGTATACAATACAAATAAAAAATTAGTTATATTGTAATCTACCAAAAGACATTTCAACTTTCAACCAAATGTCGATAATGTGAGGAGCTTGCAACAAGAAGAAGTTAACAAAAATTTAGGCAACTCGAGCCATCTCTGGTCTCTCATTTCAGTCCGTAAGTAGGAATCTCCTAATGAGCAGAGTAACTATTTTTTTGTATACAAGGAAAATGCACTGATACCCTGTTGCAATTTAGTTTAATTGTATGTGATATATAGATTCAGTGTTTTCGTCCAGTTTGTGCTGTAAAACAGCTTCAGTACCAGGAAATGAAGCAGTACTTACTTCAAGAAAACCGCTCCATTTAAAAACTGTTGTGAGTGGAAAACAAATTTTAATCTGCAAGAAGAAAATTGGCCAATATACTTTGAGACAATTTCTTTTTTTCTTATTCAGTGTATAATACTACGGATTTAAACAACTCCAAATAAAAAGTATCCTTTATTCAGAGGATTTTAAAAGACCGTTTTGTGAAATTAGGGATTGCCTCCAGGAATAAGTCTACAAATAATTTAAAAGGAGGAAATGATTCAAAAGAAACTAAAATGAAATCTACTTGAAGTTGTCAGGAAAATTTCCGTTCATTTTGTCTATACCTTTATTTTTATATAAGCCTGATTCATGGTAACTCATAAAATTTGATACTTGTTCTCGCTATTGCAAAGATGATCTTTATTTTTAATGCTCAGTTATTTTTTGTATTAAAATTGTTCACATTTTGAAAAGACCACAGTTGTTTTCAATTTATTCTATTTTCAATGGTGCCTGCTCATCATAAAGTCAATCATAACTCTCCCGGAACTGGCATTTTAACTCTTATATCAGCTGCAAAATGTGATCGTCCCTAAGTATAGGAACTTCAAACCCCAAAAACTTAAAGATAACCGATCGATTTCTTAGAGAAGTGATCATGACCATTGTATGACGAAAAACTCCCAATAATTTATAACAAATCAGAGTTTTATGGTTTGAAGTTACAACAATTTAAGATTGATACTTTCAGAAAATAGGCGGTGAAACTAAAGAAATGTTTATCTCCTGAAGGATGTGTTTTAAAATCACCGCTTCCAGCTTTTTTCATAAAACAGGAACAAAGCAAGGCAATGCTTGAAATTTTCAAGGAATATTCTCACACGTACAGAGGAAAAACCAGGGAATAAGTTTTCAAGAAATGACGTCAAGTACTTTTCTGTTTAAGAAATCAGGTATGGAAGGAAGTTTGCAACGTTGCAAACCAAGATAGGTACATGTTTGTGCAGTCCCATTATTGTCAGGAGAATGATCGAATATAGCAGTGTAGGTACGTTTTTATTCCCTCCATTACGGCTTCAACTTGTTTCTAGCAAAATATTACATAGAAGAAGATACTTAGGGTGTAGTTCCGTACTCGGGCTTATTTTCATACCCGCAAACGGTACCCCCTACACAGTTCCGTACTCGGGCTTCTTTATTTAAACGAAGTTGGATTTACATAGAGTACCTTTATAGACAGAGTATGCTTTATAGACAGAGTGTGGCCATTTTTGTGCCGGTTTTTCATTTGTCGCGTGAAAATATGTTGACACGATGTAGTTTTTCTGTAGTAAAAAGATACGAATGACCACACTTCCTCTATAAAGGTAGATTGACATAAGGTTAGGGTATAGGTAACGTTAGGTTAGGTTAGGTAAGGTTAGGTTAGGTAGGGTTAGGGTAGGTAAGGTTAGGTTAGGTAGGGTTAGAGTAGGTAGGGTTAGGGTAGGTAAGGTTAGGTTAGGTAGGGTTAGGTTAGGTTAGGTTAGGTTAGGTTAGGTTAGGTAAGGTAAGGTTAGGTTAGGTAAGGTAAGGTTAGGTTAGGTTAGGTAAGGTTAGGTTAGGTAGGGTTAGGGTAGGTAAGGTTAGGTAGGGTAGGTAAGGTTAGGTTAGGTAGGGTTAGAGTAGGTAGGGTTAGAGCAGGTAGGGTTAGGGTAGGTAAGGTTAGGTTAGGTAGGGTTAGGATAGGTAAGGTTAGGTTAGGTAAGGTTAGGTAAGGTTAGGGTAGGTAAGGTTAGGTTAGGTAGGGTTAGGATAGGTAAGGTTAGGTTAGGTAAGGTTAGGTTAGGTAAGGTTAGGGTAGGTTAGGTTAGGTTAGGTAAGGTTAGGTAAGGTTAGGTTAGGTTAGGTTAGGTATACTCAAGACCAATCCACACAGGTCAGTCATTGCGCAGCTTTTTTGAAATCCACTCCCCCTTCCGCCGTAACTCGTAGCACTCAATGCTACACGAGAATCATCTACGAAAAGCCCGGCTGATACAATCCATCTGTTCCACCACTCATCAAGTACCATCTTTTCCCTCCATTTGTTTACGTCATGAGTGTGTATCGGTCCATCTAGTGTTTTTCTATGAGTCTTGAAAGAGAGAAGCCCGAGTACGGAACTGTATGGGGGTACCGTTTGCGGGTATGAAAATAAGCCCGAGTACGGAACTTTTTCCGATACTTAAAACTTAGATCCCCATGGCAGGCAAGAGCTCCATTAGGAGAAAAATAACACACTGAATGAACACCAGAGTAAATGATTCCATCCTGAAAAAAGTGCAGGCCACGAAGATTTTTAGAAAAATAAGTAAATTATTGTAACCATCAAGACCTTGACAGTGAGGGAAAAAGAGGAAGTGAGAAAATTACATGCCGGAAGGAAGACACAGGTCAATCCAATGAAAGCACAAAATACTGATTGCTAGTATTGATCGGAGCGGCTATGACACCATGCAGATGTGCAAGATTGGACTTGAAAATAATCGAATTTCGGAAGAACGGATAACGAAAGAAGAAAATTTCCTACTCAATCCCTAGTCAAAGCTGGCGCAACGTTCCGTACGACCTTTGTCAGAATCCGAGCACTGTAGTTTTGAGGAAAAACTTGATAAAAAACTTCCGGCGTTGCCAAATTTCCACTGATGAATTAGGAATTTTCTCAAAAACTTGTTTATTGTTTTTTTTTTTAAATTTACATAGAGTTCTGCTCGGGAATTCTCCTCACGCGTGTTTTAATTTCCAAGGAAAATATCCATAACTTTCCTCAAAACTAAATAATTGATCGGGGGAAATCTGGCAGCATTCGAGTGCTAATACTACGTTTTTTCTCAGCACGGCGGAAACGGAATGTCCCGGTCATAACAAACAATACGAGAGGAAGTTCTAAAACGCGTGCTGTCATAGTAAGGAAGAAAACGTCATTCGGGCATTTGAAGGTTGCCAAATTTCGTCCCGACAAAATTTTTATTTTCGAAAACAGTTAAGAATATTTTTCCACAAAAATTTCCGACGCCATAGCTTGAATTGTATAAGAATGATTTTGAAGACATCGCAAGAAAGTGTACACGAAAATTTTCAAGTAATTTTGATTTTCACAGGTGGAAATTTGGCACCGTTTGGATGCGTATATGTTATTTCAACTTAGCGCGGCAGCATAGCCACCGACACCGGGGAGACAGATTACCGAACCCTCTCTGCACGCCCCATTATCAATTTTCGAACTACTGGAAATTGAATCATCAGAGTCCCCCCTCCCCCTTAATCTCTGGAGCGCAGGCTGTGCTCCTAGCATCCGTATTCCTTGCATACCCCCCATTAAAAACAAAAGAAGAGCCCTCAATGGGAGGAAAAAAAATTCAAAATATGGACATGATCTTGAGCGCAGCGAAGCGCCTTTCTCGTGGCAGTAGTTTGTTTTCACAGTCCCACGGTGACACGTGTGGTCCTCGGAAAATCGAGGCGTTCATGTTCAAAATTCGACGTCGCGAGTGCACAGTACGGGTAGTTCTTCCGACATGGGGGAGGCATCGTGGATATTATTGCTGATCTTGGTTTGTGTGTCGACTGTTCCTGGATTATGCTATCGGATGCCCAATCTGACCATGGAGGCCAGGTATCCCTCCGGCTTCAGAGTTTTCATCCCAGGTACATTTCGCAGTTATTTTTTGGCGACTTTAACGCAGAGTAAAAAAGTAGAGAATGCATACTTACAGTATCTTTTCTTGATTTTTAACTCAATTAGTAAGAAATTGCACAATGTGCAACGTCGCGAATCGAGGGCCTTGTTCTGTGTATGCCACTCAGCTAGTCCTCGGAGACTTTAACGCAGGGTTATAAAGTAGAGAATGCACAGCATGACTTTTCTTTTTTTTTTTTAAACCGATGAAAAAATGAAAAATGTTGCGACTTCTCAATATTTGAGGTCCTTGTTTTGCAGTATCTCATCAATGGGTATGTTTCGCAGTTATTTTTGGAGACTTCAACGCAAGGTATAAAAGTAGAGAGTGCATGCCATGGCTTTTCTTTTTTATTTATAAAGAGAAATAATCGAAAATTTTGCGATGTCTCAATTTAAGGTCCTTGTTTTGCAGTATCTCATCAATGGGTATGTTTCGCAGTTATTTTTGGAGACTTCATCGCATAGGGTATAAAAGTAGAGAATGCATACCATGGCTTTTCTTTTATTATTTAAATTGAAATAATCGAACATTTTGCGATGTCCTAATTTGAGGTCCTTATGTTGCAGTGTCTTATCAATAGATGTGTTTTTGCACAGTTATTTTTGGGAGACTTTAACGCATGGTTGATAAGTAGGGAATATATACCATGGGTTTTCTTTTTTATTTAAACTTAAATACATAATGGAATATTTTGCAAATATTTCGCAAAGACAAGAGCTTCCTCCAATTAATAAAAGGAGCGTGGAATGTAGTTTGACTGTATCTGGTTGTGGCTTTTCGCGCATTTTAGCGCAATATTTTGTTTTCATGAGAGTTAAATAAAGATGAATTAAATCAAAACCCCACAGTAAGATATGATATTTTTAAAAACAAGTCAATAAAATTTCTGTCATCTGTAATACTTGATTCCGTTTAATTTTTCAGTGAGAATGGCTAAAACTTTCTCTCGAGACGTTCCAATTTTCAAAAATTTTCTGGGTGAGGCCCCCTGGACCCCCCTCTGCAGCCGGGAGAGTCCCCCCAGACCCCCTTTAGCCCAAGGTCCTAAATCCTCCTGCGCCTCCCCTTAGAAAATTCTTAGTGCCACCCGCGCATGGCAACGTTGCATTTTGAGGTCCTTGTTTTGCAGTATCTCATCAATGGGTATGTTTCGCTGTTATTTCTGGAGACTTCAACGCAGCGTAGAACAGTAGAGAATACATATCGTGGTTTTTCTTTTTTATGTAACGTGAAATAATAGAAAATTTTGCGACGTCGCAATTTGAGGTCCTCGTTTTGCAGTGTGCTATCGCAATGCATGCGTCAGGAATGGTAAGACCCGATTCTTTCACATTATGTTTTAAGATCCTTTTTCTCGCTAATGTCGCAGGGGCAGACTGGCCATGGGGGCGGGGAGGCGATTGCCTCCTAACAATTTGCCGCGGACGTCCCGAAGGGGCCCCCGCGGCGAATTTTTTCGAGTCATCGTTTTTTCCCCCGTAATGTTGTAATTTTCCTAGCCTTTTCAGTCACTAAAAGGCCCTAAAATCCTTGAAAATTTTGGCTCTAAGAGACATGAAAGGTCGCCAAGAGCTATGTGATGGAGGGGCCCCCGAAGAATCCTGCGAATGGATTATTTTGAAGTTCAAGAACTGTAGAATTTAACTTCAATAATGCTTAAAATTGCGTTTAAAAAGTGTGAAATTTCCAAAATTTTCTGGGGGAGGGCCCCCGGACCTTCTTAGAGGGGCCCCCGAACGACAGGAGGGGCCCCCACATTTAGGTCGCCTCCTAACTTTTCGACTACCAGTCCGCCCCTGATGGTCTCATTTCGAAAAATGAAAAAAGCTTTACGTTTGTTTCATGCATAGATCAAAGAGGCATCGAGGAGTTTGGATTCAACGCTAACATCAATGAGCCGCTGGAGTCTTACGAGCCTGGCGAAATATCAGCAGAAGTCAAAGAGAAGACCGGTCGTTTCTGGATTTTCCAAGATGACGACGTCGGTCTAGAGCCGGGCGACGCTCTTTATTATTGGGCTTACGTTGTGTTCAGGGGTGTCGTCTATAAGAGAGTCCGCCAAAAATGGGTCTGCATAAGTAAGTCACCACATTAGCTTTCCTCCCCCTCCGTCTAACTCTTTCTCCCTCTTCTTTTTAACATTAGCCACGAAGGAATATAGTTCAAAAGCAGAGTCCCAATTAAGTAGCAAAATAGAATTTTTTTCTAGAAAAAAAAATATTAATACAATTTCTAGAAAAAACAAAGAAAATGAGAGTTATCCAGAAAATAGAGAGGAAAAACATTGCGAGTCAAAAGTCTGACCAAAGAAAATAGATCTATTTCATAGGTCTACTTTCTGTCAACTTCCCATTTGGAAAAAAGATAGAAAATTTATCGAAAGTAGAATTATTTTCTAGCAAATTTCTAAATGTTTTCTTTTAAGAAAATGCAAGGAAAAAATGTATTTTTTTTTATATTTTCTTGTGTCTATTTTCTAGATCTACTTTATACCTATTCTTCTTTCAAGAAAATTGTTCCATTTAGAAAGTAGACACTTTCTTGATAAGCGCCACCTAGAAAGTAGATGACAATGCTACTTGGGGTGGATTAAGTCTTTTGAAGAAGTCGGAAATAAAATTTTCGTCAAAAATTGTAAAATTTTGCATTTATCTTGTCACAATTTTAATTTTAAGGAGTGCTCTATACAGAAAATTTTACGAGAAAACCAGTGAAACTACCTACTTTAAAGACATCAAAATTTCATTTCAATAAAGATATACGCTTTCAAAGTTTTTGAATCATGTCCGACCTCTCCCACTGACTCGATCCATTGTGCGCCGGTGGCGCCCTGTCTAAATGACATAGATTGCAATTAAATTGCATGGTCACAGGAAAATTTTTCAAATTGACGCCTTATTTATGATGGGATGCAACATTTTCAACGTAAAATTTTCAATTTAGTCGATTGAAATTGCAGCTTTAACGTTTGATGCATGTTGCTCTTGTCAGTAGAACAAAACCTTCTTTATTGTTCACTAGAAAAAATCGCAGTTTTAATTTTGCACTTCCGCAGATGTTGCACTAGAATGCTCTTAAATTGTTAAAATAATTTAAACTTGTTGAAATTTATCGAACTGAGGTTTTACCAATAATTGTAAATTGCCATTGCTTGCTGCCTGGGGGTGCCACTAAGCACCATAAACATTAGCGCTTGGGTGCATCTTTGAACGATCGAGGGGTGCCTATAGTATTGCATACTTGAAAAATGAAGGCGTTTTAGTTTTCATCGCAATATCGCACTAACTTGCGATGATGCGCGCGCCCCGCACAAACTGTTCCAAATGCCAACTGCTGGCTAGCATAGCATAGTGAGATTAATAATTGCAGTGATTTGCAGCTCTTCGAATACATTTTTTGTATCATTAGTGCAGCAAACTAAGCATAAAATATTATCTGCTTTTATCCCCTACTTTTGAATTAAAATTTGTCAGTTTTTTGAGAGGTAATAATTTAAAATTAAAAGAATCACGTACCTACTGGGTTGCAATCGCCTCTATTTAAAATTTTAGAAAATTTCATCACCTTAGGTATTATTGACACCAAAATAATATTGACGGTAATGCTCCCAAACCACGTGTCCCAGTTTGCAACGTTGCAGACTTTCTGTTATAGGTACTTTATTTTTTAAACCTAGAACTGCTTGACGCAAATTTTTATTATCTTCCGTGAACCTTTTTCTCTTTGAGAAGTAAATCCTGAAAAATTCAAGGTATGATGTGGATTTTTGTTCTTCTTGTGAAGAAATAAAGTAGGAGCGGACATTTTCAACACTTCAAACGACATGAGTGGTTTGGGAGTTTTACGGCCGATATAGGTACAGCGGTTTTGCTCACAGTCTTTTCCACCAACTAGCCACTATGAGCCTGTTACAGGACAAATTCTCTGTATTGAAAATTAATATTTTCAATCCGTTTGCATTCAGTTCACTCTTTTGCATGTCTTTTTTGCAGACTTCGTACGAGAATTCTCGAATATCACCCTCCCGAGACGCCCTAATTCCCACCCGGGGAGACCGCCATTCCTGCACCCATTCGGACCTTTCTCGCCCCATCCGCCACCGGCAAATTTCACGACGCCTCCAACGTTACCCGCCATCCCGCTCTCAACGACGAAGCGTTCAGTCGACACGACCACCAGCCCTCCACCCCCTCCTTCACCGCAACCTACGACTCTCCCACCCAGAACCGCGCCACCGGAAACTCAACCACCCCCTACAACGAGGGCCCCCCAACCAGAAACCACAACCGCGCAACCGGAAACCACGACTGCGCAACCGGAAACAACGACCGCACCACCGGAAACTACGACCGCGCCACCGGAAACTACGACCGCACAACCGGAAACGACAACTGCGCAGCCGGAAACTACTACTGCACAACCGGAAACGACAACTGCGCAGCCGGAAATAACGACTTTGCAATCGGAAACCACGACGACCGGAAATGAGGTAGCTACGACGTCACTTCCTGTTGCGACACCGAACTTCTGCAACGAGAGCGTGCCGACGGATCCGACGGAGGATACTATATCGACGACGGTTTCGGACGCGACGGCGCGGCCTTTCGCGCCACCCGTCTACTGGCCAAGCAACAGAGAGGATTGTTTGAACGTCTGGTCGCCGACCTACCGGCCCTTCATGACCCGGCTCAAAATGACCAAGACTGTGATTCTCCTCGAGTGTCAAGTCATGAGTCAAAAGAGGAAGATGACTCGGGTCCGCTCTGAGCTTTTTAATCTGAGCAAATTCAACTATGAAGTTGAGGCAAGGCTGGAGGCGCTTGAGAAAAAAATCTACGGCCATCCCGAGGCCCAACCACTGCAGTTTGGAGATACCAAAAGATAAATGGGTCAATTTCTGCCGTGCTCAGAAGACACTGTGTGAACAACCGGACGTTGCCAAATTTGTTCTTATAAAATAGATTTTTCTTTGCCTTAAGAGAGGTTGTGAAAGAAGTAAGAGAAAAAAATATTCATAACTTTTCTTTGAAAATAAATACTTTAACGGAGGGAATTTGCAAATATTTGAATGATACGGATACGGCGCTTCCCCCCAGCATCATATATTTATTCTCTCGAATCTGCACTTTCGAGTTGATCTTAAGCGCCCACATACAAAAAGTGTCAGGTTTAGTTTTCTTGCCTATAGTTTCAGGTTTAGCCACAAATTATGAAACAGTCATAAAACAGGTCATCTATTGCAAAGTTATATACCATGGCTGTGATTTTGTCTGTCATTAATTGGACGTATTTCTATCAAACGGAACTATGTGCATTGCGACATGAGCCTTGAGACCCATAAGAATATGTGCACAACAGGGCTCACGTCATAATGCACATAGTTCTGTTTGATAGAAATACGTCCAATTGTTACCGTATTTATTATTAGTGAATAGAGAGATATTTTAGAGATGGCGTGAATAACCGCAAAAATGGAAGGCATATGCAGTTTTTGTTTGAGCTGTTGTTATGTGAGAAAAACTATTATTTAGCAACGACTGCTAAGTAGGTGGTCAATCCTGATCAACCCGTGAAATTGAGGTAAAAGGTAAAAGTACCTATATCATGCACGTGCGCACCTACAGGTTGTAATATTGCAATGCTGCTATTCCAAAAACGTTGAGCTATTATTTTTTTTAGTAACAAGCTACTGTATAAAAATTTATAGTATAATTTAATTATTTATTTCGTTAAAATTCTATTAAATAAAATGTTTTTTCAAATGTTTTTTCTTGTACTTACCCAGGCGTATACTTCCTTATATCATAATCTAATTTCAAATAAGTCTTTGCAATTATTGCAGAATATTAAAATTAAATTTTTTTAAAACCAAATTCAGTTATAACATGGCTTGCCGTGAAAGCTAGTTAAAGACGCACTTTTCTAACAGGTGCGCTTTTTCAAATAACCCGCTTTCGACGAATAAGCGTACCAATGTAACTCAAAAAAAGCACCACTGAGACAAATTAGTGAAATTAGGCCGTAAGAAACATAAATAAAACTCAATAAATTATTCTTATCATGAATCATGATAGAAAGTACTCGTAACTTTTAAAAGCTGTCGCAGCTTGTAAGAGAGATTTTTGGAATTTTTTTTCGGAGAATAATCATAATTTTTTTAAAAAAATATTCTAGTAGTTTTTTTTACATGACATCTGGATTTCCGTGATCCACGTCACAAGATGGCGCATAATTGTTGTGGTTAGAGAGGCAGAGAGCAGACTCTGAGAGAGAGAAATTGAAAAGGAAAACCGGAAACCGAAATGTGTCCAACGATTCAGAAAGTCTCTGGTCGCTCCCCAATAATAATGTAATATTAAGTTAACATTTTTTTTAAAGTCTGTGATTCTATTCGTTGATGAAAGTGATCTTACTCTCAACTCTGCTGTTCAGTATTCTATGGTTTCTCCCTCTCGTCTAGTTTTATGATCTCTAATTGGAAGTCACTAACCAGGTGACAGAATCATTGTCGTATCAAAATGGCAAGTATAACTTAATTTACTGTGCTTTTAGTCAGTAGCTTTGTCTACAAGAGCTTCTCAACAAGGGCTGAGTATTTATCTTGTGGTCTGAATCTAGAGGTGCACTTTGAAAACCCTTGCGTACTTAATGCTGTTGCGACATTTGTATTCCACTCTGAACAGGTTCACTACAATCCCTTTTATGTACGCTATCTTATACATGGATTCACATCATAAATTTCACATGAATGCTTAAACTTAATTTGAGTGCGATCGGAGTGAATTCTCTCTTGAACTGCACCCTCTGATTTTCGTACCTCGACCATAAGATTTATCTCCCATCAGAACTCGTGTTAGTGCACACTTATTAGATCGGAATTCAACCAGAATTGAAGTGGTATTAATACATGTCATGAGTTTGATTGAATTGCCTCTTTTCATTGATTGCCGTATGTGTATTTATATTTGCGTTGAGAGATGCGTGTTGAAAGTGCTTGCTTTAAGGTCACCATTGGGGGTGTAGTTCGGTACTCGGGCTCCTTTTTAGACCCACCAACGGTACTCCCTACGCAGTTCGGTACTCGGGCTCCTTAATTTAAACTTATTTAGAAGAACATACGCCATGATTTGACGCGGCGCCTACGTTATGCCATGACGGCAGAATCACGGCCGAAAAGCCATTCAGTGGTACCAACTTAACATGTTTTTCACTAAGCCGCGGGGCGCCGCCTACGCAAACTCATCAACGGTACCCCCTATGCAGTTCGGTACTCGGGCTCCTTAATTTAAACTTATTTAGAGGAACATATGCCACGATTTGACGCGGCGCCTACGTAAACCCAATATCCACAAGCCTGAGTAGCCCAACCTAAGGTAACTTACCTGACGTCACGTAACGTAACCTACCCTACGGGCCCACAAGTTAGGTCGCGAAGCGACCTAACTTGTAGTCCTGTAGGTTAGGTTACGTTACGTTACGTCAGGTAAGTTACCTTAGGTTGGGCTACGTAAGGCAATGCTCGGGTAAGTTAGGTTAGGTTAGGTTAGATTAGGTTAGATTAATTTATATTTCATTTTTAAATTGAAAAATTACGCTGAGAATGAAGCGTATGTGAAAATAGCCCCACTTTACGTGAACTCCGGAAACCATCTCTGCAAAGTAAATTTCATTCAAAATGTGTTTGTGATTGATTACGGGCATCGTATGTTCTTCTAAATAAGTTTAAATTAAGGAGCCCGAGTACCGAACTGCGTAGGGAGTACCGTTGATGGGTCTAAAAAGGAGCCCGAGTATCGAACCTCTTCCACTATTGGGACCACATTGTACATGAGTGTAATCATCTTGAATCTCAGTACTGAATTTTCATCTAATCGTCTGCATGAACTAAGAGAACATTCTTAGGCTGCAAACTCTGTGCAGGGATGGCAATTTTGAATCAATTTTTTGTTCCTAAAATTTGATTTAGTAAATTGAATCAATTTTTCGAGGTGGATTAATAATCATAAACGATTTTTCGAGCCGAAATTGAATTATTGAAAAAAATTGAAATTTGGACGCTCGTATGCCACATAAGGCCTAGGTTCTGTGAGACCTAAGTTTCATTTCAAGTTCAGTTTTTGTAGTATCTATGTTTTGGGGCTGAAGTTGGATTTTCAAGCGTTTTAAAAATCAACGCCAAAAAATCGATTTTTTCCATCCAATTTCAAATTGAATAAATTTTTTACCGAAAATCAAATTGATTTCCCGAAATTGAAACCGATTTCCTGAAATTGACTTTTTCGAAAAAATTGCCATCCCTAACTTCGTGGATTGCAAAGGAGAACAATTGAGTATCTGACATCATAATATGTATCTAAGTCCTACCAAAGCTAAGCGCTGACCTCAGTGAGGTCTTACTTGGTATTTGCCTCAGTTCTTTCTAATGTTCCTGTCCAAATATTAACCTGCCATCTTCAATTGTGTTATTGTTTCAATGTGGGCTTTAAATCTTTGCTTGAACCTGAAAATATTACCAGTTCTTGGCTGACTTTGAAGTAGAAGAAATAAACTGTGGGGATTGAAAATGTTACTGAAAGATCTATACTAAGACAACTAAATGGGAAAATAAGAGCCCACAGATATTTAACCTCCTTCTGCAAGAGCGGCTACAAGATGATCTGTTTATCAAATTTACCAAAATTCAGCTTGGCTTAACTTGAAAGGAATACCTATTGCAAGGGCATTTAAAGGTCCGATGAAGGTACCTGCTTAAGGTAAAAATTTCATTCTGTATAAATCATTGGTATGAACCCCACAAAAATTGCGGTTTCATTGTATTTTTGCCCATTTACAGTATAGTAGAGGTACAAGGTTTTGCATTTTGGCCATGGATACGGCTTATTATTTGTGAACATTGTTGCAAGATCATTTTCACAGGTATTTAACGAAGTTGTATTTTTACAGATGCAATTCATGTTGTTATTTAGTCGGCAGGGAAAACTTAGACTGCAAAAATGGTATGTTGCTCATCCTGATAAGATCAAAAAGAAGATTACGAGAGAATTAATTGCCACAATTTTAGCTAGAAAACCAAAAATGTGTAGTTTCCTGGAATGGAAAGATCTAAAAATTGTTTACAAAAGGTAAGATTCTGAAATTTCTTTGCCCTCCAATGTTTGTTTTTTTTTTCTTCTTAAATAGATTTCATTTAAAAATATCGTTATTACTTACTACACTATGTACCCATCTTCTGTCTTTCCACATGAAATAAATAGCTTATTGCCAAAACGAGATTCTTCGCCTGCCCCCCCTTCAATTTTTATGGCAATTTAGTACCATGAGAGGAGCCTCCTCGGGGTCATTTTAATGTCAAAAATGAAGTATTATAATAGATCTAGAAGCGTAGGATTTATGAATGACTATTATTCCTGTAAGATTTAAGTGCGGAAAACGTTAATCACAATGGGCAAGAATAATCGCCAGCAGATACTCATTCTCTCCCTGTAAAGATACTTTATTCTGTAAATAAGAAAGAGAAGAAACTGATAGAGTTTAGCAGTAACAGAAGTACTTCTCGCTTGGAAGTTTATGCTCCACAGCCACTCCGCACACTTCACAGCCTCCCGGATGTTTTTATTCCTCCTGGAGATACACAGTTCCTGCCAACTGTAGGTCTTACAAATAAACCGCTCAGCAATACGGACTTATCTGTGAAAAGACAAAAGAAATACGGACCATGTATCCAAGGTCACCATTTCAACAATTTATCGCTTGTCTTCAATTTAACTGAGGGATTGAGCAGAGAATTATGCCAATTCCAGTCTTTATACAACTGAACTTCATTGATGTAGCTTGAGCTACTCCTAATTAGAAACTAGACAGGCTCTTTTTGAAAGAATGATGTGTCCTTCACTTTTTCTCTTAATTTTATTCAAACAAAAGTTTGCAGTTTTGTTGAAAGAAGAATTTTACTTTCCATTTCGCTAATATCTCGTTATATGTCTTATCACATTTTGCAAGAAAATCTGATTGCAAGATTATTTTTCAATTAAGTTATGTCCATTAATTTCATCTCACATTGTACCTCACCCGGATGTTTTTATGTATTGTTTTTTTCTTCTTATAGGTATGCCAGTTTGTATTTTTGCTGCGCAATTGAACAAAACGATAATGAATTGTTAACTCTAGAAATTATTCATCGATATGTTGAATTGCTGGACAAATACTTTGGCAGTGTAAGTAGCTTGAATTTATGCCTTTCTATCTTGTACTTAATTGTTTGTATAGTTTCTATAAATTTTCTTTCTCTTTCTTGATCCTTTAAAAGAGGGAACTCACCTCCTACAACCAAATGTGGAGAGAGGGATTATAGTTTGTTAGGGAAATTTTTTCAGTAGGAAGTTTTTTTAACATCAGGTTGTAAAATTGGTATTTGAGTGCTTGATTAGACATGTTCTCCATGATTTGAAAGAATATGTTTTGAGTTGTTTAACTCAGACAGCTAAGCATATGAGTTTCTTTGAGCTTGAAATGTTGCATTCTGAAACTTTGAATAGCCTCTTTTAACTGAATTTTTATTCTTAAAACATCAGACTGACACTACTCTAATATGATTTGACGCTTTGGAGTGTTTTTGTACGGCACCTCCCTGTGCAATGGTAACAAACTCAAATTTAAGTTTTTTAGTTTTAAGGTTCCTATTCCTCTCCACAGAACCTGTTGAAAAAACTGTGAAAATAAATTCTAACTGATACTGATGCTGACCTGACCCATCATGGAATGTGCCTTTAAACATAGAGATGCCCAGTTCAACTGTTCACTCAAGAAGTTCAGCTTAAAAATCAGCAGCAGAAATTCGCATTCTTTGATCAGGGCGCTTAAAGAATTTATCATAGTGTTTTGAATAATGGGGTGGTTGTGGTTTGTATGAACATTCACCATTTATATCAAATGTTGATAATCTTAGCGTAAAACTTGGCGTTCTTGGTAACAAATATTACCTATCTAATAATTTGCAGGAAATTTTTTAAAAAGTTGTCANCCGGTGTTTCTTTAACGAGGAGAGATGATGATAGACTGCCATATTATTTATTGGTTTTGCAGACTATGGCCCACCACTACCAAAAACCTCTCATTTTTTAAAACAATGTAGGTACTTTGCTCACTAATTGGAGACATTTCAAAGAATTATCTGGTTACCTTGAGCTTCAGGATAGTCAATTCCTTCTCTTTTCTGATATTAATTGAAGGAATGATGAATTGATCAAATGAACTAACTTCCCAATGTTCAATTAATCTACTGTAAGATTAAAAAATAACTCATATTTCATTTCATTTATTATCATATCATCTCGTATCGCAATGGGGTTCTTGGTAGCATTTTTTAAATCGGCCTTTATTCACCCCTCTATCTTCCTACGAATTTCCCCTTCAAAGTGTTGCTTTTTTTTCATGGGCCATTATAATTTTCCCCGACCCAAATACATTTTTGGTCATAGCTTTATTTGCTCTGTCCTGCAGGTTTGTGAATTGGATATAATCTTCAATTTTGAGAAAGCATACTTCATCTTAGACGAGCTTTTGCTAGGAGGTGAAATCCAAGAAACAAGCAAGAAAAATGTGTTAAAAGCCATCGCTGCCCAGGATCTACTACAAGAGGTTAGTGATGGTGATACTGCATTAGAACTGTAACATTTGGCTGTCACTCAACCACTAATCTGATTGTTTAGTCAAATTTTAGGGCAAAGCCACATATTTAATTGGTTAAGGAAGGTTAGTTAGTCTCAGAGTCTTTTTTACTCTCTCCATCATTCAAAGCATAATATATTTTTCATTGGTGATCCATTCATCAATCGGAAGATTTCCTTTGCCAGGGAAAAGCTTTTGTTTGCTCGTATTAAGTATGCTTCAATAGATTTATTTTAATTAGTTTTTAATGTTTAAATTCAATCTTTTTTGGGAGATCGGAACTTGCCCTAACCATGTCCAGCCACCCCAATCCATAAAGTCAGGGAGAAAAAAAATAATCCATTAATCTTTTAACATATAGGTATGAAAACTAAATTTCTCATCTCTCACCAAAGATAATAAACTTTTTATCAGAAATCTTGCAAAATCTATTCGCAGCATGATCTTTTTACCGTCTCATTTTTAAAATTTCTTTAATTTTCATAATTGCTGCACATTTTCACCCACTTGAACTTAAATTATTTTTTGGGGCCCCACTCTTCCTTGTATTCAATCACTTGAGCACAGCAGGTTACAAAATTCTGTTACAATTGAGTACTTGAGTGGAGTAGAACATAAAATTGAGCTGCCAGCAACTTTTGATAGTAAATTTTGAACCAAGGATCTTCATTAGTTTAGAAACGTCCCTACAGAATGCAGCCTATCACTTTATCATTTAGCAGATCAAGTTTTTCTGTCAATGATGAGTGGACACTCTAGTAAAGCCCAGAAAGTCTGTTGACTGAAAGTCGGCACTTGAGTGCAAAGGGTTGGTAATGTACCTATCCATTTTTAAAGATCATTATTTCTAAGGCAGTTTTAACTATCAAGCAATTAAAACTGGCAACAAATGCAAACATCTGTTTTTCCAGCGAGGTTCATCAGGAAGTTTTTGATGTATGGATCATTGCTTATTTTATTTTTTTGTTTTTGTTATCTTTCTTTACTTTTTTATATATTTTAGCGGCAAAACCCGATTTCAGGCAAAACTAGTTTTGCCTAGGCAAAAATGTATTTTTCCAAGGAATCTAGTTTTGCCTGCGCAAAGTAGGCAAACCTAGTTCCGCCGGAGCGCTGTCAGTTTTGCCTGAACACGACGAGGCAAAACTAGTTTTGCCGGACCAGAAAAAGTACGTAAACCAAAACTAAAAAAAAAATAAATTAATAAAAATAAAAAATAATAGACTAAGATAAAAAAAAAAAAATTATAAATAATTAGATTCTAAAGGCTTCAAAACACAAAACTTAGTCAGGTGGTCCTGGTAGTTTAACACGAATTTAAATTGACCATCTGCTTGTGATTGGTAGCCAATCAGGTTGACCTGGCACCTACTATTCATCTGAGAGTGCTCTATGGGGTTAGACACAACGCCTCTTTGTTTCTTACTACGTTTTTGTTGACATGTTTGGCACATAGAAAGGAAGAGAGTAATCGTGTCTCACGTAATATTCGCGTATTTTTTACTGGATTCCACTTCCAGTCGATCCCTCCCCCCGTGACCATTTGCGCAATGTGCTTCCAAGAGCGCATCAAAAATTTAATGCACTGGCAGAACTAGTTTTGCCGGACTTCATCAATTTTGCCTGAACATCAGCAGGCAAAACTAGTTCCGCCTACGGTCGGCTAGTTTTGCCTACGCAAATCAGGCAAAACAGGTTTTGACTAGGCAGCTCTAGTTTTGCCGGTTCATTTCTGGCAGAACTAGATTTGCCCAGGCAAAACTGAGTTTTGCCTGGAATCGGGTTTTCCTGCTTATATATATATATATATTTGACATTTATTTCAAGATTAAAATAGATCAGATGCTGAGAGAAATCATCAAATCTATCAGCAGTGTAGTACAATGCTAGACATAAGAGAGACATTTAGTCTACTTTGAGGTTTTGGAAGTTCTCTATCTTTTATTCTAAGTAAGATTTTTGGGAGTTTTCTATCGCTCAGTTTAATTTGAGTTCTTGAAGTTTTCTATCGAGATGAATCTAATTGATCCAAGGACCAGAACCACCAGTACATTTCTGCAACTATACAACCAATGTCTTCAGAGAAGGTCATGTTAGTTAATGTAATGTGATATAAACGTTTATGGACCGTAATGGTAGTAAAAAAAATCGTGAGCAATAGTAATCAAATTTTTGAAAACTTATTGCACCTTTTTTCGGAAAAGAAGATAAATGGATACTGTTCATAGACTTGACACCTATGAAGATCAGATAACCTATTATTATCTTTTCCTACTGCATTATTTCAAAGTTCAAAGTTCTTTTCTCTATTTTTTTTTTTTTTTTTTTTAAATATTCTATAAACTGTCATCGCTGTAACATACTACTTTCTCAATATTTATGCTCCTATATATCATGGTTTTTTTTATTTTTTCGTTTAATCACAAGGTTACAGTATTAATGTCTTCTTGAAGACTGCAGTTGTGTAGCAGCGCAATGTAAGTATGTAGTGGTTGTTTACATACTTAGATCTTTTAAGTTCACCTGGACGGAAAGAATTATTGTAACCCCTAAAGAAATCGCAGGTTTTAGTTGGGGTCTGTAATTGTTTACTTTTAAACAGGGATGCTTTTATCGAATTTAATTTACTGGATTTTAGAGGCTAGTCTACTCATGACATACTTGTGAGTTATGTAGGAGGCTGCAAGGAATGTAGCATACTGAGTGCCATTAATTTATTTTCTGCCCGTTTGACAAAGTTCTTATTTGTTATCATTTTTATTGAAGCAAAAATGTCTACTGGTCACTAGTAATTCTGATTTTACTAAAGCATAACAGGTGTAACTTGACACCTAACTTGGCTTGACCTTAACTTGGCTACAGTTTTTAATGGGTTATTCATCAATTCACTGGTGTAAAACAGCAAATTTTAGCCTTTTATGGGAGATTTGAAGCTACTAAATGCTACTTAAGTGCAAGTGGAAATATTATGATTTCTTAATGCATTAATAATACTTCTTCCCTGGGTTTTCCCTTGTCCCATATAAGTGTATGAGTAGTGCTTGGTAGCTATGAAACTTTTGCAAAGGCTCTGCAAATTCTCCTCTTACCCTAAACTTCCCTTAGCCATTTCTTGAAAGCATAGAAAATGCTGTTAATTTTTCCTCACTGGGCCTGTTGCAAACTTCAGCTAGAAGAAAGAAAAGAGTTGTTCCTCACAGAAAATGGCGCATAAATCACGATGAGCGCATTGGAAAAGTCTCAAATACACTCCTAACTTAAGTATCTGCGCAAGAAATATGCGTTTTTTAAGCTTCTCGCTTCAAAAATGATATGACAGCACAGGTGAACATTTCTTGAAAGGAGTCGTTCCATCCAATCCTTGCGCAAGAGGATGCTACGCAATATTCAACATGGCTGATGCAAACTTATGATGACACATGTGACAAGACAGGATTTTATCAACTGGTGTGTTTATATTTACATTTTCCTCGCATTGTGAAAGCCCATATGGTGCTTTCTCACGATTTATGCGCGGGAGCATCAGCCATGTTGATTATTATGTAACATCCTAGTGCGCAAGGGTTGGATCTTCCCTCATAAGATGTTCACCTATGCCGTAGCATCGTTTTTTGAAGCAGGAAGCTTAAAAAAACACATATTTCTTATGCAGATTGTGGAGTTAGGAGTGTATTTCAGACTTTTCCGATGCGCTCATCGCGATTTTTAAGCCACTCTCTTTGAGAAGTAACCCTTTTTTTTGCTCTAGCTGAAGTTTGCAACACGCCCATTGCCTCAGACCTTGATATTATAGCCATAGGGCCAAAAATAAGCAAAAAATGAATCTGCAATGTTGACACTGCGGGAGGTTTTCTAAAACTCTCAGTTTTGTTGTTGAGTGACAGCCTCTACAAAATAAGAACAGATCGTTCATATTTTTTATTATCAATTCTGTCTGTTACCAACATTTTTTTTTTCCTTTGTTGTGCTCATCAGCAATGTGCTCTGAACTTTTTAATGCCGTTATTTTTCTAAGATTGTTATTTCTTTTTTACTATTTTTTAAGGCAAGAATTGTGAACATGGCTTGGGTAGCTTAAGCCTCTTGTCATAAGTTTTTTTTATTTTTGCTTTGTTCACTAAACTAAGTAAGGTTCAAAATCTAAAACCCTAAATCAAAACCAAAAATTACCAAAAACGAAATGAAGTCAAAATTGAATAAGAATTTATTATATTAAGCTTTAACCAAGAGAAATCTAACTTTCTCTCTAATGAATCCTATGAAAATCTTCCTTGCTTTTTTGTAGTATCTTTAAATTTCTATTTTTCTTTCTTATACCCTCTTGCTTTTCTTAGTTTACTCTTTAACCAGCTTAACAGTTGCGCCTCAGTCTTAAAAAAATTCTGGCTCTTGTATAGTGACAGAAAAATTGTTAATTTCCTTTTAATTTATGATGTAGGCAATACCGCAAGTAATGGTTGCTATTATGTCATTGGAGTTAGCTTTTATGTATATTTAAAGCATACACTTGGGGAGGGGGGTGTAATCTATGGTACTTGCCAATGTTTTCCTTAATGACTGCCATAGATTGTAGGCTTTTAAAGAGCCAACACTTTACCGTTTTAACTTTTACAATTATTTCTTTACGCTCATAATATATGTTGTTCTGTTAACTAAGTTTATCTCTTTTGCATAATTAAAGAGGCAGTTGATAAGGGGGGGGGGGACTGGAATACTTACAGATACCTATCACTCATTATGCTGCTTCAACTCCTAGCTTTTGAATTATTAATCGTTTGGTACGTTTACCTTTGCCTTGAAAGTTGTGCATCTAATGAATGTGCCTTTGTATTAAAATTTTTGTTTGCATGAATCATAGCTTTTGATAGCCACAAAATCGGTCCGCTAGAGGTATTAAATGAAAAGAAGAAAGTTTAATCAAACCTTAGTCTCTGTTCCTTTGTTCATTTAGACATAAATACTGCATATAG